TATTCATCAAACCCAATAACAATTATAAGCTACTCTACATGAAATTTGACGCTTGTATACTGATATTTTATGCTTTCATAATTCTGTACTTCCTAATGCAAGGGTAAAGAAGTAAAATTAATAGTCCAACTTCACATGTACATAAGCCACAATGGGATGATGGGTCATGACAACAATAGAATGACATATCAAGCCAACATACTCACGCATCTTCAAAATTTTCAATAATATAACATAAAAATAAGTGGCATCTTGTAAAGATATGTTCTATGCAATCTACCCCAGTGTGAGTATCGTGAATAACAGGTTACATGAGTTACAAAGGGGCAACGTACCCTCGTCAAAATGTACATCTCCTTTAAGAGACTGGTAGAGATATTAAAGAGTGGCTTTCCACTCAAGCCACCAGCTTCAGAAGCCGCTGGGTTTGTAGTAACAGGATCTGATCGTGAAACAGTTGTATTTGATATAATCTAGAATAAACAAGATAAAAACAGCTCATAAGAGTAGAACAAATGGCACTAACTTTTAGGTAAATAATATACTGAACATTAAAGTCATCAATCTATACTCTAATATTAACACGTAGAACACCGTATGGTTATCATTGCACTAAATAGCTCATAAGAGTGGAAACTTTTGATATGGATATGGTAAACAATAAAAACTGTGAAGCGTGTGATAGGAAGTAAACATACCAATCCATCCAAGCGAAGGGCAAGGGCAACCTATGTCCATAAACAAACCACCATAAGAAAACCATTTTAAGGAAGAGAGGGGGGGGGGGGTGGTGGTGGGGGAGATGAGAGAAAGTAATCAATTATGAGCATAAATGCATACTGCAGCAATATCTTCAAGGTCTTCTTTAGACAAATCTGGAGCAATTTTCACGAGCAATGGAGGAGGGCCCTCTTCACCCCATTGCATTTCATCACGAGCAGCTTGAACCTTGAGATAGAAGAAAGAGTTATAAGAGCTAACTTTTGCAGACATTGTGATCAATTATATAGATAGAGAAAGTTCATGCCTCTGAGATCCATACCCTTTTCACAAGGTCCTTTAACTGCTTTCTTCCCTGAAGCATACGTAACCCAGGGGTGTTGGGTGATGAAACATTAATCACCTGCAAAGAGATCAGCACAAATATTGTCGAATTAATGAAACTGGATTTGAACTTGAAACGTATATGCAGAAACTAAAACCTTAATGCTTGCAGTTCGTGAATTATTACCGAAAACTCAACTTCTGAGGAACAATATCAAGAAATGATGCAAGATTCTATTTCAACCCACTGAAAATTCAGCTTTCACAACTGAAGTTGAGGAAGTTTTACTTTAATCTGAATCATTTCCAGATATAAATTTGATTGTTCAAATATCCTAGTCAAGTAATAAAAAGTCGGACTTCCGAACAATTGCTGCCCATCTGAGCTTTTAAGAAATTATTTTCCAAAATCTCTATTCTCTAGTAAATTGATTGTGACCCTCAAAAGACATATTTGGCATCATTTATCAACAGACAAGGAAATATGTAACCAATTCTGTAGTATAATTTGTGACAACTGATAAAATAGCCTAAAGATGGTATGAAATTATACAACTCAAAATCAAATGAATGAACCAACCAAAAGACCACAACAAGAGGCCTATTCAAATGCACCTCTTATTGCTTTTCCATGTGGAGAAGCAACATAACAAGAACCTATATTATTAGATGTTAGCCATGAAAACAGCATACTAACACAGGCATCGTGATGAAGTTGATGCATTTGTGAGTACAACCACAAAGTGAACTCTTGTTAAAAGAAAGAACAAGTTGGACAGTGAAGAGAGTGTTTTTTTCCTAATTATGCTTCAGTCAGCAGAACTACCCTCCACGCAACCTCCTTTGGACAGACGGAGATCCTATTCCTAGGGCACCAACATTTGCAATCAAGATGCACTTTCCAACAAGAGGGAATGAACACGTCTTTAGTTGCAAAGCAGCAGAGTCACAATATCAGACAGAAAAATTACTAGACTATGAGAAATCAATAGAGAACAATCTACCAAGTAATCAGCATACTGGGACAATGTATGAACCCCTTGTACATAATCTGCAGAAGCATCTTCACTTGTCTTATTCTTCCCAAGATTCACCCCTAGTATTCCAGGGCCAGCTTTGCCTCCAGGTTTGACTTCTTCACCTGAAGAAGATGAAGAGCTTGTAGTTTCATCCAACTTCCTCTTACCATGCTGAGCACCCAACCGCTTTGCAACAGCAACAATTCCTTCACTATTAAAGCCACATCGATTGATGATAGCTCTGAACACAACATCAGGTAGATTGATAGCACATAAGTTAGAACAAGAAATATAACCCAGCTCAAGTTTGAAAAAAAAGAAAAAAAGATTCAGAAGCTAAAGCACCATAATCACCTTCCAAAAGTGAATAGAAAATTTGACTTAACACAAGAAATTCAAGGCAATTCAGGTCTTAATCAGAACATAATAAGATAAACACAAAACATACTCTTACCCTTCCTCACGCAATCTGAAGATACGAGGCTTTGGATTGCCCTCTTGGGGAACGGGGGTTACAGAGCCAATCTCTACAAAGCCAAAGCCTAAACCAAGTAAACCATCAACAGCCTCAGCATTCTTATCAAATCCAGCAGCAAGACCTACAGGGTTGGAGAACTTCCTTCCCCAAACGTCTAGCCCTAAATTTGATGGATCTGGTCTCTTCTCTCTAGGAACCCAACCTCGTGCTGCGGCTGAGACACCCAGTCTGTGAGCAACCTCTGGATCCAGAAGAGCGAAGAATGGATTCACAAGTTTTGTAGCTGAGAATAGCCAGCCACTTCAAAAATTTGATATCCAAGAATTAGCAATAAACGTAACTAAAATTAAACTTCAACATTTCACAAAAAACTTAAGCCAGTCAACTAACTACTGATAAATAAACTGAATTACACAGTTTCTGCTTCATCCACATAAATAAGTACACAATAGCATAACAATGAACAACCTCATCACCACTGCAAGAATGAGGCAGAACATAACAAATGACAATTCATAATTTTTGTCTAATGTCCCACGAAAGCTATTAATTTAGCAAAAGAAATTTATGACTTTTACAACTAGGAGTGTAATTCCAAAGTTTCTAGGTAACAAGGAGAAATCCAGAGAAATTCACCCCCAGCCCCAAAACCAAACAACACACGCTTACACCACACAGGTTTCAAGCAATACAGCATGACAGACTTTTAATTCAAGCATCAGAGGTTGCCTTAACAGAATTCCACATGTTTTATGCTTATACTTTTCTGGCTGATAGGTAACAGTAAGTGGAATTAAACATAAATGCTGAAACACTGCAACCATAATTGTAAACCGTGTGAAAGGTTAAATGCAAACAGAGCAAAACTTCTACTTAAAGATTTAAATGAGGTACCAGAAAGTTGCTTCATCCACAGTGCTCACATAAGCTCCTCCGCCTATAACTAAGCCTAAGGTGGTTCCCGTCAACAACCTCCCCTACAGTTCAAAATAAGCAGACAGCACTTCAAAATCAAACAATAACGCATTGAATTTCCAACAAATTTGACTTAAAAATGAAAGTGTAAGCAATATATAATGAAAAGGCACCACTTTGGTGAGATGGGTTTGCCTTTTTGCTGGAAACAAATAAAACTATAATCGTCATAGTTCTTCCTCTGTGATTCTTTGCAACCAAAAAGATAATGTCATACATATACGAAGGAGAAGAAGAAGAAGAGAGAGAGAGAGAGAGAGAGCGCATACTTTCTTCGAAAAATGAGGAATCTTTGGAGCAGTTTCTGCAGCAGAAGAACAGTGTCGTGCACCTGCAATAGGAGTTGTGCATGCCCTTCTGAACAAAAAGTCTCTTAGTAATTTTCTTGAAGCCCTTGCCGCCATGACCTTCAATGATGAAATAAATAAAAAACTTTCAATAGCTTAAATATCGCCTCGCGACTAACTTTGCTAACAAAATAATCAAAGGCAAATGCAAAATCAATAGTAGAAAAGGAACGTACAGAGCAGTGGACCGTGGAAGGCAAGAGAGTGATACAGGGCTTGTTACGACGGCACCCTTGAAGGAGCGGGACAACGGGTAAAATGGCGCACACAGACGGGTTTGGCTTTTTCTCGTGCGGGTGATGTATGGGCACCCGGTCTTTTAGATTAAACGGGTTATTTTGCGTTTACGGGTCAATATCAGATATACTTGGTGTTATTGATTTAAGAATGTATGATATATATTAGTAAATGGATGCATGTTTGGTGTCCCCCTGGCATTATTATTAGAAGTTTAGAACATTGCGTTGGGGTTGTTCCATATCAATGTATGGCAATTTTGACAAAAGATGTTGCAAACGTGACCATATACACAAGTCCATAGTGCTTAAGCCCATCATTTATTTTCCGCAATCAAACTAATTAATTTCATCAAACAATTAAGGAATAAAACTTCATCTAAAGTCTTCATTACGCAAGTATTGCTCAAGATCGCATGGCTGCAATGATACTGACAAATAAACGAGTAAAAGAGTTGTATGGGCTAGGATCCAATCCAACTAGTAACTGTACAAGGACCAAATGAAACATCAAATTTAACCCAATGACTTATAAGCCATCAACAACTACAAGCCCAAGATTTTAGCTCAAATGGGCGGGACAGGGAGGGGTATACAAAAGTTTACTTACTAGGGTTCAAGTCTCTCCTTCACATAAACAAAAATAAGAAGAAAAAGGTGAAGTCAAGTCATAACAAGTTAGATTACAATCCTTGATATGCAATAATATCTAGTTAATTACAATCCTTTCTTTTTTAAGTTACAAATTTACTTGAAATAACAATTTTTGAGTGGCCTTCAAGTAATCCCAGCTTCTTGACTTGAGCATATGTAATATATATTTATTTGAGCGCGGGTTGCTGCTTGCTTTCTCAAATCCTGTCGTTCGTTCGTTTCAGAAAATAGAAAATAGAAAAAGAAGATGCAAGCAGTAGCAAAGCTGAGCAAGAACCTCACTCGGCCTCTCTTCTTCCTCGCTCCAAGAACCTTAACCACCCTCACTGCTCCTTCTTCTTTATCGAACTTGCTTTCCTCATCGGGCTGTGACACCAGCATCACCCACTGCACCAACACGTGTCTCACTGGAAAAACTCTGCTTCAATCTCCCTGGTCCGCCATCCAACACCGCGGAGCCGTTGTCCTGGGCTCCGATGTAAGTTTTTCAATCTCGTTTCGGTTTCCTACTGAGCAACGACGTTTTGAATTGTAGTTGTTATTCACAGTCATGAATCATGATCCTGCGATTGTGCAGGTGAGAGCTGGAAATGTCATTGAGAGGAAAGGTGGGTTGGCAGTTTGGCTTTGCAATCAATTTTACACAGAATCTCGTTGGGTTTTGTTTGAATATGCATTTAAAATTGTTTTTTTACTAACAAATTTTATGAATCATTTATAATTAAAAAAATCACATTGCGGTTGCGCTTGGTTTTATGGTGGACAATACTTGCTTCAGATCGTCTTTACCAGGTGAATTGGTTTATTGTATTTTTTAATGGTGCAATAATGTTATTGATGAATATTCTGTGATATAATTTATGCATAATTTGTTATTATTTAGGTGATAAAGGTAGAACATTCCCATGAAGGAAGAGGAAAAGCGCACATTAAGGTGTGTTTCTGTCATTCTGACCTTATCATTATTAGAACCTTATTCATAAGGTTTGATTTGTACTTTTTGTGCTTTTTTAAAAAAGCAAGCTGAAATGTGAAGCTGTGTTTTCATTGTAGGTGGAGCTTCGTGATGTTGACTCTGGAAACAAGACATCCCAAAGGTTGTCGACGGATGAGGCAGTTGAAAGTATGAATTTTTTGTAAATTCCCATTACCATTAGCGTAATAATCTACAATGCTTATTCCCTATCAGATTGCTTTAAATTGTTGATGTAAGCATTCTTTGGTAGTTCAATACGTTTCCTTTCTTGGATGACTGTTTCTGCATTGCTTTTCATTCTTCTGGTTTTGTTTCATTTCACTTTTTTAAAACGTCTGCTTGTGAGGCTTGTTCACAAAGACATTGACCAGTGTTCACAAATTTTTTTATGCATTTACTTGAGTGTAGGTTGTTTTGAACTGAATAATGGTCAGTTTCAGCAAGGAAAGTTACCTCTTGAAACTAATCGGTTCATGTTAACCCTTCTAGTGGATGCCCATTATTCTTTTAGTTATAAGCACTGGTTTATCCTTTAGTGGACGCCTCAATAGTGGCTGGTACCTTTTCCTAAATTAAAAATAATACCGACAAATGGGCTGTATTATCACAGTTATGTCAAGTTGGCTGAGGTCTTTTGATCTCAATGATGTGCCATTCTTTCAGTTATTATGGTTGTGTGAGCTAAAATGATAAAATCTTGTATGATTGCTGCAGGAGTATTTGTTGAGACAAAAAGCTACATTTACATGTGCACAGATCGTGATGGCATTGTATTATTGATGGAGTGAGTTTTATGTTTTAAAATTTCCCTCCAGCATCCTCTTCCTTTCACTTCCTGCTGTTACTTTCTCTTAAGAAATGCTTTCTCTTTGTAATTTTTATCAGCCCTGATACGTATGATCAGCTCGAAGTGCCTGTGGACTTATTTGGAAAGAAGGCTAAATACCTACAAGGTCGAGGCTTATTATAGTTCATGTTCCTTCTGTTCATTCATTTTCCATGATTTTACCTTTACTTTTTTTTTTCTTACTGTCCGTATTCCAAAAGTTAGTGATTATCAATGAGCATGAAATTCATAGTAAATAAATTTATGTAAATTGATTCAGAGTTATTTATTACAACAATTTACTTTCTAGCTGCCACGAATGGTGTTTTGGATAAAACTACATGGTGGTATCTGAAAATAATCATGTGGTGGAAGCTGCTGTCACGTCGTTGTTTACTTACTTTTTTTTCTTCTGTTCAGAATGCCATTGTGATTAGCAATCCGTGTAAAACTCTTTTTCATGACCGGCTTAATAACTCTACTAGTATCAGGACCTTCCAGCCACTGGCACTGAACCATCTTATAACTCCAATACTGTGATGCCTCCTAGATACAATTATCTAAACCGTCCTAGTCATTTTGGGTGTTATAATAATAATGCCTTGTTTCCTATTTTGGCCGAAAATTTTATTCAGATATGTAATTGAATTTAAATTTCATCATCATTGTTATTGTATACCAAAATAAAATATGATATTCACTGTGAACAGAGGAACTGAAAGTTAAAGTGGAGCTGTTTAACGGAATCCCTTTGTCCGCATCAGTTCCAAAACATGTGACATGCATTGTCAAGGAAGCACAACCTCCTGTGAAGGGGATTGCAGCAACACCTAAGTATGTTTTCATTGTGCAAATGCTATTGTTTTTGTAGGCTTCATCTCACTAGTCAATGTTGCTTTGTCTTTCAGTTGCACCTACACCTGGAATTATCACTTGATATAATAAACTGCTTGATCAATTTCAGTGTTGAATTCTTGTCATTATTCTGACAAGGGATATAATTGCTAAACCGTAGATTTCTAAGTTAACCTGTTAAACTAAAGCTTGAAAAGATATAACCATAGATTTCTTGTCATGGACATGCCCTCATCAAGGCATCAATTGATACTAGTGGGCCCCATGCATTAAAACCTTTAAGTATGCCGGTTTGAGGACTTTGCTAAAGTTGTTCATGATTAGGTTGTTGGTTATCTGGTGTAGTTTGCAATATCATTTATCTGTTACCCCTACAAAGTAAATCTTGTGACTAAATTCTCAAGTGGATTCCTATTATCATGTTGACACTAGTGTACATTGTAATATTAATATATTATTTGTGCGCTTTTGCTAACCCCTGATTTTTCTCTAAAATGCAGGGATAAAATAGCTGAGATGCAAAATGGCTTCACCATGAAAGTAAGAATTTCTTTTTTAAATAATTTGGATAAGCTAATTTACTGCTTTCGGTAGCTAATATTAGAAGAAAATAAGGTATTTACAAAACCAGCAAACAAAAAAAAATAAGTAAGGGATTATACAAATAAAAGAAAGCAAAGTATGATTTAAAGTATGGTTTTTAAATTTGAAGTTTTTTCATGATGTAACAATTTTTTTTTTTTTTTTTTTTTTTTTTTTTTTTTTTTTTTTTTAAGTAAGTTTTTTTTAATTTTTCAAGTCAAGAGCTTTGTTTTATATAGTATGACGATTTAAAGAGCTCACAATATTCATGAATGCATGTATGAGCATTTAGAGCAGATAGCTTACCATTATGTCTGGATTGAGTTTATAAGTTGTTGATCCTGAAGGCTTGCTTGACTCCCACATTCTTGCGAAGTTCAGCTTGTTCTTAGAGCCCAGATTCTCCCTCTCCTCTCTCCCTGTTCTACCATTCTATAAGCTGGAAGATAAATACATATGTAGCATGCAGATTACATGGCGAATGGTGCATTGAGGGATATGCTATAGGTGTCATGAATCATAGATTGCATTAATGTCTTCTTTCTTTTTTCTTTTTCATTCCGGACTTGCTAGGTACCACCTCACATCATAGCTGGTGAAGCTGTGATAATTGACACTGAGGACGACTCCTATGTCAGAAGGTAATTTTCTACTTATCTCTCTGAGCGTGTATCACATCCTTCTAAGTTGTTCTTGCACAGCTAGATATAAAGTAAGCACCTAAGCATCCTATTAGCAATAGCAAGATTTACCTAATATTTATAAATGTTTATATGACAAGATTTTTCTGCTCTATAACTCAAAAGGCCCTGATGATTGAGATGTTCCGGTTATAATGTAATGTTGTTATTATCCATGTATATTTACAACTCTCTTTGCGTAATGTCACCGGATCTCTTCATTACACCTCAAATGCTGTCATTTGTTTCTACGTAGTTATCCATAAATAATTATAACTTGAATGTTTCAGCTGGACTCTAGGGGGCGCATAATGCCTGTGTTGGGAATTTGGTTTCTAGATTTTCTAGTAAGCTTTTATTTCATTTTTTTATTTCCTGTTGCTTTCAGGGCCAAGGCATAGTGCTTAATATCGTTGCCTTAGTCTGATGGAGAGATGGAATATCATTTGGGCAGAGTCTAAGATCACTTGTTGAGTTCAACTCCGTAATGGATGAATTTATTAATAAACCTTGATGATGAGGTTGCTGCTGATTCAGTGTGATGTATATTTACTCATACAACATTAGAGAATGATACACAGCTCTTTAGGGAGGATCCAAGTTTTGCTCTTGAACTCGATGAACAATTGTTTTCTGCGTGCAATTTAGTTTATAGAAAGTAACGTTTTCACATTCTTATTTACATAAAACTGATGTTTATCACTTTATGGTTTTATGAAGAGGGGAAGAGTATTATGCCGTCTCTAGATCATTTTTAGCTCGCCATCAGTTCAAGTTATTTGTTTTTTTATATATAGTTTTTGATGTCATTAGGAAGAGAGAGGAGGGGCCGGCAGGGGAGGTGGTTTGCGTTGTTTGTTTTCAGATTTTCTTGTTATTATTATCAAGAGCTCCAAGTTTACTTTTGCTTTCATTGTTATTTTCGTCAATAACACATTTGCATTATCCACCCACAACATCCAGCAAGCATACATGGCGGAGTTTTTTGACATTCATTCAAGCCATTCAAAAAGAATTACCGCTAAACCAAGAGTTAGGACCTCAGGAAGAAAAGAAACAATAATACTACTTGGTTGGCTCATGAAGCATGAAATGCTAATGTTCTAAAATTTAATAGGTCTTGAAAGGACACATACAAGTTGGACTATATCCGTTTTGTTTTATACCTTGTTATGGAGAATGCTATCCTTTTTCTTTAACCATATCAACCACAGAGACGAACAAAAAAAAAAAAAAAAAAAAAAAAAAAAAAATTAGACTCAAAACAAAAATGTACTCTAACAATCAGAGCTATGGCAGAAGTCGGAACCTTGGTATAAAGACTCAACCTACTCTAACAAGGCATAAAACAATAAAAGAACTGCAAACGTTGGGTAGCATAAAATCAAACACCAAGGAAATAATCATAGTTCAATTTTGAAATCAGTTTTGATAAAGATAATAATGCCTGGAAATTCAACTAGTCCAGGAAGAATTTCACCCAATTGTCCCTTAAGTTTTCACGAAGAAAGAGAAACAAACAGCATTAATGCCAATTTTTTTCACTTGTATTAATGAGTGAAGTTCTTTAATTTTGGTTAAAGGGAGTAGATGGAAACGGAATGACGATCCTCAATAGTCAATAGTAAGAAGCATTCCTTCCACTACACTGCCAAAAGCAGACAGAAATCATTTTTAACGTGATGCGCTAAAACTCTAAAACTTAACCAGAAGGAAGAAACTATCAATTTGTAGACGGTGAAAACGATGGCAAAAACTTGATGCTCAAAACGTCAAACCCCTGTTTTATAGTGTGGTGTACAAAATTTATTTCTCTTCAGCAGTCGTCCAATTGTGCCTAATGAGACGATCTCTCTCAAGTTCTCAGCTTCAGAATCATAAGGGGGGTGTAATATCCTATTCCAATCACACCCTAAAAATTACAAGTACAAATACCATAAATTCAGTAATCCTACTCCAACCCCGCTATAAAAATTTTCCAATATTTGTTCGACGTTGAAAACGTCAAATCGCAGAAACGGGACTACAACACAACTAGAAAAAAAATTATTGTTTGAAGTTTGAACTCAACTCCAGCCGAAATATCCGTCCAGGAAGACAACTACAACCCAAAGTTTGCTTCCAACTTCTGGATCTGGTTGAGGAAAATCCATGTCATCTGCATAATTAAACACCAACCAATCAGAATATCATCAACCAAAATGTGTCAGCAATTGAAACTAAATGAAACACCCTTGTTCCCCCAACAAAATCAAAATGAGAGAGAAGAAAGAGAGAGAGAGAGAGTACCATGACATGGGGGGCAATTCTAACACAATATACTGGAAACCCAGTGTAAAATTTCAATGGTCCTCCTGCTTTCAGGGTTTTCATGGCACAATCAAAAGAGCCAGTGTATGGATACTTTCCCTGAGCATCAGGTTGCATTTTCTGAATTTGGGTTTTCACATAATCAAAGGGCAAACTGCAAGCAGCAGCAAAAAATCCTGAAACACTACTGGCACCTACAAAGAGTAAGCAAGCACATGTCAATTCAGCATAAGCATATTTTAACAATGAAACAGAGGGAACGGGATGTATGAAACCAAGAGTAAGCAGAGAGAGAGAGAGAGAGGATCATCATCAATACCCCTTAACTATTAAAATTCACAATATAAACAAGATGAACTCAACATCTGTATGTGGGCATAAGGTCATAATAAGTTTCAGCAAAGAAAATCTGTCCAAATTGTCAACAAATCAACCACCAACATTCGTAGTTATTGAAAACAATGTTGTTTAATAGTAAAGTTTGGAATTATAAAAACACAAACAGGGTGTTTTGGCTAGCTTAACTACAGTGCTCACTCCAAATCTTTCCTCGCATAAAAGGAAAACCTGCCCTAACATATGAAGTCCATTACTCTTCATTCTATGTTAACAATACTGGATTCCTCACAAAGAGGATTAGTCAAATATACAGAGTAGATTGAATAAATAGTTCTGAAATCAGTAAAAGTTAGCCAAATAAAACCTCATTTCAATTACACCCAAATAGTCTAAAGTAAAAAACAATCACATTTATAGTACTTGCAAAGAATCTTACCCAAGACTGTAGTAGCTTCACCAAATCCAAGGGAATCCTTGAAAAACTCAACACTTTGATCATAAGAAGCAAGCATTCCCATGTTTAATGCCATTGCTCTAACTACAGTAGGGCCTGCACCTTTCCAAAGTGCCAAAACCCCTTCATCTGAAACAATACGATAGAGAGCATGGAAAGCATTTGTGTAGTGACGGCGCTGAGCAGCAGGCAAAGTGGCATCGGCCTGCATACGAATGAGAGCTAAATCTGCTGGACTTCCAACAGATGCTCCAATGGCACCAGCAGTTAGCCCACACAAGGCTTTCTGGTATAGAGGTAGGGGCTTCCCATCATTGGCCTCAATTGCTTTGTTTGTCAGAATCCTAAACAAGTTTATCAGATTAACAATGTTATTATCTAATAAACAATGTACATATAAATGAAAATACCACATGATAAACTTACTTAACAATATCAAGCAAATGAAACTAAACGTAAGTGAAGCTTTAAATAAACAATTTAAAAGCTATAAAATATAGATTATGCAATTTCACTTGAGTCTGAATGGTGCAAAAGACCCACCTGAATGATCCAAGACGAGCTGTGGTATATGTAGCTTGTCTTAGCAGTCCAGCAGAGAGTCCCTGCTCATAGGATTTCCGGTTAGAGAAACAAATATTGTAACGTATGAACTTAAGCCAATCAATCAAACAAAAAAAAACCAAAACAAAGACTTATGTCAATAAAAAACATTCATCCACATTTTGAACCTCAAATCTGACAAAAAAATACCTAAAATTGAATTTGGATCTGTGAATCAGAGAGAAGGGATTTGGAATACAAATTGGTCGGATATAATATAAAATGACAAAACTTGTGATGTTAGTTAAATTCAACGATGTACTAAAACTTAAAAAGACGATGAATTTGATGATGGCTTGGTAATGTGTACTATTTGAACTTGTATCAAGTGATACTGCAGAAAGGACTTATCTTTCTTTTTATATTCAGCATAAAACTTCAATGAAGATCCTTACACATAAATACTCACCTCCCAACTGAAGTATATGTTAATGTCTCAACTTGTAAATGATGAAACAACCTATATAATCTCGCTCAGCCTAACCTAACATTATAGCTTGAATCAAAACATCATGCATCTCTGATTGGCAGTGAGAGCCTAAATCATACCCCATACCTAAAAGACAGAAACTTTACTGGTACGAATTCAAATCTATATAAGGTCCTCAACTTTAAAGCATCATCACTTGATCCCAAACCTCATTTCAGCAATGGATCAACAAGATTCATGAAACAAAACTCAAGTTCTAATCACGTTTAAAATACATACCTTATACAAAGCACCGATACCCTCCTCCTTAATCATGTTCCTGGTGACCTGGGCCGCCGATCCCTGACCCAATTGAATTCTCACCTGCACCAACCCAAGATAAGAAGAACCATTAACACGTCAGCCCCATTTAACCACATTACTGCACTAAACAAAACAAAACCTTTCAAAAAGACCCAGAAATCGCAGATCTAAAAATCATCAAAGAAACTCGTTATCAGCTCAAAAATTAAAGTGGGAACCAGCTAACACGAAATAACAAACATGGGTTTAATACAAATCGCTAAATTCATACCTTGATCATATCGACTGGTTGGATGACACAGGTAGCAAGCATACCAGAGGCTCCGCCATTGACGAAGGGCTTAATGGTGGGCCAAACACCAGACTTGGGCTTATTTTTGTCTCCCATATTTGGATTTGAAGTGAGATAGTGAGAGCTCGAAGGGAGAGAAAGGGGAGATGGGTTCCAAGGAGGCTGCTTTGGAGTTGCAGAAGAGGAGAAAACAAAGGAAAGCAAAGAGGCAATTTAACAGAGTACACTGTACCCACAACAAACCCTCTTCCTCCTCGCTTTCCTCACGACCTGAAAATTACTATAATTAAAAATGAAAATGAAAATGAAAATGGACAAGTTTATTGTATGACCTTAGATGTCTACCAAATTACAATGTCAGAGAACCACGTTTTTTTTTTAAGGCCGACTACTTTACTTGATTGTCAAATTATTTGATTTATTGTTTTAAGCCCACACTATTCTTTTTCTGGATAGGAAAATGCTCTTTTTTTTCCTTTGTACAAAAGGTTTTAAATCAAATTGATTGTGAAAATAAAAATTAATAACAAATAAAATAGTAATTTCATAAAATAAAAAATCTGACTGACTATCCTACAATTGGTTCAAATCAAATCACCCTCATCAAGTATGTTTTCCGCCGACTATTCTACAATTAGTTGGTTATTAATTATTTGTCTAGCCTTACATTATAAGTAAACCCAAAAATTAATAATTATTCAATAATAAAAGTATAAATGCGAATGCAATTATATAATCCCCCACTTACACCTAAATTGGTAACATTGTGAATGGCCACGTCGGCGGCGATAGAATTCTCTAGTTCTACGCCATTTATTGGTCTCCCAACAAAACTTTATAGGCTTCTACTACATGGTCTTGAAATTCAAATCCACGAAATCATATTCAAAACTCCAAAATATTACAAAAATAAAACCAAAATTAGGAAGAGTACTCTATGGAAAACAACTAATATGTCAAAAACAAGCTGTTGTTTTCGTGCAATTAGGGCAACCATTTTATTCCTTGCTTTTCCAATTGATATAGGAATATACAAACCAAGCTTGATGTTGATGTTTTTAAATTGCCAATACACTAGAATATCTTCAACCAATAGAACACTTATTTTGATTCAACTGAGGACTTTGAAAAAAGAACAAAATGTTATTGTAAAAAATAAATTAATTAAAACATGTGTAAGATAGAATCACGTTTTCTCTATACCGTCTCCTCCAAAGTAGGGAGTCAAAATTGGATTGTTGATTAAAGGGTAGAATAGGGAGCACATTAGAACTGATTTATCTCCATCTCCTCCTTATTTAGTTAAGAGGCTTCCTAAATCTTTGGAAATGCTCTAAAATGCAAAAATGAAAATTGATTGAGTCAAATAGTTATAAGGGTCTTTTTTTTGGATATAAAGAGGTTAAAGTAAATGATTTAAGTTACAACAAAGTTCATTGTTATAATTCAAATCATTTATGTTAAATCATCGGATTCGGAAGAACTCTAAAATTTAGTTGGCTAGTGAGCTCTAATTTTAAACATTTCCAAATGTCAAATTACTACTGCATTTTAAATACAATGCAGTTTTTTTGTTTTTTGTTTCCAATTGAATACAATATAGTTAATATGAAATGGCCTCAATATAATATATTGCATTTTGAATCTGAAATCTAGGTCACATTTTATTATATACACATGGATAGAGCCGTCAGTTCACTAGTTGGGGTTGGTGTTGCCTTTTTCCTTCCTCCTTCAAACAAACCTTGAGAGAGAGAGAGAGAGAGAGAGAGAGTGTAGCAACATTGACTTTCTGTTAAGACTCTAATGAGGATTAGAGGAGGGAAGTTGAAAGCATTATGCATTGTTTTGGCTTCTTTTTTATTTAATTGTTGGGTCAATGCAATATATATATATATATATTTTTCATTGCTTGGCTTCGACTACAGTCTACATGTAAAGTCACTTTTGTAAATATAATAATCTAAGCAACTGGGGAAGGGGCAAGTAAGTAGTTTAATTTTCCAATAGATTGAGCTCATTGTGGGAATGGAAATGGGAAATGGGAAATGACGTTGAAACTATGTTGATTCATGCATATTACAAAAGTGATGATATTTCGGGGGATTGATAATTTGATGCTGTCCTTATCAAAAAAGAAAAAGAAAAAGAAAAGTTGATGCCGTCCAAAATAAATGAAGTTTATGACCAAAATAAATAAATAAATAAATGAAGTGATGTTGGGAGGGTATTTTAGGAAAATCAAATGTTGGGATCAATGACGCCCAATTGCCCAATTGCCCATTTGCCCGCCTCACGCACGCACACGAGAACCTCAGCTCAGCTTATCCAACCAATCCTGTAAATGACAAAGTTGTCCCTGTGTGTGGCGGAGTAATTTTTAGAGCATTTACTCTCACACACCACACCAGACACCACCCAAAAAGATGGTTGGATTTTTGTTTCAATACACGTGGTGACGTGGTCATGGTCCCTCTATGTGTGTGAATATGATAAATAATCAACTTCAATATATTATCATAAACTTTTCGACCTACTTATTCATGTGTCATGGTCCACAACTTCAGAACTTCAGAGATTGGTGATTAAATAAGAAAGAGTGTTTGTTCCTGCGTGATATGGCATGCAAGTTGCCAGGTATGTCACGTTTTTGTGTTGGTTGTTCTTGTTAATATTTTAACACAAAAATGATATTCTAAATTATTTATAATTTACGAGAATAGAGATTCAAACTCATGTGGACTGCAAGAGGGCCGATTAGTAAGCTAGCAGCATCCTATCCCGCAATTGATGCTCTTATTGGAATTGAGAGCATGCTCATTAAATTGGACAAGGTATAATGTAAGACGAGGATATTACTTACTATTAGTCATTTCATTAAGACGAGCATACTCATTAAATTGGACAACGTACAAATGTCCCTTCCCAAAAGAGCAACGCTATATATATATATATATATATTATATGTTGACTGTGCCGGTACCTACATATTCTATATTGATGCAATTTTGAAGCCCGCCCATTGAAAACAATGTATGCAACTTTGAAAGCCCATTGAACCATGGCCCATGCCTTAACCCACTTTGCATGCACCCATAAAATACAAATCCCTTGTTATTTGGCTGGCTGTGCGTCTTTTCCTCTCTAATTTAAATCCGTGTATGAGAGAGATAGAGATAGATTATTCATGTCGTAATTTGATTTGTAAACCACATAGATCAAAAGTGATTTTTTGCCATAGTTCGCAATGAGGTTGCGACTACAGGATTTGTAATCAGAAATTGGGATGGGCATGTGATGTGATGCTTGTTGGTGCCAAGACAATTGGACAAACTTCCATTACTATTGCAGATTGTCTAGCTCTTAGGGATGGTTTGGCCTATGCTATTCATAAGGTTTAGCGTAAAATTATGCCTGGAGGTGATTCGAAACTTATCATTGATTGTGTTAATTAAGCTTCTGATCCAAGACATCCTCCTGCTTTGTTCTCTTTGTGATGATGTATCTTGCAAACATGTTTATATGGAAGTAAACTTTATAGCTGACAGCCTAGCCTTCAACCTTCATAATATTTTAAATTAAAATAAATATAATTATATATATATATATATATATATATAAACTCTATTAAAATGCGCCTATTTGTGAAAAGCCAATACGACCATGAATTTTCAGTTTTAATAATGGAAAAGTTGCACTCATTTATATATATTTGATGTGTGAATTACTCTTACATACTCAAACAAACATACATACTTTGGAGAAAAGAAAACATAGGAAAGTGGATGGTATCATGGTGTGTTAAGAAACAAAGATTATAAAATGCATTATTAGTTTTAGTTCATAATTAAATATATAACTGAGAGAAACAGCAAATAATTAATTACCAAAAAATATTATTATTAACCGACAAGAATTTTATCAGAAAAAGGCAAAACCAACAAAGCATAAAATATCAAAATAAGAATAATATGAGAAATGCTACATCCATTCCAGTCCAGCCAGCAGTAACAACAACAGCTAATCACACTCGAAAGACGCCTAGGCTTTGCTTGCACATGGACAACCTGGGTCCGCCAACTTTTTTCAACTTACCCATATTGCCCTTGCTTCTCAAAACCAACCCTTATCTTATTATAGCAAATTTTCCATCCTCCTTCCTGCTCCTGCTGCACTGCACATGACCCGTTCTTTTCTTGGTCATATCCGAAAAGGGCAAAGGAGTCAATAGGCATATGTCAACCGAAAATGTTGACGTAAGGGGAGGTGGGACCCAGGGATAGCCTGGCGCCAAATGGCAGAGAGGAGGGAGAGCTGTCTATTTTTCCTTCTTTAGCAGCGGACTTCAAATCTTTGTCCATTCCCATTTTATCGAATAAGGGCAAAACACACACACAAAACCCACACCTTCATACACCCACACAACACCAACAGAGAGTTATTTTTCAGAGAAACGGAAGGATCAAAGCAAAAGAGATGAGGGAGATTATAAGCATACATATTGGGCAGGCTGGAATTCAGGTGGGGAATTCATGTTGGGAACTCTATTGTCTTGAGCATGGAATTCAACCCGATGGTCAGATGCCCAGGTCAGTTTAATTTTTTTAAATAAAAAAAAAAAAAAAAAAAAATATATATATTCCATAATTTCGGTGGGTTTTGTCTAATGGTAGATGATGAATATGTTTTTGAGTCTGACTTTACTATTAATTTATGGATTATTGGGATTTCTTGGCATAGTTGTCTTTTAATATATAGGTGTTTGAGATCTTCCTGTGTATAATTTCGGTTGGAGTTCTTTTGAATGGATCTAAACTGAAGAATGGGATTTTGGAAATGTATTCAATTGAAAACTAAAAACAGCATAAAACAAATACAATAGTTTTCACTTCAATCCGATCGATGGATGGTGTGTATTTGCTTTCTTTGCAAGGTTTTGGTAATTGATATGTCTTCAATTGAGACAGCATCAAGGAACTTAGCTTGATATTCTATGGTTTTGTGAGAGGTACTATAATAGTAATGATAAAACTTTGTTCATTTAAAAATAATAGTATTAAGTAAAACTCTGTTGATTTTTTTTTTTCCCTCTGAGTTCATGGATTTTTTTAATAACATCATCTTATAGCAGACAATGAGGCGCTTGAAATGTGAACTGAAGCCTTTAAATTTGTTGGCCCATTCAAAACTGTGTTTTGTGTTGTCCATGTGCTTGCAATTTGAAGTTTGAATGTGTCGATAATTGAGTGCCTAATGGAAAGTTATGGTTTTGTGTCTTCAAAGTGATGCCTCAGTGGGTGTTGGCCGCGACGCTTTCAATACCTTCTTCAGTGAGACTGGAGCAGGCAAGCATGTGCCTAGGGCCATATTTGTCGATTTGGAACCAACTGTTATTGATGAAGTAAGGACTGGGACTTACCGCCAACTCTTCCACCCCGAGCAGCTCATTTCTGGGAAAGAAGATGCTGCTAATAATTTTGCAAGAGGACACTATACTGGTAATAAATCCTGCATCTAAATCACATTAGTGAACTCTTTTATTACGTTAATCTCATTGATTTAGCCTTTATGGTTGCCTTCTGCAGTCGGAAAGGAAATTGTAGATCTCTGCCTTGATCGAGTAAGGAAATTGGCCGATAATTGCACTGGTTTACAAGGATTTTTGGTGTTCAATGCTGTTGGTGGTGGTACTGGTTCTGGTTTGGGGTCCTTGCTGTTAGAACGGTTGTCTGTAGATTATGGAAAGAAGTCAAAGCTTGGATTCACCATCTATCCTTCTCCGCAGGTACTTACAGCTACAAATATTATGATTTTCTGCTCACCTGCATAAGTTTATGCAGTTTCTTATTCACGCTTGGCAGATGAAACAGGATTTTAGAAATGGCCATCCTCAAACATTTCTTCTAGACTGTTCTGTTATTGAAGAATATTTCTATTTATATGTTAGCTTATATCCGATACCATAAAATTAACAGCACTAACCAGTTCAATAATGTGGAGCTCATCTATGACTTATTTCTTTTGCATTACAGGTTTCAACAGCAGTTGTCGAGCCTTACAATAGTGTTCTCTCTACTCATTCCCTCCTTGAACACACAGATGTATCTGTGCTCTTGGACAATGAAGCTATCTATGACATTTGCAGGAGATCTCTAGACATCGAGAGACCAACATACACCAATCTGAACAGATTGATATCGCAAGTCATATCATCTTTGACAACATCATTGAGATTTGATGGAGCCATTAATGTTGATGTCACAGAGTTCCAGACTAACCTTGTACCATATCCCCGCATTCATTTCATGCTTTCCTCATATGCTCCTGTTATCTCAGCTGAAAAGGCATACCACGAGCAGATCTCTATCCCTGAGATCACAAATGCAGTTTTTGAGCCCTCAAGCATGATGGCCAAGTGTGATCCCAGGCATGGAAAATACATGGCCTGCTGCTTAATGTACAGGGGGGATGTTGTCCCCAAGGATGTTAATGCCGCAGTTGCTACTATCAAAACAAAAAGGACTGTACAGTTTGTTGACTGGTAAGAACAATGCCTAAGAAGAAAAAATAGTAATTTGTTTATTTTTTTATAAAAATTATATCCAAGGTTGTTGATCTAATGACTTTTGTGGCTGGATTCTGCAGGTGCCCAACAGGCTTCAAATGTGGCATTAACTATCAGCCTCCAACAGTTGTACCGGGGGGTGATCTTGCCAAGGTGCAGCGAGCTGTGTGCATGATCAGCAACAACACAGCAGTGGCTGAGGTGTTCTCACGCATTGACCACAAATTTGATCTCATGTATTCGAAGAGGGCATTCGTTCACTGGTATGTTGGTGAAGGCATGGAAGAAGGAGAGTTTTCTGAAGCTCGTGAAGATCTGGCTGCTCTAGAGAAAGATTACGAGGAAGTTGGTGCTGAAGGTGTAGATGATGAAGAGGGGGGAAGTGAAGATTACTGATGTTGTGGTTATGCAAGACAAAGAGCCGTTCATCCATCTTCAACTATCTCTCTTCCTTTTGCTGTGTAGTACAAAAGTATCCATCTTCATGTTGTGAAGTTGTCACAATTGTCATTATGTTCTGCTTATGTGTTTAGTTTTTGGTATCAATGAAGTGACATTTTAAAAAATCTGAATGGTTTATGGTTCTATTTCACAAATATCACGTTTCTTTGTTGTCACACATGCATTTGACTGGCATCAAAAGCCACATCAATTCGTTCATATATTTTGGCTTTCTTCATTTGACAGCTGTATGATGTTTAACAACCCATAAAAGTTCTGGACAAGTAAGAAATACTCGTATTTATGTCCTCCGTTGTTGCATTGCATAGGAACCTTAACCCTACCCCTTAACCTTTCCACATACCTGAACTTAGCCAAGTTAATTACGTTGAGGACAATATTGGTGTAACATGGGCAGTCAGAATGAGGGCTCTTAACAAAAAGGCGAAGACATCACATATATGAAATGTGGACCAAAAACAACACATCCCTCATTCATGCAGTAATATTTGAAAAATTGCTAGGCGGTGGGCAGGCGGCAGACAAGGGCCTAGCGCCTAGAGGATTAATCGGGGCCTAGGCATTTCTTTTGTTTTATTATTATCTATCTATATAAAGCAAAAAGCAAAGAATGGTGTAACATTCAAAATACCAAAAAATACCCTTGATTAATTCAAACATTAAGAATTAAAATTATTAATTAAATGAGGATAATATGGTAAATTCACACTTTTTCATATTTAAAAAAATTAAAATTAAAATCAAAATCAGAGAATAGGTTCTACTTTTATATGGAACATAACTACCCATATTATTTTTTCTTAATTCTAAAAATTAAATAAAAAATAAAAAAGAAAACCAATTGGCACATGCGTGAGCATGTGCCAAGGGGCTAGTAATTATTTTGTATTATAAATTATACCTTGGCTGGAAGGAACCCAAGTATAAACAGTTTTGTCATCACAAGGGATGACACCAGATCGAACACCATTCCCAAAGAAGCGCATGAAAATGGGATCAAAACCATGAGGTCTCTTGAAGTCGGCACGACCTCCAATAGCAGATCTCCCTGTAAACGCCGGCTGTTTGAAGCCAAGCCATTTCGTAACCACGGAGTTCAGTCCATCACACCCAACCAAGACCTTTTCAATCAAGGCGTTGATATTGTAAGTGATTAGATTCAAGATACTTATACGTATAATCGAAAGGCGGCCTAAAACATTATATATAGTAAGGCAAGGCTTTGCGTTCTCTCAACAATAAGAACTTTATATAGTTAATGGTGTACAATGTGCAGCTATCAAGGTTGAGATGTTCTTATGCACCAGATTCGTCTACCTTGGCTTTGAGGATGGTTCCATCAGCAAGATGAACCAGCTTAAAGTAGCCTGATTCGTCAATTGAAACCACCTTGGATGAGAACCTGACGGTGCCATTAGGGAGCTCATTTGCAAGAGCTTCCAACAACAAGTTCCTTTTCACACATCGAACTTCACGATCTCCGCTGCACATCAGTTAAACTCTCAAATTCTCAATCATCTGAGCATGCTCAAACTGAACGTTAATAGTCTTGTTATAAGTGATTTTCAATAGAGGGTAAAAATTAGAAAAACAGGAAAACAATATTCGGGGGGGTCGAAAGGTATGCGAAAATGAGATGCAGCAACTAGAGGATTAGAAGCTACTGAGGAACTTAGACTGCTCTACGTATAAACTTACTTTTTTTTCCCTGGCCTTAAGTGGCATTTCAAATATTGGAAGCCCAGAAACCGTTGAGGAATTCACATTCCTGTATTCAAAACTCTGCAATCAGTTTCATGTGTGCCTGTAAAGCAAGTAACTACTAGCTGAAAATATATATATACACACACACACACACAAAGAGCAATTGTCCATAAATTTATCAAGCAAAACTAACTCGGTTTATTTTTTGGCTGTGTTGTCAAAGTGTTCAAACATTGAAACATAATTCGTCACAATAACATGTCAAATTGTCCAAAATGATGACATAATGTACCCATGAACCGTCTCATGTTGTCGGCGAAGAGTATCGCCAATAACGAGGGCATCTAATGCCTTCCATGCATTTGTCTATGTTGAGAATGCAAACCCTGTTGTCCTCAAACTATCCGACGATTCCAACACCAAGCTTCGGATGCCAAGCCTGCAGCCAAAAAAATTTGAATTTTGCTTGGCTGCATAGAGTCATTGTGAACTACATGCTTACACTCATAACTTGTTTTGGCAGTACTAAAACACACACAGACATGCACAGATGAGAGAGAGAGAGAGAGAGAGAGAACCTATGAAGTCCTAAGTGAAAACATTAGAGAATGAGAAGAATCTGAGAGAATTGAAGAAAAAGATTTTGTTTTCTATTTCTGTTTCTTGCTAAATCAATCAATTACCAGCCTACACGATTCTTATGTATTGTTACATTGTAATCTTCTCGACTCAGCAATCTAACTAACTCAACAAATCACGACATGACACTCGTCATCTTATAATAGGTACAAGTGCCTTTATATCCTGTCACTAAGGATGTTGCAAGGCCAGCAATCCCAGCTCCTACAATCACAACTTGTGCTTCTGCTTCTACTTCCATGAATGATATTTGAGGCTTTTACTTTGGTATTAGTGGAAACAGACTCACAGAACAAAGATATAGACAGAGAAGGATGAGATGGGTATTTATATTATATTTTGCAGCGGCAATTGGATAGTGCTATAGTGGGAGTACAATTTAGATGACGATCACACCAAACACAAGTGACAACAGCCAATGTTCAATCTGATCTACCTTTTCTTATCTATTATTAATGAACTTCAATTTTGAAGCACAAACCCCAATGATGCCATCAAATGCATTTTATTGTTTATTTAGCAGCCATGTTTTCTTTTTAGCAGCTATCTTTGAGCACTAGGAAAGTGTAATATTGTTTGTTGGATTCATCGGTATAAACCGTCTTACACCCACTAAATCTGAATCTAATGGCGTTTCTCTTTTCAACGTTAAAAGATGTCTCAAGTTCAAATCTTGTTTCCCCTGTTGTTAATAAAGATTAAAAAGAAATGTCCCCTTACATAAACTTCATACAAATTATAAAATGACAAAAGAAAGTTCTTGCACTAATTGATAACCATATTGAATGGCACGTGTCAGGTTGTTAAGAAAGTATGTTAGATTGTTAAGAGAGTTTGTTAGCTTGTTAAGAGAGTCTGTTAGTTTGCTTTATAAGCACTATTACATTGTAATCATTTTCAACAATAATCAATACAGAGCCTTCTATTCTCAGACTTCTTCTTCTTCCTTCTTCTTTTTCTCAATATTCTTCTACTGTTATCATGGTATCAGAGCCAGGTTCGATTCTGAGGTCTATTCGCTTCCGCATTCTCTTCTTCCTCATTTCTCTACTTCTTTCTTCTGTCAATCTCAAATCATGATCTCTCAATTTCTCTGCAATTTTCTCCAAAACAAATTTTCTTGTCTCATTTGTTGATGAATGTACTGGTTTCCTGTGGCTTTACCCACTGTTCAATAAATCTGGAGTTTTTGAAATATTTCTTAAGTTCTATGCCTTTATTAGTACTCAATTTGGTGCTCATCTTCAATATTTTCAAAGTGATGAGGGTGGTGAGTTTAATAGTTCACAATTTGCCTCTTTTCTTGACTCAAAAGGAATCATTCACCAGTTGTCTTGTCCTTCCACTCCTTAGCAAAATGGTCTTGCTGAGAGAAAGAATCGCCATGTTATAGAAATTGCCTTAACTTTATTAGTTACTGCCAATCTTCCCGGACAATTTTGCTATCATGCTGTGGCACATGCTGCTTACTTGATCAATTTCATGCATAGTATTGCTCTTGGTAATCAGTCTCCTTTTCAGAAGTTATTTGACAAGCCTCCACCTCTTCAGCATCTAAGAGTCTTTGGCACAGCTGTTTATCCATATATTAGACCATTTAATGAACATAAACTTCAATCTAGGACTGTCCAGTGTGTTTTCATGGGATATTCTCAAGGTTATAAAGGTGTTATATGCTATAACACTACTACTCATCGTTTCCTTCTCTCTAGACATGTGGTTCATGATGAGAGTGTCTTTCCTTTTAAGCACTCCGAGCCTTCACTTTCATAGTAATCTTTCTTCTTGTACTTCATCTTCTTTAAAGGCTCCACCTATTGTAGTTTCTGTTTCACATCATGTGCATTCCTTGGCTTCTAGTCCAGATCCTAGTCTTGGTTCCTCACAATCCTCTGATGTCCCTCCCCATGTTTCTGCATCCTTTGGTGATGATCCAGTTTTAGTTGCTTCGTGTGCCTACAGAGAATTTACAAGTTCTTAGTGATCAACAATTACAAGTTCTTTTGCCTTCTCATGAATCTTCTTCACCATCTATGCCTCTTCCTATGCATCCTATGCAGACAAGGTCTAAGAGTGGTATTGTCAAGCCTAAGCCATTTGAGGATTATCAATGCTATCTTACTACTATTCCATCCTTTCATGAAGCTGCTGAACCAGCTACTTATAAGGCTGCATCTCAGTCCTCTGTTTGGATACAGGCTATGAGGGAAGAAATTGAAGCTTTGCACACCCAAGGTACATGGGATTTAGTTCCTATGCCTGTGGATAAAAACATTGTTGGTAGCCGATGGGTTTATAAAGTCAAGAAGAACTCAGATGGGTCTGTAGCAAGACATAAGGCTCGCTTGGTTGCACAAGGTTTCAGTCAAGCCCCTGGTCTAGATTTTAGTGAGACTTTTAGTCCTGTTGTAAGGCATACAACGGTTAGATTGGTTTTGAGCATTGCTGCTATGAACAAGTGGTCTCTTAGACAACTTGATGTGAAAAATGCTTTTCTTCATGGTGATCTTGAAGAAGAAGTGTGTATGCGCCAACCTCAAGGTTTTGAAGACTCTGCATATCCAACCCATGTTTGTCGATTGAGAAAATCTCTTTATGGACTAAAGCAAGCACCTAGAGCTTGGAATGCAAAGTTCACAGGTCATCTTCCAGCCCTTGGTTTTACTGTTTCTCATTCTGATCCAAGCCTCTGTGTTAAGCGTGTTGGTTCAGATAATGTCATTCTTTTACTCTATGTTGATGATATCATCTTGACTGGTTCTAAAGATAGTTTAGTCCAAGAGGTTATTGATGAATTAAGTGCTGTGTTTGAAATGAAAGATATGGGGCGGTTAACCTACTTCTTAGGATTGCAGATTTCTTATCATGATAATGGAGATATCTTTGTATGTCAAACAAAATATGCTAGAGAATTACTTGCAAAGGCTGGTATAGATACATGTCGACCTTGTACTACTCCATGTAAGCCACATTGTCAGCTTTTGGCTTCGGAGGGTGACTCCTTATCGGATCCAACCATCTACAGGAGTATTGTTGGGGCACTGCAGTATTTAACATTCACTAGACCTGATCTTTGTTATGCTGTTAATACTGTCTGTCAGTATATGACTCAACCTTCAGATTTACATTTTCAGTTGGTTAAGCGCATCCTGAGATATATTCATGGTACTTTGGATCATGGTCTGACTTTTACAAGTGGATCTTGGGATCTTCATGCTTATAGTGATGCAGATTGGGCTTCAGATGTGAATACTCGTAGATCAACTACTGGTTTTGTGGTTTATCTTGGCAACAATCCAGTTTCTTGGCAGTCTAAGAAGCAAAATTCTGTTTCTAGAAGTTCAACTGAGGCTGAGTACAGGGCATTAGCTAATACAACAGCTGATCTAGCTTGGGTTCGACAGGTTTTACTTGATTTAAAGGTATTCTTACCACAGCCTCCTACAATACATTGTGACAATCTTTCAGCCCTTGCTTTAAGTTCAAATCCTGTGTATCATTCTCGGATCAAACATTTAGATATTGACTTTCATTTTGTAAGAGAAAGAGTACAGAAGAAAGACTTGATTATGCAGTATATTCCCACTGAAGAACAAGTAGCAGACATCTTCACAAAGGAATTACATGGTCCTATTTTTCTGAGACATTGCAGGAATCTGCAACTTAGCAGCTCAGCTGGGTTTGAGGGGGAATGATAACCATATAACCATATTGAATGACCCGTGTCAGGTTGTTAAGAAAGTATGTTAGATTGTTAAGAGAGTTTGTTAGCTTGTTAAGAGAGTCTGTTAGTTTGCTTTATAAGCACTATTACATTGTAATCATTTTCAACAATAATCAATACAGAGCCTTCTATTCTCAGACTTCTTCTTCTTCCTTCTTATTTTTCTCAGTATTCTTCTACTGTTATCACTAATATGATTGACATATAAGGTTACATGCAAATTACTCTTATATATGCAGAGGAAGTATCATTGCATTTAAGAGATGCTGAGCTTCCCACAATCAAAATCTGCCTTTTTCAACAACAAACCAGCCAGGATTAGAGATAAACATTTGTCCCCGAAGAAGTTCATAATTTTTCCATTACTCTCTTGTAAGAAACCAACCACATAAGATAATCAGACTCACAAAAAGTGAGCAAAAAGGTTTGGGTTCAATTGGGACAGTCTAGCAGGCCATGGCGGATCCAAGTGGCACCAACCTGTTATCCTTCCACTGCCAAGAGAGGGAGGTAGACGTTGCTCTGTGAAGCCAGCCTTACGCAGTGCCCTCCTCTCTAGAAACCCAGTGACCCAGAGCCTTCGCTCAAGCCACAAGGTTCAACTCCTGGCTTGGAATGGGCGGGCCAGAAGATAGCCAACCCGAACCCGACCAGCTAATACTAGGCCAATGTTCCAGCACCTCAAAGCCCCCACTTGGGTTACAAGCTCACGTTGCGAAGCTCGGCGTTGCAACTTCCTCGTGTTAGGCTTATAAAGTGTAGTTTTTTTATATCAACCGAGCGATGTGGGATAAGTTGCAGGAGCGAGTGCATCTTGGCCTTCTGATAATGACTTGACTTTGAGGATGGTCCCGTCTGCCAGATGCACCAGCTTAAAGTAGCCCGATTCGTCAACGGAAACCACCTTCGATGAGAACCTGATGGTGCCACTAGGGAGTTCATTTGCAAGGCCTTCCAACTACAAGTTCCTTTTCACGCATCGAACTCCATGGTCTCCGCTGCACATCATTTAGACTCTCTCAATCATTTGAGCATGCTTGAATATTGATAATAACAAAATCAATGAAATAGAAGCAAAGTGATAGAATCTAGCAAACAATTGAAATCCAATATTAAGCATCAGTAAGAAATACTTGTAGCACTTATACTATTGATAAACTTCCTTTGGCCTTAAATGACATCTCAAACGTTTGAAGCCCTGTAATTCTTGAGGAAGTCACATTCCTGTACATTCAAATCTCTGCAATCAGTTTCGTGCGTGCAAAAGTAGAACTTAGTAAGTACCAACAAACATGTTAGGATTGTATTTGCGTAACTAACGGTCGAGATTCTATTTGCGTAACTAACGGTCGAGATTGGCAGTCTGAGAATATAACATGTTAGGATAGTTGAAGGGGCAACAGAGAGTGGTGCATGGAAAGAAAATTACCCATCAAGTGTGACATGATGTTGGCGAAGAGAATTGGCAAGACCAAGGGAATTTAAGGCCTTCCATGCATTTATCCATCTTGCGAATGCAAACCCTGTTGTCCTCAAACTATCAGATGATTCCAACACGAAGCTTCCAATCCCCAGCCTGCACCCAGAAATTTTAATTTTGCTTCCAACCATAGTAATATATGAACCATGAGAGAGAGAGAGAGAACCTGTGAAGTCCTAAGGATGTTGCAAGGCCAGAAATTCCAGCTCCCACAATCATAACATCTGCTTCTGCTTCCATGTTGTACTTGATTATGCTCTGGAGACTCAGGCTTTCTTTTACTTGGGTTTTGATACAGTGTGGAAAGAGAAGAACAAAGATACACAGAAGAGACCAATGCGAATGAAAGATGACTATATTATTCATATTTGTGATGGGGATGTAAAAGACAGGCTTAATTGAGCTGAAGATGACGAATAATGATTGGCGATCAATATTGACAGCAGCAGACAGTGTTTGGGTTTGACTTCCCTTCTCTTCTTCTTCTTGTGCTCAAAACAGATAAGCTGTCTGTTTTGACTGTGGAGGCAAATCAAAATAAACTTTGGGTTGTTTCAAGTTTAAAGCCGCAAGATAATCATCGGGAACTTCTTCTCTAGTTCAATATTTTTTCTTATGATAGTATAGTCGAGGAGTGCATGCTGACGTTTTTGGAGCATCGTAAACAGGACAGAAGTATAGCCGCCCGCCTATACTATTCTTAAAGAAACATGATCAGAACCGAGTATAGCTGCTCAAAAACCCGAGTATGGCCGCCTGGCTATACGAATTATAAAATAAATATATAAATATAGCCGCTCGGCGATACCTTTCCAAAGAAATATTAATTAAAAATAAAACCACGTATAGCCGTGCGGCTCTACTATTTATAAATAAATAATGGAGTATAGCAGCACGACTATGCTAAGAAGTTCATATAGCCGCACGGCTATACCGTTTTTAAGAAACATTAATATGACCAAGTCTAGCCCTATACTATTTTTGATAAAAAGGACCTGCCTTGCGATTAACGCCTACATGTCAAAATAAGTATAGCCGACTGGCTTACTTAAAATGGGGGTTGAAATTATAAAAAAACCCAAGCACTATTTAAACATATAAATACACCCAAAAACCCATCATTACACACACTCAAAACCCATTTATAAACACACCCAAAAAATTGACTTTGGGGTTGATTTTGGGTGTGTTTCTATGTTTAAATAGTGCTTGGGTTTTTTTATAAATACATGTCTAGGATTGGGTTTATTTATAAATTTGTATTATAATTAATGGGTATAGCCGCATGGCTATACTATTTAATAAAAACATTTAAGACAAAAGGACCTTTTATCTTTTCTAATTTTCCTGCATCTCTTTTCTTCATTTTTGTTTCACATCTCCCTCTTCCTTTTCATTATTTAATTGAAAAACATAAACAAATAATCATTACATTTTATTTTTATTTATAAAAAACGAAACAAGGACATACCACAATGGTTATTTTTCAACATAAACAAATTATATAACATAATATAACCACCAAGGGAATGAAGAAAATCTCGCAGTATCAGAAGAATCCACCACCAACCTCAACTGCTGGATCAAACATATTTTCAACAGTAAACAATGAGATGCCTAATATCAAGTACTTAAATTTGAAGGGTGCAAAAGTCAATCGGGATGGTCTTGTCATGTTGCTGCGCGGATGCAAAGATCTGGTGATGTTGGACGCCAGAGATTGTTCTGGTTTTGATGAGAATGATGATGAAATATCAAAGCTTGCGTCTCATATTAGTAAATTTATGTGCGAGGGTTCTGAATTTCCTGAATTTCTTTGTGGTATGGACAATTTTGTTCTTCCTGTTGATGGATACTCATTTCATCTACATGTGGAGGAGACGTGGGATGAAATGCTCAATGATTTGCGCGATGCGTTCAATGATTTGGGCGACGAGGAATGAAGAACTATTTGATTGTAGTAAGAGATATCTCATCTTTTTTATATTTACAACACTAATGAGCAATTATGTGTGTTGTGTGTGGTGTTCATCGTGTGTTTTTGGACAATGTTACTCTAATGAGCGCTTGTTATAAGTTCCTATCTTGATTTCATAATAAGATGTATGCTTAATTTGGAAAATGGCCATTCTAAATTCCTTCGCTACATTTTCTGTAATATCACATGTGCTTGCGATTGTTCTTCAGCCTTGCCTCTGCCTCTATTTCTATCTTAACTTTCCCTTTCCACCAAAGGTTTTCCTAGCAAAATTTCTTGGTGAAAGAATGTTGGTTGTACCAAACTTAAAAAAAAAAAAAAAAAAAAAAAAAAAAAAAAAAAAAAAAAAAAAAAAAAAAAAAAAAAAAAAAAAAAAAAAAAAAAAAAAAAAAAAAAAAAAAAAAAAAAAAAAAAAAAAAAAAAAAAAAAAAAAAAAAAAAAAAAAAAAAAAAAAAAAAAAAAAAAAAAAAAAAAAAAAAAAAAAAAAAAAAAAAAAAAAAAAAAAAAAAAAAAAAAAAAAAAAAAAAAAAAAAAAAAAAAAAAAAAAAAAAAAAAAAAAAAAAAAAAAAAAAAAAAAAAAAAAAAAAAAAAAAAAAAAAAAAAAAAAAAAAAAAAAAAAAAAAAAAAAAAAAAAAAAAAAAAAAAAAAAAAAAAAAAAAAAAAAAAAAAAAAAAAAAAAAAAAAAAAAAAAAAAAAAAACATTGCTGACATGACACTGTGTGGAGCCCACACATCCAATGGTATAAAAGCCACGTGGCTTTAAATAAAATAAAAATATATTTTAAATATTTTTAAAACTTAAATCCATAAAAACAAAACAAAACAAAAATAACTGCACCCTCTGCATTCTCACTCTGCCAGCGCCCTTCCCCTTGCAGACCCACCTTTTGTCTCTCTCTCTCCCTCCCCTCTCTTCTCAATCGAGACTTGGAAGAGCTTCAAGAGCTCGCGACTTCTTCTAACACCAACTCACGAATCTTTCCGTACAATGTGAAGTAGCAATGTTGGAAAAGGCGAGAAGATCAGGGGTCGAGACCCAGACCGGTGGCGTCGAGACTCTCTTGGAAACACCGTGTTCCGGAAGCTCGTCAGTTGCTAGGTTGCCTCTGCCATGATTATGATCACATCGTACCTTCTCTAAGGTAATTCCTCGTTCTCTCTCACATTCACGATTTTTATGATTTTTGTGCGTTTAGTTTGTTGGCCTTGATTCTTTGATTTGTGCTTGGAGTTTTGTGAAGTTGGTTCATTGTGGTTTTGGCTATTAAGGCTCCGTTTAGGATGCATTTGATATATATCTTTCCTTTCTGCTTGGTGACTTTCTATGGAATCGGATTATTTCTGTTGTAGCATTCTGTATAAAAAGAGATGCATTTTTGCAAGGGGGAAGGGCGCTGGTGGAGTGAGAATGCAGAGGGTACATGTATTTTTTTTTGTTTATATGGATTTAAGTTTTAAATATTTAAAATATATTTTACTTTATTTAAAGCCACGTGGCTTTATACCTTGGATGTGTGGGCTCCACACATGTGCCATTTCAGCAATTTAACAGAAAATTGACCGAAGCTAACGGCAGTGACCATTTTGATGTGTAAATGATAACCTTAAGACCATTAGTGTCACAAAAAAAACGTTAGGGACGAAAGGTGAAATTTTGCAAACGTCAGGGCCATTTGTGATAAAAAGTCAAAAATAAAATAAATACAAAATACCGTGAAGTGGCAGATGGTGGTCTTGTTTAACTCCCAACTGTCTTTCTGTCCTCCAACATTACATTTTCGAAAGACAGTTCAGCATCTAACTTTAACAGCTTCTACTGTTGCATAGAGATAGATGTGGGTGTTCATTGGCATTGTCTTCTATTTTATCTTCGTTTTCTCCGTCTTTCTGGGAGACTGAAATGTTTCTTGATCTGACCGACCAACTCAACCAAACCCAACGTCTATTAAACACCTTCTTCTTCTTCTGCACTCTCTATACTTTGTCTCTAAAACCCCATTTCCCTTTTGAGCTCTCTTTCTCTTCTCTCTCTCTCTCTCTCTCTTCCATGGCTATTCTTGCGCCAACCTCTGTTTCAAAAGACCCCTTGTCCCTCCGCACCTCCTCCAATTCCTCCTCCTCGGATCTCCAGAGAATCTCATTGAACCCACCAAGAGTAAATTCTCTTTTGTTTTCCTCTTTCTCTCTCAAGCATTTCATTTCGTTGGTTTTGTTGATTTCTTGAATCTTTTGCTGCAGATCTTTGGTTCTAAGCTGAAATCAGGGAAGATTGAGCAGACCCAATTGAGATTATTGACTGCTTCCAAGTAAGTTGCTGCATTTCTCACCTATGCTGCTGAACATATTGTTAAGTTCGCTTAATTTGCATTGATATCTATATATATGTTTCAGGTTTCTTGATTCACTATGTAATTTCCAATCTTCTGCCTTGCCTTTTATGTTCTTTCCAATTGTGGCCATTTGAGCTCCAAATTTACTAATCTTGATTGATTTGAGAAAGGAAATATTAGTGAGACGAAGTAGGATTTAGTTTGAATGTTCTATTTTTGTGATCATAGTACTGTTAAGGCACAAACAACGTTAAATTTCTGTCGTTTACCCATGAGAATTTAAAATTTGAAATTACGGTGAGAAAAAGAAATCCAGAATCAAGGCTAAATTTACTGGTACAATGAGGGATTTTCGTTTTGGTTTTCACACCTCGCTGAAATTCAAGGCTGCTCCTTTATTGGTGAGATCAATATGAGGGGTTTACTTAGATCTGTTGCGTGGCATCACAAAGACACTAATTATCTTTGTTTGATGGTTTGTATATAGGAGATGTTTACAATATAAGATTACGACTACATGCAACCTTCGGATTGGTCCTAAGAGATAAGAATGTCTCTATTTTTGTTTAAATCATCAGCTAAGTCACCTGTAGAACTCGAAATTTCATAGGTAGTTGGTTGGTGCTGAAATGTTTTCCTTTTGATATTTGCAGCAATTGTTCAGATTTAACTGCAAAGGCTTCAAGAAAGCCGTTAGGGCTCACTGAAGAACTTAAAAACAACAAACTAGAGAGCGTAGTAGAAACTGATGATGGGAGCTGTTTATTTGAAGATATGAAACGTCGGTTTCTAAGCTTCAAAAAGCATAAATATATGTAAGTGTCCAAGGACTCAGGTCTTGAGGTTCTTCAGCTTAAAGTAAAGTACTCCTGTTCCCTAATTTGGCTTTCATTTTGAATAGGGAAAACTTGGAACATTATCAAAATCTTGCAAAGGGTCAAGCGCCAAAGGTTGTATTATAAATGTGTACTTTTCCTTTCTTCGCCCCATCTTCCCAAATTTAGTCATTAACTGTGTATGTCCATATGTATTGAACGATCTAGGACATCTAGATAGATTCATTTGATGTTTGCCTCAATCTGGTATTGAGTGTCAGGGAGAATATGTATGTGTACTGATGTTTCTAGAACAGTTCATGGTGATTTCTTGTGCAGATTCTAGGGTATGCCCTTCAACCATTTTGGGATTCCAACCGGGAGAAGCATTTATAGTGCGCAACATTGCGAATTTGGTGCCCTCCTTCGAGGTATATTATAGATACATTTGAATTATTGTCTTCATCTCTGCTTCACGGAAGGCTAGACATTAATGCCACAAGAAGCGAACACTCGCCAATCAAATGAGATAATATTATTCAATTTATTTTTTTCCGTTTTGCAGAGTGGACCCTCAGAAACAAATGCTGCATTAGAATTTTCTGTGAATGCCCTGGAAGTAAGTATTCTGTGAATAAAATCTAAAATAAAATGCCAATTATTTCCTTGCTAGCTCCCTTGAACCTTTGGTTACACATCCCTGCTTATTGAGTGACAATAGGGAGGTAGGAAATGTGTAGGCACCAGAGACCCACATTGCTGATAAGAAAGGGTCTTCCAAGTATTTTAGCATAGGTTCTTAAAGTGTAAGAAATGAAATTCTGAATGGGGTTGTGGGGAAAGAACAGCATTAACAAATCTTCATATGACATAGCCATTCATTTTCAATCAACCTTGGGCATAAAAAGGTGGCTAGTCTTTGCTGTATCAGGAAAAGTTGAATCTCTGAGGTTTAGTGTGCTTCTTAATAGAAGAGTGGGAAGAAGATAAGCCGGTTGGAAATCGATTCTAAGCAATAATTATTTTGTAGGTTGAGAACATATTGGTCGTTGGTCACAGCTGTTGTGGAGGCATTCGTGCTCTTATGAGTATGGATGATGAAGTAGAGAAAAGGTTGAGTAAATTTCTTGTTCTGTACTTTTCAAGTAGTGCATGTGGTCATTGCCTATGTTTGACTTTGAATTTGTTTGTCCAAGAAACAGTCAAGCAATGTTTCTCACTTTGCTAAAAACTCTTTTATGCAGTAGCTTTATCCAAAATTGGGTTGTTGTTGGGAGGGATGCAAGGTTGTGGACAAAGGCTGCTGCCTCCAAGCTCAGTTTTGACCAGCAGTGCAAACACTGTGAGAAGGTAACATTAATCTTTTCTAATTATTTAATATTTCTTTTGTCCTTTTAACTCAAGTAAAAAATTCTGTGTTTGGAATTGCTTGCCGTAGCATAATTGTTCACCATTTGTAATTTTCTTCATTTCATTGGCATAAGCCAAATGAACTTTGAAGTAATTACTCTTATTACTAAGTTCAACACTGCTTCAAGTGACGAATCCTTTGAGTCCGTATATTTGAAACTCGTATCAGCATTCTGTTTTATTTGTATAGTAAATCTTCTGATTGATGGTTTGGAAAAATTATGTTTGGGGTGAGGGGGGTAGTTTTTAAAGGTTGAAACAAAACAAATCAGAATTGCATCTGATGACATCCCTTAGATATGTTTGAAAGGTCATTTATTTTAGTCATCATGACCTCGTACCTATCTGGGAATTAAACCCAATTCTTTCGAAGTCCACGGTAAAGTTCTCCTGTTGTGGCATAAATTTGTGTTGCAACTAATAGAGGCTGTTTTATATCATAAAATGATGCACCAGGTTCGTAAAATATTTCTCATATTGAATGGTATCCTTTTGCAGGAGTCAATCAACCGTTCGTTGTTGAACCTGCTCACGTACCCGTGGATAGAAGAGAAAGTAAAGAATGGTGTTCTTTCTGTGCATGGTGGTTATTATGACTTTGTTGACTGTACATTTGAAAAATGGACACTGGATTATAAGGAAGACAACTTGAAGGAGAAACACGGCAGAATTTCTGTAAAAAATCATTTGTTTTGGTCCTGATTTCATGTGTGGTCTTGTTGTATCTTATTCCTCAGATAAGTTATTAAAAAGGTTTGTATTATAGGGGCATTAATTTAAGAGAACTGAAAAAATAATGTAAAGTGTGGTGTGTTTTGCACTTGACAGAGTTGTATTTAATGTTAAAGTTCACCATTCGTAGAAATGGCGATGCAGTGCGGGCACCAAGTCAGGATTTGATCTTCACTGTTCTTCATTTCATTGCTATGTATCACCTAATGTTTAGTGATTGGGAATTAGATCGCATTGGATTACATTGGATTGGAGAGGATAACACTAATCCAATGATGTGTACATGATTGAAGGACTGGATTAATTGAAACATGCTTTTACATAGGTTAGTATGATGGGACACAATCCAATCCAACATAGTGTCAAACCTTTTGGTCTAATAAGATTAAGCATAATCCAATCTATGTTGTTTTTAGACAACCAAACGAGTCCTCGGGGTTACCAAAACGAAATTCAAAAAAACTACCGTTTCCTAAGTTCGCCACTGCCTGATGTGATGATCCATCTATTTCAGTGAGCATATGTTCAATTCAAACTCCTATCTGCATTCCGTAACTGAATGCATTCTCTTACTGATCAAAAGTTCAAGTTACAAGAAAAATTAAAATGTAACGCATTATTATAATCAAGTGAATTAGGGCTTTCCGAAGAACTTAAAAACAACAAACTGGAAAGAGTAACAGAAACTGAGAGGGGAGGAGATTTCTAAAGAATGTGCAACATCGGTTTGCATAACGATGTGTACCTAATCAATATGAACAGGGGAACCTTGCAGGGGCGCAAACACTTACTGATTAGTTGTCTTAAGTACTCTGTTTTTGCCAATGATTAACATTAATAGTGCGAGTTGTAACAATTTAGGATCCGTTTGATAACAATTTCAATTTTAGTTTTTATTTTTCATTTTTTGTGCTAGAGTATAGAAGGAAATGAGGGAGAATCAAAGTGAGAATGAGAGTGGAGAGAAGATGAGAGGGGAGGAGGGAAGAAGGAGTAACAAAAGTGAAAACAACAACTATAAACTGAAATCTATTTGAAATTGTTTTCACTTTCAAGTTTAATATTTATGTTAAACAAAATATAGAGTTCAGTTTTTTCCATATCAATTTTCCAAATGACCGAGTAAAGATAATATAAGACGAAATTTAAAGTATAAGAATAAATTAAGAATAATAATCCAACAGAGGTAACTATAAGCACTCTTATACATTAATACTCAAATGTAGCAGTACATGATAAGAAAGAAACACTGGAGAAGACATGATGATTACAAAGATATATATATATATAAATAGTGAAACAAATTAATTCGAAATATTTTAAGAGAATCAAGGAAGGGTGGTTTTGTGAGGTGGGATGAGTGAAGGGAGGGGTGTGGCCTTGGGGAGGGTTGGGATGGAAGGCAATGTGGGCTTAGGTAGCTCAGCTGGGAGATGTGGCAGAGGTGGAATTTCAGGCAACTTTGGCACTTCAGGCTTTGGTAAAGTAGGGACATTGGGCACCGCTGGCAGCTCGGGCTTCGGCAAAGTTGGGGAAAGTGGGAAGTGGTGGCAATTCAGGCTTTGGAAGTTGAGGTAACTCATGCAAGGTTGGGGCATGTGGTATTTCAGCCAACTTATGGCCTTCCTTTGGCAAGGTTGGGACATGAGGTGCTGATGGTATTTCGGGTTTAGCCAATGGTGGCAGCTCAGGCTTTGGAAACTGCGGTAGCTCAGGCTTAGGAAGCGGTGGCAGCTCGGGCTTTGGCAACTGTGGAAGCTCAGGCTTAGGAAGTTGTGGAAGCTCAGGCTTAGGAAGTTGTGGCAGCTCAGGCTTAGGCACTTGTGGCAGCTCGGGCTTCGGCAACTGTGGAAGCTCAGGCTTAGGAAGTTGTGGAAGCTCAGGCTTAGGAAGTTGTGGCAGCTCAGGCTTAGGCACTTGTGGCAGCTCAGGCTTTGGCAACTGTGGAAGCTCAGGCTTAGGCAATTGTGGCAGCTCAGGCTTTGGAAGCTCGGGCACTTGAGGCAAGGAAGTCTCGAGAAGAAAGCGAGCCCCTGCAACCATTGTTTTGGAGCTCATAAGTGAGAAGGCAAAGAGCAGTAGTAGTGGCAGGACAAAAGCCGGGTGGCGAAGATAGGCCATTTTTGGAGCTAGCTAATGACAAAGGATGATGAAACAGGTTATGAGTTGTGATTTTGCTTCTGCATCTAAACCAGTATTTATAGATAGAGAAATGTAAAGAGCAAGACTTGAAAAACATCAAGGTCAAAGGGTTTTGGTATTGTTAGCTCAACTTCTGCATATATATTGATCTTCTTTGTTTCTTTACTTAATTTCCACAAGTATATCTTGACAAGTTGACAACCATATATATGATAATTGTTTCCCATATAAGCTTTTGTATATCTGTTGTAATATTGATCTTGGCAATGTAGGACCTACAAAAGAATAATATTGGTAGCTTTATTCTGTGGCTAATTAGATCTAAGTAATTAAATTAAGGGCTTAATGTAGATAAATGGACTCACTTAGGTTGGTGGTTGGCAGGAACCCCAACAGATCAACTGATGCTGGCTCCCTTTTGCTTTTCAGTCATTCATGAAATTTTGGGTGATTTTGAAGATATACTTTCTTGAATTTAGATCTCTCTCAAGTTTGAATTATATGTTGATCATTATTTTTTGGTTGTGGTTATTTGGGATCGTTGACAATAGTTCTCACTACGGCGCTAGTTAAAAAGTTGAATTCTACATCGTACATCGTATACACGTGTTATAATATGAGTGGATGACATGATTTATTATTTTCTCCCGTTTTAGAGAATAGTATCAATAAATATCCACTTATATTATAAAACGTGACCTATAATCACTCTAAAAAGTAATCAAAGATAAAATTGAAAATATGGTAGAAAAACAAAAGGAATATTGATTACTTGTCAAGTAGAGAAAGGAAGTAGATATTTATTAATGCAGTTCAGAAGTTGAACTAACAACACCAATACCCTTCACTCCATGTTTTTCAAGTCTAGCTCTTTACGTTTCTCTTTCTATAAATACTGGTTTAGATGCTCAAGCAAAATCACAACTCATAACCTTATCAAGAACTAAAGCTTTCAGAATTTCATACCTCGTCCAAAATATGGCCTATCTTCGCCTCCCGGCTTCTGTCATACCACTATTTCTGCTCTTTACCTTCTCACATATGAGCTCCAAAACAATGGTTGCCGGGGCTCGCTTTCTTCTCGAGACTTCCTTGCCTCAAGTGCCCGAGCTTCCAAAGCCTGAGCTGCCACCACTCCATAAACCTGAGCTTCCACAGTTGCCAAAGCCTGAGCTGCCACAGTTGCCGATGCCCGAACTGCCAACGTTGCCAAAGCCAGAGCTGCCAACATTGCCGAAGCCCGAGCTGCCAACGTTGCCAAAGCCCGAGCTGCCAACATTGCCGAAGCCCGAGCTGCCAACGTTGCCAAAGCCAGAGCTGCCAACATTGCCGAAGCCCGAGCTGCCAACATTGCCGAAACCCGAGTTGCCACCAGTATCCCATGTTCCAACTTTGCCAAAGCCTGAAGGTCTCAAGTTGGCAGAAGGGCCCCATGTCCCTGAGCTTCCAAGGCCTGAATTGCCACCACTTCCTAATTCCCCAACTTTGCCAAAGCCTGAGTTACCAAAGTTGCCTGAATTTCTACCTCTTCCCCATCTCCCAGCTGACCTACCTAAGCCCACATTGCCCTCCATCCCAACCCTCCCCAAGGACACACCCCTCCCTTCTCTCATTCCACCCCACAAAACCACCCATCCTTGAATATTCTTAAATATTTGTTTTAATTAATTTTTTTCACTATTTATATCTATGTCAGGGTTTATGGCATACACATATCTTTGTATGTCATGTCCTGTGTTTATTTCTGATCATGTATTTGCTACATATGAGTATTAATGTATAAGGGTTCTTATTCTTACTACTGTTGGGTTATTATTCTTAATATTCATTCTTACACTTGTGTATCCGTATAAGAAGGAATGAACTAAAATTATCTTACTCTTTCCATTTTTTGTGTTTTTAAGCTTTCAAGTCAGCCCTAATAATAGCTCTCAAATCAATGAAGATTCAAAGTTGATTAATTTAAGGCCTGGTTGATAACAATTTCAATTTTAGTTTTTAGTTTTTAATTTTTGTGCTACAGTATAAAGGAAAATGAGGGAGAATGGAAGTGAGAATGAGAGTGGAGATAGGATCGAGAGGGAATATGAGTAGGGGAGGATGGGAGGGAGAAGTAACAAAAGTGAAAACAAAAACTAAAAACTGAAATCTATTTAAAATTGTTTTGCCACTACAACTTCAATAACAATCATCCATCCCAATATTAACACCGCAAGAACTCTCAAATGATTTTCCTCCATCACCCTTTAATTTTAAATTTGTATTAATTTAGATTGTAAAATTAGTTTGAAATTTAATTTCTTTTGTATTAATTTACATTTACTTTACTTTTTTCAGCATGAGATGAGAGTGACTTTAGTATGAAATTTTCCATTAACTAAGATTCTGAAATTTGAACAAAATATGTATAAATATGTCGTGTCTTTTAGTTGAACATTATCACCCAAACAAAAACCACATACCTCCGCTGATAAGTTACTTAAGGCGATTAGGTTTTAGTTATGTAACTTTCTTTTGTTCGGTGTCAATTTTTGGTTTAGATCTCTCGATTAGGTTTTAGTCATGAAACGTAAATGCATCTATGTGGTTTTATTAAAATCTGTGCAGATGAGTCTCTTGGATCTGTACACGCGATCTAAACAACTTAAAAGATAAGTGTTTGGCCTAAATTCCATGCGGCACCCCAATCGATTATTAGCCCATATCAAAAAGCAAGAGTTTGGGCTTTGTTTAAAGAAAGAAATTAACCTAGATGGTTTTAGAAGCCCAGACCCTTGTAAAACAATTAACAAGGATTAAATTCACAGATTAAAGACAAACCAGTTTTCTAAATTGATTTCAGGATTAGGCCCAACTTCTAACCTCTCCAAAAAAACACAAAATTGGTCATCACAGTTGATCTCAATTCTAGAGTCCAAATCAACAGATTTTTTTGGAAATATTTTTTTCTCTCAAAAAACCCATGTGACTCTGAAAGTCAAAGTTTTCATCTGGACAAAGGAAGTGATGGGGAGTTAATGAAAACATGTCAATCAGGAGAACACTCTCCATAAACATTTAAAAAAGCTAGAAAAGAAGGGCGGCCAAGTTTCCTTTCTATGCTCATGAGGGCTCTGCATCAAAGCAAGATGTTTTTTCAAGAAATAAATAGGAGACATGAGAGTTGTTTGCCAAAAAAAGAAAATAGACCCTCATAGAAACTGACTACTGATGGTTCTCTGTGCCAGAAATAACTCCTCGTGTTTCTTTGTTGGAAAAAGAAAAATCCTTTCAAAAGATCTACCCTCCAGATATTAAAAATTAAACCCTCAGTCAGATTCTCTATAAATATGAGAGGAGGTGAACAGGTTTAAAGACAGCCAAAAATTCAATCAAAACAAAAACTCTCAAAGTCATACTAACAATTTCAAAACAAGATCAGTCGATCTCAAAACTCTTCAGACTCTGAAGCAACCAAACTCTTTGATTTATAAAAGAAAGATAAGCAAGAACTCAGGTTTTTTTACTTCAATTCAATTTAAAGAAGTAGTTTACAAAGGAAACAGGATTTCTTTCGTTACAAATTTGGTTCAGCATAAGCTAAATCAAGCAGAATTCGAGTTTTTCATAATATGAAAACCTCAACAAATTTACAGAGATGCCTTGGTCTCTCAGAATTGCCAGAATAGCTTTTGGATAATTCATAATCACGCAAAACAAGTACTGTAGTGCAGCTCCAAGTAAGCAATAATCAATCCAGCCATTTCTAGCCCCATCCAGACTGTAGAAATCTCAATTCTGCCCATCCAGCGAGCCTTCCCATGGCTAGAATAGATTAAAGCTTTGTCAATCTCTACATTGGTATCGATTTCCAGTTGAAACTCATCAGTTGAAGGGGCTGACGTTTGAATCCAGCATAAATACATCCAGTCCAACCTGAGTCATAGGCAACAATCCAAGCAGAAATCGATGCCCAATGTTCTATTGTCCTTTCAGACATGGTAGTTCTCTTTTGTATTAAAGTTGTGTAATAGATAGTTTTCCTTAAAACAGCCTGATTCATTCATTTTTTACAAGTACTACCAGTTTACTATGAGAAATTATGAAGTCCTCACCAGTTTGGGGCGAGAAAGAACTTACATGGGAGATATTCCTTACCCAAATTCACAATCATAAGTCTATTAAGGTTTTTTAACTGCTAACAGTGGCACGCTCACATACCAAAGAAAGTTGATTTGTTGACCACAAATGGTTCTCAAGCCAATGAGGAACTTTACCCTACCATCACATGACAAAATCGAAACGGGTGAACAATAAGCCGCCAAAGAATGTATTAATGTGGTACCAACCAAATCCTCTCCGATACTTAAGTACGAGAGATAATATAAATGATATTTGAGGGAGTAAATGAGTAGAGTTTTTGGGCATGGAAGAGTTATTATCTTCATCTCAATGTATGTGAAGGTTATTTATAGGAGATGAAGGAGAAGCACATCTCCTCAAATCTAGCTTAGGAAGATCTTCAGCCACCCTCCTTAATAGTGTGAGAGGGTGGCTATAGGCATTTGTTATTATGCTGATTAAAAGGGGACCAATCATTGGACGACACCTAGAATAGATTAGAAGTGCATTAAAAGCCTTCTCTAGTCACGCACAGACACCTATGTAGTCTAGTGCTTGTTTAGGGAGGCGATCTGTAGCGAGTTGTCAGTCACCCTTAATTTGCTAATCCTTGATTCAATTTAGGGAGTCTGCGGAAAACTATCTCCCAAGTAGTGTGCAACTTGGATGGTTGCAAGCGTGGACTGGTATTCCTGAGCTGAGTCGCTTTGGAAGGTAGGAGCTGCATCATTAGGTCCGTCCATATGCTGATTGGGTCGACTAGTTAGCCTATTGAGTCACGGTGATTTACGTAGAGCAAGATTTGGTTGGTGTATTGGAGTATCCTTTATATAGCCCACTCATATTATTGGCTCATCGATATAACATGTCAACAATCCTCAACCATATTTTTCCACCTCGATCATGAAAGCCTAGGTGTCTTCCTTCTATTACCAGTTCACTTCTCTTATTCGACGGGGTTCAAGTCCTTTAAGCTTTTCTTGGAGTGGCCCAAAAGTAGTTTGATGGCGATTAGCTCTAACGTCACTGATATACATAGTACCATAGTCTAAAATATCGATAATCTTGACGAAATATCGGGATATTATCGTTTTTTCGTGTCAAGGATATTTTGGAATGTATCCATACACATATCGTATAAATATTGATAGTATCGACGATAATATTGAAAAATATTGATGTCAATAATTTCTCTCACACTTCAGCAATATTCAACCAAAATATCTTTATGATATCGCTATAATATCGATAATATTGAGATGATGAAGACAATGAAAAATTTGAAGAGTTATTTACACTAACACCCCTTGAGGTTTCTTGTGCTTTCACAAAACCTCCTCATGTCTAAAAAATTACACGAACACCCCCCTTAGGTTTTAGTTTGTTTTCATAAAACCCCATTTCGTTGTTTGTGTATCCAAAAATTGATGAAGTATATGCAATCTAATCTCAAAGGCCAACTTTGTCATTAGAGAATTTTTTAAAATTTTTTTTATTTATAAAATCATCAATCTTTGGATGAAAAATCAATGAAAATGAGTTTTGTGAAAACAATTTAAAACCTCAGGGGGTGTTCTTGTAATTTCTAAAACTTCAAAGAGTTTTGTGAAAAAGCCGAAACCTCAAGATAGTGTAAATAACTTAAATTTGAACTTTATAGGAACTCTATAGAGTATTAAGTCACTCATGTATCCTACCATGCAATATATAAAGTGTAAAATATTATAGTAAAATATTATAAATAAATGATTATGGTGTGTTAAATCTTCTTTCATTAATTTATTACATATTTTCTACACTTGTTAGCTTAAATAAATAAATGTTTGTATAGCTTGCTATAATAATAAAATTAAATAAGTTAAACCACTCATGCAATGCATTCCTTCCCCGCCCCCCCTTTTTTTTTGGTGATAAAGTAATAGATAATTGACTAAATGAACATCTTCTAGAGTTTCAAGAAAAAAATTCCAAGTTTTTCTTACAATTTATGTGGTTTTTATTCAATTTGTATCGATATAAATAATATCCTGATATTTCCATCAAAATTTCCTTGATTTTGGACTACCAATATTTCCAAAACCATCAACATTTTAGACCTTGCTCAGTAATGGGCACCTCTGTCACCAGTCGTTTGGTACTGCAGACTGTCATGGACTGGACTAAATGTTAGGACTGTCTTGGATTAGCTCGGATTGGCCTAAGCTGGATTAAGTACTGACCTACGTTTGGTGTTGCATCGGACTAAGAAGCTGGATTGTAAAAATAGTGAAGACTTATGTTTGGTGTTGTGTCGGACTAAAAAATAATTATTTTAAAATTTAAATTTAATTAGAGATTTTAACCTAAAAATAAATATATAAAATTCTGATTTTTTTGGTCTATCTTTTTTATTTTTTATTTAATTTTATTTTTGAAAAGATAAAATTTTATTTAGAGAAAGTAACCACACAAAGAGTGGATAAGAGATCCATCCACTTACAAGAGAAAAACAAAAAACAACTCAACAAAAAGAAAGAGCATAAAAGAGAAAAAAGCCAACTCTACTAAAATCCATCCATAGTCGAGAAGCAATTGCCTTCCCATCTAAAATGAAGTTGGAAATAGAAATGTTCCTAACAATGGATAATTGGGATTCTCGGTGCTGGGTCGATGCGTGGCTTGAGAGTGGTGGTCATGAGGGAGAAGAAATCTGAGGGGAGCTTTGGGCGTTGGGTTTTGCCACAATCCGTCGAATGGGTCTGTGGTGGTGGGGTTTTGATTCAAGCCATAAGGAAATCCAACCGGACTCGCCTGTTTAAAATAACACACTCGCTATTTTGCGAACCCAATTTCGGGCTCTCTATATTAAACATGCAAGTCCGGGTTTTTTTCAAACTGTTGGACTATAGAGTCTCATTTAAGTTAATCCCCTCCCTTGCCAAACAAGGATTTCAAGTGTTATTTAACACAGTTCAATTCAGTGAGGCATACCAAACATGGCCATAGGGTTTCTCCTCGGTTTGATTTTGGACAAAACGTTTGCCCTTGGCCCAAGTTTTGCAATGTATGCCGAGTTGGCTTTTCAGTATCTACTTGGTCCAAATTCCACTTTTTAGCAAAATTGGCCATGATGGAACAAGTTTTGGGTTTCTAAAACTTGTAAAGGCCCAAGAATCTTTTCGACGTCATTAACTTAATTGGGCCCCAAAAGTGGTCCAAACAAGGTCAACATCATACACCCACTACCTTTGCAGTTGGACGTGGAAAAACTAGTTTGAAGACTATTATTAGTTGAAGAAGGTCATTAACAGTGGAGAATTGGAGATTCCGTAGTACTCCACAACAATTTTTGATAATCTGATCTCCATAACATGGAAGACATTTTTTTATTTTTCTATTTCTTATTCATGCAAAAAGTAAAAGACAGAAAAATAAAGAAACAACCTTAGCCAGTAACAAATGATCTGTAGGATAAAGAAAGCCATCACTTATAGGTTTTTTCATCCTACTCAGTTACTTGTAAAGTAGGTGTTATTAGTTCGAATGTTAATCAGAGCAATTTGCGCTTGACAAGAACAAAGAATCCAACAGCCATGCTGTCGTCATGAACAAGGGAAGCACTTCCTGCAATATTTTTATTCTTCGAGTATCGATCGAAAAGCGGTTCTATAATTTCATCCCCCAGGTGTTTTCTTAGAATGCTCTCCGTCCCAGCTCTGCATCCTTGTGCACTAGGCAAGCTAAAAGGCATCTGACCTATGCACTCCAATGTCAATATATCAAAGCACCCATTTTCTTCTATTAGGTCCCTCAACTCCTCCACAGATGGGCAGTAGACTGGCAAGTTGAAAGAGTCAAATTTATCTTCGCTTAGTAAGCCCTGCACATATCAATTCATTAATATTTTCACCAAGTAAAATGTTACATCTTTGACTTTAGGTGCGACTTGCCTCGTTCACCATATCAGCAAGAGTAGACTCCAAGGGTTGAAAATAAGGAGCAAGAGAATTCTGTGCTGGAAGCGTGCCATGGGGACGCCCCGGAATCAAAAGCACCATGAGGCCTCCAGGAGCAAGCTCTTGTCCTCGAGCATGAAAAAAAGACTTGATGTCTTTGGCATACTGAGCTGAATATGCCTGGCCAACTTCATACGGTGCATTGCCATACAAAATCCTGCCCTTGTTAAATGCAGGTGAGTTGATGTCACGTAGCTCGTCTGGTATCTTAGAGAGCCAGTGCAGAGCATATGCCGAGTAAACAAAATTAAGAGAGGCCTCAGGGAAGAGTCTTCCATGGAAAGAGCCCGGAACTCCTGCAGTGAAATATTGCCTATCTCGAGGGAGAGTGGCAAAGAGATAGTTGAAATCATTTGACACAAGATCACTAAAGTATACTTGAAACTCTGGGAGTTCACCAGCAGACTGGACTTTGCTCTTCTTGTGGTATTTTTGAGATACGGCATCAATTATGTTGTCTACTTGAAAGAATGTGTTAGGTCCAACAGAGCAACCTAAATCAGCAATCCGGAATGTTGTAGGCCGAGACTGCAGAGTTTCAATGTCAAGGTTTTCGAATATTGCTGCAGCCAACATTGCCTTTGCACCATCTGCTGCCTTGGCCTACAGGAAATTGATGATTAACTTTAACTTTATTATGCATATAGAAAATTGTTTTGCATATGTAATAACCGTAAATAATTTACATGATATAATCTGTCAAAACCTTATTTAATTTGTAAATTAAGAAAATTTCAGCAGCAATTAAAAAAATGCAGTGATAAAAGTTGGAAATATATAGGTAGCTGTTGAGAAGAAGAAATTTCCAGCTCTCAAAATTCAAAGGCCATAGATGAACTATTAAGATACCGCTGCATTAGAATTTTTGGCATAGCTGTTTGGGCCATCTCCACCCGTCATAGGAAATTCTTCTGCCATTTCTCTCTCTCTCTCTCTCTCTCTCTCTCTCTCTCTCTCTCTTAAAAAGCCACTCAAGTCAACTATTATCTGTGCGGTAATGGTTATTGATTGCCTATTGGGAACCTTGGGCATAAAACATTTTTTTTTTTTTTTTTTTTTTTTTTTTGGGGCAAAGCTTGGAGGCATAACTTAAGCAGCAAGAAAGTCGCATAACCACGCAATCCTAAGAGGAGCGATTTTTACTCCCAACCCTAGCCCCCTTTGGAATCTGGTGTTGATGTGTTTCTGTTTTTTTGGGGAAATTCTCTTTTTAGAGGAAGATCGGTGGATCTCTGTGTGCAGCGGGGCTGACTTATGCGGTGGGTGTGTATCCCCTCATTTGTAACCATGATTGTGCTGTCCCCGTCCCTTATCTGGTGATGGCAGCTTTATATTGTATTTTGTTTTGATTTTGTGATGGAGAAGATTATTATACTAAACTGTGCTAGTTTTAAGTCTAACTTTCCCCGTGTTTGTGGTGCTTTGCACCTATATTTGACATTTTCGGCTCTTGTATTCTCCATTTATTTCCTTTCTATTTTTGAATTTTGAATGAACTTGAATTACCAAAAAACAAAAGCCGAAAGAAAGAGTGGGGATGCGTGGATCCAGCAACAAGTGCCAAGGAAATGGTTCTCCTCATGGTCCAACTTTACAGAAACCGAACAGGACCGAGCGGTGCCCACCCCAAATAATCAACAGTCATTCCCGATACGATGCGGGCAGCAATTAGTATGCTATAAAAAAAAACATTTTGTTGCCCACTACTTTACACTCTGATCAGTCTAAAAGCAAAGAACTTATTTAAATGATAACAAAATAGACTGATCTTTACAGCCATACGAATGAAAAAAGCCCGTCACATCAGCTAAAACTCACTCCAGGGAACGTGGCCACCAGCAACAGTATCTGATTTCGTAAACCTACAGAATCAATACACTTTGAGTAGTAGTAGGTGATCCAGACCCAGCTCTGCCGGTCAAAAGACGTGCAGAATTAGTCTTGGTGTGTGTGATTAGAGAAACTATTTTAAGTTTTCATTTCCATTAATGGAAATACTGATCATGGTGATGATAGTCACTTAATCCTTACATACAGGGAACATATATACTAATGTTAGTACCACTGAATTATTAATCTCCATGTCTGATGTGTACAAAATAAGTTTCGATATGATATATGAACATTGACGGAGGTTAGCTCTAGGGATGTGCATATCAGTTCAAAACTAATATAATTTAGCTAAACCGCATCTGATCTAATGTGGATTGGATTGTGATTTTTTCAATTCAATCATATATAAGATTAGAGGTTTAAATCCAATCCAATCCGATTTCATTTAAATCAAAATTAGTTATCACTTGATTCATATGATTCCAATTCACGATGAACATGAAAAATAAGATCCATCATCTTGATCACTAGTTGATTGAATTCCCAGCTGAGAGATGTACAATCTTTAATAATCCTATCCACCACAGCCAAGGCTGTGGTGGGTTGTAGCATTTGAAAAGAGTTGTTGGGAATAATGCATAATCACAATGGGCAAACAGAAAGATGTGTACTACAAAAAAATAGGACAACAGTCACAATTACTTGGTGATATTTGGTCACATCAAGAGGTAACTAATTTCGAGATAACTATATCTAGTAAAATTGAGGTTGAAGAAAATGAGTGAAAAATATTGGGTTATTTATTGAAAACCATATTGGTTTTTCAACCAAAAATAAATAGCATCAGGCAAGGATTAAAATATCGGCCGTGCAGATAATATCGGGCCTCCAATTTACGGATATTTCGAGGGATATATCGTTATCGTTTTGGGTATCGGGAAAAAATCAACAAAAATGACAGATATAAGCATTGAAATACATAATTTTGGTGTAAAACTTTCATAGATGTTATGTACATTGTCAATGAATGTATTGAACAAAAAAACTCAAAATTTACTAATAATAAGATATATATATATATATATATGATGAAATATAAGTGGTATGTAATGCACGTTAATGAAAAGTTTGAAAATAAAAAGTTGATTAGAATGAATAAACCATGCATAAATCCATAGTTTATTTGAACATTGGATTACAATTTAGATGAGTGTCCAACTACATAAATGAAGAGCTCCTATGAGGTTCAAACAATGTGGAACAACCATCTAGATTCATACAATAATCATACCAAGTCATGTAACCCGAGTAGTTTGTAAGCTATGTTTGAACATGGTGCATATGTCTCTCTTGAGCTCCCTACTGTCCTCCCATATATGGGATAGTTAGGATTAACCCAACTAGTAGGTCCATAATCTGTTTCATCATCTTGAGCTCCATATCTAGTTCCACTATAATCAGACATGACATAACCATAGCCATCATAAGATTCATTTGAGTTAGTACTAGGTCTAGATTCTTTTGATGCATACTCTAAAACATGCATACTCCAAAACATCTTTTGAATTGAATATTGCCAAAAGCCTTCACACATATATCTAATCACTGCACATATACCTCCAAAAAATCTTTTCAGTTTCAATTTGCTTCAAAACTTTTGAATTTTTTTGGGTTTTGTTATGGGTATCGGGAAATATCGGGAATATCGGCAAAATATCGGGGATATCGCACTTATCGGGGATATATCGTCGATATCGGGGAAGATATGGCCTTACCCCCCAATATCGGGGAAGATATGGCCTTACCCTCCAATATCGGTGTCGACAGTTCAAAATATCGATATATCGGTGTATCGGCCGATATTTCAATCCTTGGCATCAGGCATGTCAATCAATTTAATAAACTATATCTAATAAAAAGGGGTAAGAAAAATAATTAGTTAACAGTTAAATAAATACGAAGGCAGATTTTCCAAGTTTTCCTCAACCTTAGATGGTTATCACCAGCCAATTGTACATGATGTACCCTTTGCATCTTCTTCAATGCAAATAAAACAGAAGAGAATCCACAATTTACCACATTCAAACCTGAAAGAGGAAATATCGACATGGCCCTCTACAACTGCTTCCTCTTAGGCTTCATTTTTTCTTTTACATTTTTACTCATCAATCTGGATGTTAGCCCGGCAGCTTGTCATCTCCTACAAACTCGGCCATCAGATACTTTGCCAGATGTTCCTGGTTTGCCACCTTAGGATCACTTGTTCAGCCTATTGGATCTCTAATAATAGGTAATGCCACGGCCAGGATCAAGTATCCACCTCAGCAAGCACTGCACTCTACCACCTCATCCAACACCAACTTGGCTTCACTTCCAACCTTAACTACCGTGAACACTCCAAACGTTGTCGTTCCAGAGGCGACTTCGGCACCGCCTTCTTTGCCAACTGCATAGTTATGAAATTTTCCCTTCCACTGCATAATACCAACTATACCTAAAGGGAAAAGAGCCCACCCCAATACACCATCTTCAACATCTCACCATATAGATATATATACTTGTGTGCGTATATGCACACATATGGCGTTCTTCACTTTGCAGTTTGAATCTTTGCTTTTTGTTTGGTGCAATCGAATAGATATGGCTATGTATAATAATGAAAGCCTTTGTATCTTTTTCACATGTTGTGAAAGTTTAATCATCAAAAGGCTTTCAACAGTCTCTGGATTATTTTCTATCCATTTAAGTTAGCTATTATATGTTTAAGATAAAGTCTTTAATTTCCTGTTTCAGGTGTTTATGGTGTTATGTTGTATATATCTTCTTGTTCTTTTTATTCATGTAAAATAATTTTGGTTTTTATTTTAATTTTATCTTAACTCTATTATTTCAGGCATCTTTTGAATATACATAATTTTCCATCAAATCCTTTTTGTCAACCAAATAGGACCTTACGCATCACTTTTGCAAGACCTAAAATGGCTCGCATGTAAATGTGGGTTAGGCTAGTTAATTAGCCAAGATAGTGTGTGCGCCCTCTTGCACTCGAGTTTTATTCCCCTCTGCATGATGAGACCTCAAAAGCCCGATCTTGTGACATCAGCACGTCTCGAGGATCCCATGGAAAAATTCAAAACAAAACATTAAGTCAAAACATTTTCATTTAAAACCAACGAACAAGGTTACAATTCAGTTTGATAGTTAATCCAATAAACTTTAAATCACAACCCTAACAGGTTTCCCAAAAACATCTTAAAGTTCACAATTTTCGAGGCAAAAGAATAGCATAAGTTGAAAGACAAATAATTTACATGAAGGATCAAAATACGATAACTTGCCCGGATGCAACATAGGGTTAAAGGAGATGGAGTTGACAAGTTCAACGGCAACTGCAAGATCACTCTCTAAGATCCTCACTACCCATGTACACAGTACCTGCAAGATCTATATGTAGGGTAGCTAACCAAGTTGTATCTTAAAACCAAAATATAAACCTCATTTTATCCACTGGTAATTAACTTTCAAGAAAACTCTTGGTATAGTAAAATTGAGGTTGAAGAAAATGATCAAACGGTTTAAAAGATATTGGGTTGTATAGAATTATGGAAAAAGATATTGTTTTTCTTTTTTGGTAAATACCACGAGGTGTCCTCACATCCGAAGAGTGGGATTAATCCCTGCTCGGGGTTTGGTTTGCCCCTGACCACAAAGTGTTTTCAATGGGTTTCGAACCCTTGCCATTGAGGCACTAGGTAGCTCGCCAGCTGGAGGTGGCAGTTTGCCAACCACACTACACCTTATGGTTAAATATATTGTTTTTCAACCAAAAAGAAACATCATCAGTCGTTTCAACTAGTTAATAAACTATTAAATAATAAGGGGTAAGAAATAGAATTAGTTAACATTTAAACAAATAAAAATCAGAAATTTAAAATTTCCCACAACCTTAGATGGGGATCAACAACCAATTGTATATGATGTACCCTTGCATCTTCATCAATATAAAAAAAATTATTGAAGAGAATCCATAATTTACCACAGTCAAACCTGAAAGAGGAAAGTGCTTCATTGTCCATTTATACTTCTCTGTAGTTCTCTAAATATCATTTCGACATGGCCTTCTACAATTGCTCCCTCTTAGGCTACATGTTTGCTTGTACATTTTTACTCATCGATCTGAATGTTAGCCTGACAGCTCGTCCTTTTCTACAAACTCAGCCATCAGATATGCCATTTATTCCAAGTATGCCAGCTTTAGGATCAATTGTCCAGCCTATTGCAACTTTAATAGGCAATGTCACGGCCAGGATCAAATTTCCTCCTCAGCAAGCATTGTAGTTTACCACCTCATCCAACACCAACTTAGCTTCACTTCCAACTTTAACTACCATAAACACTCCAAACCTTGTCGTTCGAGAGGTGAATTCGGCACCACCTCCTCTGCCAACTGCATTGCTATCAAATCTTCCCTTCCGCCACATAATGCCGACTATACCTAGATGGAAAAGAGCCCACTCCAATACACCATCTTCAACATCTCACCCTTAAGAATATATATCTATATATACATACAAATAGAGCTTCCATTGATCCCTCAAATAAGCTTATTTGAAGGACACCCTTGTAGGGCTCACTCCACATTGTATTTCGCTAATCCAAACCGTCTATTTTTTAGATAATCATTCAAAGATTATCTCTACAAAAAATCACTTGAATCCGATATCATTTTCTCACTTAATTGAGTTATTAAAATTTTAGTACTTTCTTGAAGCACCGTATTCATTGATTTGTAAGACACAATTGGATGTTGAAACGGTTTCCGATTTATCTAATTTTTTTTACTAGGATAATCTATGGATGTAGACTTAAAAATGGATGGTTTGGATCATTGAAAACAAATTCGTAATGGAAGCTCTCTGTTTATATGTATATATACACATTTGGTGTTCTTCACTTTGCATAGTTTGAATCTTTGCTTTGTTTAGTTCAATCAAATAGGGTTATGGTAATGGAAGGCCTTTGTATCTGTTCACCCATTTTGATTTAGTTCCTGTGATGGTAGGGTAAAATTCCCTGTTGGCTTGAAAACCATTTGTGGTCAACAAGTCAACTTTCTTTGGTGTGCGAGAGTGTCACTGTTAGCAGTCAAGACCCTAACAAACTTATGAAAAATAGATAACTTGCGCCCTAAGTTACTGACTTTAATACAAGTAATTGTGAATTTAGGTGAGGAATATCTCTCAAGTAAGTTCTTTTCTTGCCTCAGACTGGTGATGACTTCATAATTTCTCACAGTAAAAACTAGTGGTTCTGGCCAAAATGAATATTGAAAATAAATCAATTTTTTTTTATAAAGAGAACTGCTTATTACGCAATTTAAAACAAAAGGGAACTGCCACGTCTGAAAGGACACCAGAACATTGGGCTTCGATTTCTGCTTGGATTGTTGCTTGTGATTCTGGCTGGGCTGGATATATCTGTGTTGGATTCAAATGTCAACACCTTCAACTGATGAGGTTCAGTTGGAAATCGATACCAATGTTGAGATTGATAGAGCTTTAATCTATTTTAGTCATGGAGAGGCTTATTGGATGGGCAAAATTGAGATTTCTTTAGTCTGGACGGGGCTGGAAATGGCTGGACTGATGATTGTTTTGGAGCTATTCTTCAATACCTGTTCTGCTTGATTATGAATCATCCAAGAGCTATTCTGGAAATTCTGAGATATCAAGGAATCTTTGTAAATTTGTTGAGGTTTTAATATTATGAAAAACTTGAGTTCTGCTTGATTCACCTATGCTGGACCGAATTTGTAACGAGAGAAATCTTGTCCTCTTAGTGAGCTACTTCTTTAAGTTGAACTAAAGCCAGAAACTTGAGTTCTGCCTGTTCTATCAAAGACTGGATGTCTTTTGTAAATCAAAGAGCTTGATTGCTTCAAAGTCTGAAGGCTTTTGAGATCATATGATCTTGTTTGAGTTTGTTAGTATGACTGAGAATTTTCGTTTTGATTGAATTTTTGGTTGTCCCCAATCCTGTTCACCTCCTCTCATATTTATAGAAAATTTGAATGAGGGTTTGTTCCTTAATATTTGGAGGACAGATTTGTTGAGAGGATTTTCTGTTCCAAAGCAAAAAAGGGGAGTAATTAGTTTGACAAGAAACCCTATCAATAGTCAGCTTCCATAATGATCAGTTTTGACTTTCTAACAAACCAACTCTCCTATCTTTGTTTATCTCTTGTAAACCCAACTTGCTCTAATGCATAGCCCTCACGAGCATAGGAAGGAAACTTGGCCCTTCTTTCCTGGCATTAAATGGTTATGGGGAGTGGTTTTCCGATTAAACCTTCTACCAACTCCCCATCACATTCTCTGCCCTGTTGAAATTTTGACTTTAGAGTCACGTGGGCTTTTAGAGAGAGATCTTCCCCACGAATCTGCGAACTTGATCTTTGAAATTGTGATCTACGGTGATGATCAAATTTTGAGCCTTTGGAGAGATTAGAAGCTGGGCTTAATTTTTAACCAATTAGAAATTGATTTGTCCAGATTAAATCACCATTAATGGCAATTAATCTTTAATTTGTAAATTTATTCCTTGCAATTGGCACATTAAGGTATGGGCCTCTAAACCTATATGGGCTGACTTTTGATTTTGTTAACACAAAGCCCAATTCACTGTTTTTGACATGGGCTAATAGTTAATTAGGCTGGCACGTGGAATTTAGATCCAAACAGTATCTTTCTCGTATGTCATGAAAGTTTAATTATTAAAGGATTTTCAACAATCTGTGGATGCTTCTCCATCCATTTAAGTTGCTTAGCTATTTCAATTGTATAAGATAAAGTCTTTAATTTCTTGTTTTAGATGTCCATAGTGTGATTATTGTTGTATATTGTTGTTATTGTTTTTAACGTAAGATAATTTCTATAAAAAAAGTTGTAAAATAATTTTATTCTTATTTTTATAGTGATTCTACTATTTCATATGTATGTGCATGTGATGAGAGTGTGAATCCCACATTGAAAAATTATTAGAGCCTTGCCTAATAATTTTTTAAATGATCTTGGGCGTCTTATCTCACATGCTTCCACATCACCTAATAAGAATTATCCACATGTTAGATGCAACAGACTACATGTAAGGGGGTGTTGAGAGTGTCCCACATTGGAGGACCCAAGGAAAAATAAAAGTAAAGTGTTATTTTCTCCATAACTATGACCCTAGTCAAACTTACCCTCTTGAACTAAAAAATCAGTGAAGTTTTTTGGAAGCGTTCATATTGGATTTTTGGTAGTGTTCTTTTTGGGCTTTTGGAAGTATTTTTTGGATATTCAGCTTATATATATTGGTTTTTTGGCTGTTGTAATAGAAACTTAACAAATACTGTGGGTGATGCCTCTTCTTTATTATAAGACAAACTTGGTAAAATTTGAAGCCCAATACATGAAATGACAACATTGATAATTTAGAAACGATGCTTATTGCTTATTGCCTACTATAATACTCCTCCTCCGTTGCCTAAGGTGATTTTTTGCATAGTGACAATTTATCACTTTTTTGTTTTGTTATTCGGAGGAGAAGAGGGAGTATTATATTGGGTTACCTCAAGATTGTCTCCTACGTGAATCGAACCTGGGTGCACTGGGGGGGAGGGAGAGAGTTTGGTCAACTTTTGTACTGTGGTGTCACTCCATGTGCAGATAATTCATCACTTGAACTTATCAAAATAGTCAATGTATCTAATTTTCCTTTAATAATAATAGTAAATTTGTAATTTCGAGTAAAATGAAAATTAAATACATAAAATGGAAAAATAAAAGTAATTAAAATAAAATAACTTTGGGACATTTTAGAAAAAGCAAAAGGAGAGAGAAAAATTTTAAAAGAAGCAAAAATGGACAAAAATGCCCTTATTTATTTTTAGATTTCCTAAGGAATCCAATACATTTGCATGTCTTTGATTTGAAAGTTGAGCGGTTTTTTTGTCTTTTTTGAAAAAGCTTTGGCTTTTTCCAAAAGTGAAAATTTTTTTATGTCTAAAACCTAAAAAACCTAATAACTTTATACAAATTTTTTTAAAACAAAATCTAGCCTCACCCTTCGTCCTCCACCCACCGATCCCAACCCCACCCCACCCCACCCCACCCCACCCCACCCCTTGCCACAACCTAGCTCAGCCACCCAACAACCCCTCTCTCTCTCTCTCTCTCTCTCTCTCTCTCTCTCTCTCTCTCTCTCTCTCTCTCTGATGCCTAGGAGTTTCGAACCTGAGACCACTACTGGTCTTAGGCCAAACATATACTTTTCCACTATAGTATGACCAATTGGAAAATTACTATATAAAAATTTTGCTCCATATATATATGATTCTAGAATATATAGGGAGGAGAAATCTTTGAGAGAGAGAAAAAAAACAGAGATAATAAAAAAATCTATTGGAAATGGGAGGGAGTAGATGTCGAGTTTTGTTGAAGGATGAGATTAAAGCCACATCACGTGGCCTAATACTAATTCAGCATATAAGCCCAAGTCTGGATTGTCACATACAGATGCCGTGGCGTTCACAATATCACAATGAGCTAAATTAGATAACCTAATAGCTAGGTTTGCTAACCGAAAGAGTTGTTTGATCACGCAAGCCAATATTTTAAAGATACAAGTATTGAGTCATTTAGCTAAAGCTAGCCAACCCCAACCCTAGTCAACCAGAAGGTGAACCACAACAAGACCAACAACTACATCTAAAATAGGTCGTCAAATTTTTCGTATCTGTATCTGAGAAAATCAACTACAATGCAACCATAAACATTTTTACTTGGCTGGCTATATAAACAGGCCAAAAAACACAACCTAATTATCCAAATTCAAACCATACTCATTACAATTACTTCCAAATCTTTCTGAGAGAGCTTGAACCAATGGCCTCTTGCAAGTACTGCTTCCTAGCTATCTTCGTTATCTTGTGCTCATCCAGCATCCATGTCACCGTAGCGGGGCGTAATCTTTTGCAGACGGGTGCACCGACGTTGCCTAAACCTGCTTCAACACTGCCACCTTTACCTCCTCTCCCAACACTGCCACAACCCACTTTACCAAACTTGCCAATCAACCAGCCACCGCTGCCTAAACCCACAACACAGCTGCCTCCACTGCCAAGTGTCCCCACTGTGCCAACTATCCCTAAGCTTACATTGCCTCCATTGCCAAACTTGCCCTCAGGGATCCCTACTACAATTCCCTCCATCCCATTTTTCTCCCCACCACCTTCAGCCACTAGCCCTTAAATATGTTCACATGCAGTACGTACCGGTCGCGTGCTGTCAAGTTGTTCGATCTTTTTTTCTTAATTAGTATGGTTTGTTATTTGTATGGTATTGTATACGTATGTCTTAATAATTTGTATTTTATGGTTTGATCATAGGTCATTTGCTTAATTAAACTCATTCCATATATGAAGTTTTATTTCAAAAGTGTTGTTACAAATATACTATAAGCCGAGATTGTTCGTTTTTTTTTCAAGTTTTCATGTCTCTTAAACCTATCTTATATGAAGTGAAGTGCTATATGTTTGGCTTGCACCGCTGCCTGCCTGCAAGGCTTATCATTCTGCACGTTGTAGTTTTTGAGGATGAAAGAATTGGAAGGGGAATAAAGAACAAGATTATCCTTGAAGAAAGAATTGGAACGCGTTCACAATAGCTGCTATTTCCCACAAATTGGACAATCCCTTAGGTTCCCTCATTCCTTCATGGTAGATTCCAGGGTTGTGTTTTAGATTAACATTTTAGCCATTTAATTGTCACGCTGCCACTACAAGAAAACAGGCCTTCTGTGAAGACGAGTAGTCGTCACTTAAACATGTAAATTCGTCACAGTTGATAATATGTGACGCATTTTCGGCGTCACAAGGTTCGTCACCTGTACCCCGTCGCAGATTGTTTGACGTGACGAATTTACGATTCGTCACATACGGGTTCTATATGTGACGAATGTTTTGTCACATATAGTACCTTTGCACAAGGCATCTTTCGTCACTTATTGTATCTATCGGTGACAAGCCGCATTGGTCACATTTCACAAGCGTCAGTGGGGAGTTGTTCCTCACATATTTATGAAAATTGTGGGGAGTTGTTCCTCATATTTATGAAAATTGTGACAGTGTACGTCTCACATATAATCTGACTAGCATTCAATTCAATTAAATTCAACTCGATTACTACCATTCCCCATTATATTCTTTTCTTGTATAATATAGCAAAATAATACATTCAAGATCCCCAAAGTTTCACAAGGAAATTGAACTCAAATTTCATTCCATTACACCAAAATAATTATGTTGTTTGATATACAATAGTCTCAACTACATGTTTTTTTTCTTCTCATAACTACAATGTAATTTTTCTACAACTAGAAGTAATGTTGTCCCAAGATGAAAAAGAGTTGAATCAAATTGCAAACGATCCTCAATGACAACCAAAAAGAATGGATCTTTTTAGTTCAACTGTCATAAAAAGGAAAAATGGTCATAAAAATGGATATAGAAGATATAAAAGGGCAAATTACCATTGGGGAAAAACATCAAGTTGTTTAACAGAGAGATAAAAGGCCAAATTACCATTGGGGAAGAACATCTTATTTATGGCTGGGAAGCTACACACTGCCAAAAAATATAAAACATAATACAACATTGTTAACATTAAAGTGAGAAGACAAACATAATTAATGTTTGATGTCCAAGAAGTGAACATGGTGAGGAAAATAAAAGGATGAAAAACAGAATCCATCAAAGGATTAAATGTCAAAAAGCATGAAAAATAAAAATCACTCCTAAAAATGAAGGTGTACATACAAAGCATAAAATGCTACAAAAGAATCTTTCCTGTGGTAATATAGGCAGAAAATATGGCCTCCATATAACAAAAAGATGTATCACCTCTTTGTATGAAGAGGATCTTTCTTCCTTCCCACTTCTTTGTATTCTCAGCCATGTCTTTCAACATTCCATAAGCAGCTTTGCCACTAAAAAAGGAATGACATCATAAATCAGTGATCCCATTATTCGGCAGAAGAGAAAAGCCACAGAGAGAGAGAGAGAGAGAGAGAGAGAGAGAGAGATGCAGTTCATACTTCAGAATTAACTATGAATAATTTAACCATTTATCCTCCTCAAGGGAAGTGATGGCACAAAGACGGAAACATAAACAAAGAGTTGTGGAAATAAAACAGAACCTGTAAACTGGATCCAGAACAATCCCAGTGGTCGCAGCAATCTCCGTGACAAACTTAAGCTCCTGAGACGTGTTTATTGCATAGCCCAGACCTTTGGCCTGTCAAACCACGATACATTTACTTCCTTTTTTGGTGTTTACAATATATAATTACTTACAATTGGTCAGCATATACATTGTGTGTAAAACTATATGCACATCATCTCATAATGGTAACATATGAATAGTTACAATTTACAACCCATGATTTTCCAATCTAGGATTTCATTTTTTTGTAGAGGATGCACATGTAAGACTTGTATAGTGTAGGCAAACTACTGTAAGATCAACCTTAAAAGAACATGTAGTACGAAGCAACATAAATCATGTGTTCAATGCTAACAATATAGTGTCTAATCTGCTTTGACCCTCACATTTTGAATGTTAACAATATCACGTGAATCAACACCTGCCTCAAGTCCATCAAGTAGGCCTTGAACATAGTCGTAGAAGTAATCAGGGTCATCATAGACAGAAAAGGCATGGACCTGCAGAGCAAAAGGAACAAACAATTACATGACATGTCAAGAGCAGCAAATTAATTATCTACAGAAAGGAATCCAATGACATGCGTTTGCCTTCAACGAACTCAGCCAAGAGCTCAATGCCAAACCAACAATTGTACCCCCACTGGAAATCGATTACATAAAAACATTACAGATGGAAGTAATAATAATAATCACGATCACCATAAACTTATTCTATTATGTCACAGTATTATACTTTTTGTAAACAAGTAAGATATAATCCATCTTTCATTTGTAGAAAAGTTTGGTTTCGTGAAAAAATTGCTAATACTCCAAGAGAGAGAGAGAGAGAGAGGTAAACTAACTTAAGCTCTAAATTCTTAATCAATATTCAGACATAGAAATCCAAAAAATAAAATAATAGTGAAGTCCAAAACTTCTCACAACAAAAGGAAAGTGAGAGCTGTCAAATACGAAAACAAGGCTGAGTAGACAAAAAACAAATGGTTTCGATTCAAGGATCCTACTGTCTCGTATCAAAACTGACTAGAAATTGACAATTCCATATCTCAAGATCCATACATAAAGGACATGAAAAAATTTGTAACATATGGCAGGCATGCAGGACTTGTTATTATCAACTCAAAATAAGATGGCATAAAAAAGCACCTGCCACAAGCAACAACAATATCATCAAACTTTACTTTGTCGATCCCACTCTGAAACTGCTCCTCAATCTCTCGAATTGCTTCAATATACCCCCTGAATATAATTTTTTTCTTTTTTTTTACACAAATGTGATAATATCAACAAAAAAAGAAATGGAAGCCGTCATAATCAACTTTGAACAGGAAACTGAAACATCACAACCCTCACCCCTCCCTTCTCCCTTCTCATTTTGAAGACCCCAACCATTAGGTTTATACCATATGACACGAGTTATGATGGATTAAAGTGAAGAATAGGTACCAGATACCATATTTCCAATACAGATTAGAGCTTTAAAAGGTCAAGAAAACTAGAAAACTTCGGGTTGGAAAATAGGAAATACTTCTCATTTCCACTATGAAGCAAAGAAATTGCATCAAATTCTAGGAACCCAAAATGAATACTTAAAAAATATATGGCAGATAGAAAGGAGATAAAGGGAAAAATACAGCAGTTAAAGTGTACAGAAACAAATTATTATTAAATAGACAGTTTATGCACATTTCAATAGAAAGGCAAACCCAATCTCACCAAGTTCCTAGGGAGTTTGATCCACCCACAGGAATAACATATGGCCTTCTTCCTTCTTTTAGCCCTTCCAAATTGAATTTCTTGGCATTCTGCTACTTCTCTCCTTTAAAGTACCTCTCTTCTGTATTATTCTATGATCTTCTCACCGGTGGAGAAAAGATTCCAGACAACAGTTCCAAACAGATAAAGGCCTACTGAGACCTTGAATACGTCATCCCAAGAACCTGAGAAATTTCAATGTGGAAAGAGAGGAATATCAGAATCAGCTTGTTTGCTTAAACATTACAGCTTGATGTGATACCCACAAGGCCCCTTTGGAACAATATGGTTGTTAGCAAATTTTGGAGCAAACATCATGGAGGCTTCACCATTGACTGTTCCCATTTGTTCCTTAAAGGTATCAGGAAAACATCCAACTCTTGACTCAAAATCCCTTCCTAAACAGTTTATGCTGGCTGCACAACTGCAGCTTCCCCGAAAATAACCATAGGGAACTTTGTGACAGCACCTTTCATGCTCACTAGGCTCAATGATGTTCTTCCCACTTCTACTGTCACAAACAATAAAGGAAGATAACTGTTAGAGAGAGCAAATATCGCACTGACTTGTTTAAGGAAAAATATATTGTACATGCACAATAAGATAAAAGCAGGTGAGTAAACCAAATTGCCTAAGAGAGCACATCTGAATTGCAAAATATAAGACACTCAGGACTATCGCTGAGCTTATAACAGCTAACTTGCCAAGTATTTGCTAACATGATTCAACATCTTCAAGAGCACCCATTCACAGGCAGTTTACAAATGTAAATCCATTCACAGATAAAAGTGCGTTCGGGCTTACAATACCCTTCTAACAATCAAATCAATACCTTCAAAATTTCAACAAATTTTTTCACAACAAACTGCATGAGATCTGTACAAGTTCACCTCATTTAACAATCTTTAAGAACTTTCAAATTTTGCAACTTTTACTTGATGTCAACAAATTCCACCAACACATTTCAGTGTCAAGATACCATAAAGCAGAACCAGTGAAATCATCCCAGTCAAAACAATAAGTACAACTCCAATAAAATGTGATACAGCACAAAATGTTAAAACTCTACAACCAATTTGCCATTCTAGATTCTAAAATAACCTCAGTGACGGCAGCTAGCTAGCTAGGACAATTTGAGTCAAAAGTTTCTACAAGCAGCTACAAGTTTTTGGCTAGTCAACAGAATTTATATTCTAATGAGTGCTATGCTCTGATGTTTATGTATACAAATAAAATGTGATTGTCCAATGTAAGGCAATGCATGAAAATAGTGTCACAAATGTAAACCAGGTTAATTCAATTTTTATGCTACAGAAGAATAAAAGTGGATTCAAACTTCAGTTAGTTCACCATATAGTTCAGTAATTGGCTTACTAGCAACTAAGAATTGCAGTAGATGGGCACTAACCATGTTGCAAGATGTAGCCAGTCGATACCGTTCCAAAGACGCCGGCGAGCACTCCTGCAGTATTGGACAGACCAAGCAAGACACCCTGAGAAACAATTTGAACAAGAAAATTAGACCCATCTGTTCAGCATCTAGAATTCCTCTACAATCAGAAAGCATGCATTGGCACGTGATTGATGGGCTTATGTACTTGGAACTCAGTAAGATGTCTAATTACACAGAAGAAATTTCCATATATGCAAGCCAAATCAGAAACTAAAGCCAATACTCACAGAATATCGTGGAGCAATATCTTGATGGTTTGAATATAGACCAGATTGTGAGAATGCATCAATTCCCTATTTAAGCAAGAGAAACAAAAACCAGTTAGCTAAAAGATAGAAAATAATAAAATGAACAAAAGAACTGTTAAGCAATTGTATAAAGCTTCCAAAAGAAGGAAGAGGAACATATATTTATTTTTCTCATTCCATGTACTGCAAGAATCATACCTGACTGCATGCCATACATAGAACAGCCATTGCAGGAGAATTAATATGGCTCAACTGAGTGAGGAAGAAAGCAGGTCCAAGAAACCCCCTTCCTTTTAGTCTCAACACATTAGCTCCAGCTTCAACAAAACTCAGTAGCAATTCATGTATGACCTCCTGAAAGGGGGAAAAAAAACGATTCAGCTCTTTCCCAAGACCCCAAAGCAAAACCCCAATTCACTTCTCTAACCCAGATACAAATTAACACAAACCCAAATACCCAATTCACCAAATTGCCTAAAGATTTCAAATTTATAGTAAGACAGAACCCATATCAGAAACTCAATTGAAAATCAAAATAAAATTTGAAAGGTTGTTTCAGCTAATACAAGAGAGAGAGAGAGAGAGAGAGGAAGACCAGTGGTCGTCGTCGGAGAGGAGTGGTCGTCGTCGCCGGTGGTTTGTGGATGAGAACGCAGCTAGTGTAGATCACGATGAAGCATTTGACTTACGTTGAATGAAGGTTTGGTTTTGTTTTTTTTTTTTTTTTTTTTTTTAAATATTTTGGGCCATAAGTGACGCTGCCAATCCTCACTCAATAAAATTTTCAATCCTCACTTTCATGCTCTGTGACGAATGTGCATTATTCGTCACATTTAGTAAAAAATTGGGCGCCAAGATTTCCCGCTATGTAATTTGTGACGACACCGAAATTATAATGTGACGAAGATGGAGCGAAAATTTTGTTAGGTCCTTCCAAGACGTTTAGGTGACGACTTGCAAAATTTTCTCACTTATACAAGCCAAAGGTGACGAAATTTTCAGCGTCACATAAAATTTGGTCACAGAAGGCATGTTTTCTTGTAGTGAGAGAAAGCAAAATTAATTGTAAGCCTACTCACTATGTTTTAAATTTTTATTAAACTCTGTATTGCCGTGATAATTCTTATTACGCCTTATGTTATATTTACCGTTGTGTGAATGATATTACTACGTCGATATGTTTTAAAAAACGTCGTTATAGGTCTGAATTTGGAATCGCTACTCTGTCTTTGTAATTATAGCATAAGACGTCAGTGTTTTATTTATTGCGTCGTTTGAATATATTACTACGTCGAGATGTTTTAAAAACGTCGTTATAGGTCTGAATTTGGAATCGCTACTCTATTTTTTGTAATTATAGCATAAGACGTCGGTGGTTTATTTATTGCGTCGTTTTAAACAAATAACCACGTCGTTCTTTAAGTAACGTCGTTATAAATATATTATAACATCGATTTCTATGTTATTGCTTCATGTGAAATTATATAATACGTCGTTTGTTTATAAATAACCGTCGTGTGTTTTCTTGTGCTGACTTTTTTATATGTCTTTGTTTTAGGATGAATTGCAAAAACAAGTCGCTGAAGGCAGTCTCAGTGTATCTGGCAGTAATGATGTGTTGACCTTGGCTTTGGGTCCCGAGCATCCAGGGAGAGTAAGAGGGGTAGGTGCTGGGATTTCCCCTAGGCAATACTTCAATTTACCTCGACAATAGAGGGTAAAGTTTGCCGATCAATTGAAGGAAAGTGTAAGAATTGTCATTCAAGAAGAGACTAAGAAGATGGAAGCTAGATCAAGGGAAGAGACTTTAAGGATGGAGGCTAGAACCAAGCAATTGGTAGAGGCTGAGAGGGAACATTTACTGAGTCAGCTTTCCCAACTCATCCCCAATTTTGATCCAAGCATGCTTAAACCGAAAACTAGCCCCTGTCAAAACCAAGGTCTAGAGCAAAGTCCAAAAAATCCAATGTCTGACAAAGCAAGCTGCTCTGGGATGTGAGATCCCTACATTTTGAGGATAATACTGCCAAAAATGGGGAAAAGCAGGAAGAAATGGTAACATATCAGAACTTTGAATTCTCTGTTTTTTAAAAGAGCTATTAGACGTCGTTATTATGAAGCAAACCGTCATTTGAAATACATACCACGACGATTTTATTAATAAACCGTCGTTTGTATTTCAATACAAGGTCGTATTTAGTTTACTTGTTTTACACGCCATTAGACATCGTTATTTTTGAAAACTTTTGTGGTGATTTAGACGACGGTTTTAGTCCTTACCGACGTAATATATGAATCCCCACGACGTTTATTATTTACCATCGTTTAATAATTTTAAGACGTCCATAATTTTTACATACCGTCTTAAGTTATGCCTTACCACGACGTTTTGATTTAATTTTTTTACTTTTTGTACAATCTGTCTTATATATATATATATATATATATTTCTTTTTTACTTAAAACAGAAATTTTGGGATTTAGAAAATCAAGATGAAGAGAAGAAAGAATAAAAAAAATATGAAGAGAATAAAGAAGAAAAAAAAGATGAAGAAAAAAAAGATGAAGAGAAGAAAGAAGAAAAAGAAGATGAAGAGAAGAAAGAAAAAAAAGAAGATGAAGAAAAGCATTGTAGCATAAGACTCAAATTTGTGGTTTGTCCTTATCAGTATATATGAGGTTTGTCCTTATCAAATATTTATTTCACACTCAAATTTGTGTTGAAAAAAAAAAAATCATTATAGCATAAGACGTCGGTGGTTTATTTATTGCGTCGTTTGAAACTACTAACCACATCGTTAGTTATGTACCGTCGTTATAAATTAATTATAACGTCGATTTCTATTTCATTTCGTCGTGTGGAATTGTATAATACGTCGTTTTTTATAAATAACCGTCGTGTGTTTTTTGTGCTGACTTTTTTATATATCTTTGTTTTATATATTTAGGTGCTTATATGATCATTTGAAAGTAGCAAATATGTTCAACATGGTTGGCTTTATCGACCCTGCTCAAGTTAGTGCCAACGCTGGGTCACTAACTGATATATCACAAATTGTAGCCAGTTGACTTCAGAAGACAGATGGTGAACAGATTTTCATGATGCCTTACAATCCAGGGTTAGTCTCCTTAACAGGATTTTGTTTGTATGATGCACTGCGTATCAAACTGTTTAACTAATTTTGTGCCGTTTGAAACATCTAACCACGTCGGTTCTTTATTTATTGAGTCATTTGAAATGACTAACCACATCGTTAGTTAATTACCGTCGTGATAAATTTATAATGACGTCGATTGCTACGTTATTTCGTTGTGTGAAACTATATAATACGTCGTTTTTATAAATAACCGTCGTTTGTTTTTTTGTGCTGACTTTTTTATATATCTTTGTTTTATATTAATTTTGTGCAGCCGTCATTGGGTCTTGCTGATTGTGAGAGCAAAGAAGGGAACCGTCTATGTTCTGGATCCTCTGCCCGGAAATTGTGTGGTTAATGAGGAGGCCAAAACATGGTGAACACTGCTATAAAAATTTATAATTCCCACATAGGCAGACAAGGCCGTAAAGCACCCATTTGGAAAACTCTGCCAGGCACACCAAAGCAACCCAGCAATGTCGAATGCAGGTATTATGTCATGCGCTTCATGAGAGACATCATCATGGATCCTTCCTTGGAGTTTGAGAAGACGGGAAGAAGAAAATTTTCAGATACATTTTATGTGGTTTTTTGTATTATCAACGACGGTCCTTTAAAATTACCGTCGTTGAATCGATATACTATGTCGGTTATGAAAATAGCGTCGTATGTGATTGAATTTCTTTTTATTTATAAAGCTTAATAATCATTGTTTATGGATTGCAGTTTGCCAAGGGAAAAGGGCAAGCGCCATACCCCCAAGCAGCCATTGATGAAGTCAGAAATGAATGGGCAGAGTTTGTTTGCCTTCATGTGGACTAGAGGATTTTTAGAACACTTGATATTTTTATAATGTACAAATTTTGTCTATAATATATAATGCACAAATTTTGTCTATAATATATAATGTACAAATTTTGTCTATAATATATAATGTACAAATTTTGTCTATAATATACATCCGTTTTTTCCCTGAAAATTTGTTGAGGTTTTCTTAATTAAAAAAAAACAAATTGCGTAACCGACGTGTAATAGTTTGAAACAAAATCGACGTAAAAGGATATTTAGACGACAGGTATGACGTGGTAATTAAATCACACGGCGACACCTTTTTTGTTTAAGTCGTGATATAACGTTTGTACGTCTATAGGACGTCGTTTTAGTGAAAATTTCGCCATGGTTTCGCTTTTAAACGACGTCCTTTCAACAAGTAAGTCGTTTATTATATTTACAACGTCGTTACTTTCTTAAAGTGGACGTGGTTTGTTGTGTTTGTGGGAATATTTTATTCTATTTCATTCAAAATATTCAAAATAAATATAAAATAGATCAAAAAAATGCAACGTCAACTCCTATGAAGTCATTGATATATTTTCTTCCCCCTAAACCTTAAAAAAATTCAGTTTGAGCAATACAAATTTAAAATGACCACCCAAAAATAAATTGTTTTGATGAGTCATAACATCACTTGTAGTTTGATGATTTAGGGTTCAGGGTTTAGGGTTGTTATTTATTAGGGTTTAGGATTAAAGGATAATTTTTGGGGTTTACGGTTTATGTTTGTTATATATTAGGCTGTAAAACAATAAACCCTTTTATAAAATTATATTTATAAAATATGTAATTTAGGGTTTATGGTTTAGGGTATTACTTTTTAACGACGGTAATTGAGTCGTGGAATATTGAGTTTACGTCGGATGGTGAAACATCCGCCATGGTTTCTCTTTTAAATGACGTCCTTTTTACAAGTGAGTCGTTTATTATGATTTACAACGTCTTTAATTTATTAACCCCGACGTGGTTTGTAGTTGATATAAGAATATTTTATTATTTTTAATTCAACATATTCAAAATAAATATAAAATAAATTCAAAAAATGAAACGTCAAATCCTATAAAGTCATTGATATATTTTCTTCCCCCTAAACCTTAAAAAAATTCAGTTTGAGTAATACAAATTTAAAATGACCACCCAAAAATAAATTGTTTTGATGAGTCATAACATCACTTGTAGTTTGATGGTTTAGGGTTGTTATTTATTAGGGTTTAGGATTAAAGGATAATTTTTGGGGTTTACGGTTTATGTTTGTTATAAATTAGGCTGTAAAACCATAAACCCTTTTATAAAATTATATTTTAAAAATATATAATTTAGGGTTTAGGGTATTACTTTTTAACGACGGTGATTGAGTCGTGGAATATTGAGTTTACGTCGAATGGTGAAACATCCGCCATGGTTTCTCTTTTAAACGACGTCCTTTTTACAAGTGAGTCGTTTATTATGATTTACAACATCTTTAATTTATTAACCCCGACGTGGTTTGAAGTTGATATAAAAATATTTTATTATTTTTAATTCAAAATATTCAAAATAAATCCAAAAAATGAAACGTCAACTCCTATGAAGTCATTGATATATTTTCTTCCCCCTAAACCTTAAAAAAATTTAGTTTGAGTAATACAAATTTAAAATGACCACCCAAAAATAAATTGTTTTGATGAGTCATAACATCACTTGTAGTTTGATGGTTTAGGGTTGTTATTTATTAGGGTTTAGGATTAAAGGATAATTTTTGGGGTTTACGGTTTAAAAGACGTTATATATTAGGCTGTAAAACCATAAACCCTTTTATAAAATTATATTTTAGTAATATATAATTTAGGGTTTAGGGTTTAGGGTATTATTTTTTAACGACGGTATTTATGTTTTCAGTCGATGTTTACTTTTTTGACGACGGTGTTTATGTTCCTTTAAAATGACGTTGTACATGAATAACAACGTCATCGATTTAAAAAAAAAAACGTAAAAGGTTATTCAAACGACGCTATTGGTTCAACAGACGACGTGGTTTCTTTAAAATAAACGGCGTTGAGTTCAGTGTTTGAGTTGTGGAATAATGAATTTACGTCGGTTTTGGTAAAACTTTCGCCATGGTTTCTCTTAGTTTTGATGGCTTCGATTGTTTTTTTCGTCGATGTTTTAAAGAGCACGCTTTCCAAAAAACATTTCGTGCTACCTAAAATTTTCAAATTTCGGGCAACATGACATTTCGCTCTCTCCGTTAATCTATAATTCAAAGTTTGGCTCTCCAGGCTCCGTTGAATCCAAGTAGGCCATAATCTGTGAGCTCTGCCAACCAGTAAGTACAAACCCTTGTTTTCCCCTTGTAAATTCATTGAATGATATTAGGTTGTTTTGTTAAAGGGTTTTAGATATTGAGAAGAATGTTTGCGATAGTATCATTGGTACATTGCTGGAGATCCCTGGAAAAAATAAAGATGGGATTGCTGCTCGATTAGATTTATTGAACATGGGGGTCAAAACTGATTTGCAACCCGAGTATGGAGAAAGACGTACTCGTTTGCCTCCTGGGCCTTGGAATTTGTCAAGAGCAGAGAAGAAAGAGGTTTGCAATTCTTTCTATGGTATGAAGGTCCTTGAAGGTTATTCTTCAAATATAAAAAATCTTGTATCTTTACAAGATTCAAGACTTCTTGGCCTTAAATCACATGATTGTCATACCTTAATGCAACAATTGCTCCCTGTGGCAATTTGTTCTGTTTTGGAGAAGCCTGCAAGGTATGCAATAACTCGTTTGTGCTTCTTCTTCAATGCTATATGTGCAAAGACTGTTGATGTTTCCAAGTTAGATAAGTTGGAAGAAGATGTAGTAGTTACTTTGTGTTTGCTTGAGAAGTACTTTCCCCCTTCATTCTTTGATATCATGGTTCATCTAGTAGTACATCTTGTCAGAGAAGTTCGTCTATGTGGGCCAGTATATTTTAGATGGATGTATCCGTTTGAAAGATATATGAAAGTGCTAAAGGGGTATGTTCAGAATCGTACTCGTCCCGAAGGTTGCATTGCTGAGCGGTATATAGCTGAAGAAGCTATAGAGTTTTGTACCGAGCATTTATCTGATGTTAGTATAGTTGGAGTGCCTTCAAGCCAAAAGATGAGAGTTTCAAAGCCATTATCAGGTTGCACAGTGAGCGTAGTTGATCGGGACCTGTTGAACCAAGCACATCTATATGTCTTGGAGAATACGGAGGAAGTCCTACCTTATATCGAGTACGTATGAGTTTTATTCTTTAAGTTTCCATTTTAAATTATTTCTTATGTTTATCTTATATGTTTGGGACCGTAATGCTTGAATTTTTCGTGTCATGTAGGCAACATATGATCCACATCAAGACCGCTTATCCAAAATTTAGAAAGAGAACAAAGTGGCTGCAGGATAAGCACAATAGCACTTTCATTCAATGGCTACGCTTCAAGGTATATGTTATTGAATAACATATTGGACTTTTAATTTTCTTCTTTCTATGTTAGATTGAATTAAGATATGATTAATTTGCAGGTTCAAAGTGAACTTAATGAGGAAGACAATCATGGCGTATCAGAAAATTTAAGGTGGCTAGCAGCTGGTCCAAACATGGCAGTGCCATCATATAGGAGCTATCTTATTAAAGGTATTAAATTTAACATCAAGGCACAAGATGATGTGCGGACAACTCAAAATAGTGGAGTTTATTTACTTGCACATACCATGCAAGTTGCTAGTGCCAAGGATAAAAACCCAATTCTCTCAAATATGGGTTTCTATGGTGTCATTCAAGAAATTTGGGACATTGACTACCAAAAGTTTACAATCCCAGTCTTTAGGTGTGATTGGATAGATAGTACTTCTGGTCTTGTAGTCGACGAACTTGGATTTACCCTTGTAGATTTGAGTAAAATTGGACATAGGAATGACCAATTTGTTTTGGCTTCTCAAGTCAAACAAGTATTTTTTGTTGACGACCCGATGCATCGTGGTTGGTCGGTAGTGTTATCAATGCCTAATAGAGAATATAATGATGTTATTGGTGATGATGATGTCTTAGGTGATGTGAGAATTGAGTGTGAGCCATTTACTAGAGGGATGCCAAATGTTGACACATTTGATGAACTAGTGGGTGAGTTTGGGAGTCAAAATATTCGAGATGGGTGTGAAGATATATGGATTGAATGATGCTTATGTAATTGGCAGTGTATGACATTAATTTTGTAATATATTGTAATGTGATTTCTTCACTTTCATTATACAGGTTTTGGCCACAAAACAATCAGTACAAAAAATACTGGTTCAAGATTACAAACACGACGGTCTTGATAAAAATGTGAAAAACAAACGTCTGTTCTAATAAAAAACGACGTTTTGGAGCATTCAACGACCGCAATATATTTACCGACGTCTTAAAGCAACGTAACAAAGAAGAACCACGACGCTATTGTGAAACAGTTATTAAGGATATCACGTCGGAGAAGCATAAAGAGCCGCCATGTAATTCCAAATAACACGACTCCAATCCCATAATACCGACGTCTAAAAGACGAGATATCTAACCTGAACGTTACAAAAGACGACGTCGTCTTAACTTTACCACGTCGCATGTTATTTCATAAACGAAGTGGAAAAGGATGAATTCACGACGGTATTTTAAATCCATTAGTAAATTTGTCGACGTTAAGATATATTTGGACGTCGTTCCTTTACAAAAACAACGTTATATGAATGTATCCACGTCTCTTTTCTTATGATAATGTCGTTAAAATTTCTTTACACGGCTAATATCGGATTAACAACGCCGTCTAATAGGAATTAGACGACGGTAATTTTTTTAATGATGACGTATATATTATGAAACACGGCTGTCTTTTGCATGATAACGACGTTGTATATTGACGACAACGTCGTCTTTATAAATTAATATGTCGTAAGTAATGACCCCAACATATTTTCCACGTCGTTTATTTTAAGATCGTGTCGTTAAAACTATTTTACACGGCGGTGAACTGAGAAACCTTGCCGTGTCAGATCCATTAGACGACGATTATATTTTAAGAGATGACGTATAAATTCTGTAATACGGCTCTCAATTATTTGTAACCGACGTTGTTTATTAGTACAACGTCATCAGTTTAAATATATGCGTCGTAAGTAATGACCCTAACATCTATTTCCACGTCATCATTAATAGAAAAATCGAAGTGGAAAATTCATTTCACGACGGTTGTTGAAAATATACTGACGTAGTAGGAGTCAATAACGTCGTCGATTATGTATTTAAAGACGTCATATTTTTATTTGTCGTGAAAGGTATATTTAATGGTGCTGGGTTTTAGTTCTCGTCGTTGTATGTATATCTTGCAGCCATGTTCTGTTAATATATGTCATATATTTCCTTTTTAATGACGTTTTTTGTTAGAATTGGTCGTCTATTTTCATCCTCGACTGTTTTTTTTATCTCTTTTTCCATTACAAAGACGTCGGTTATTATTTGTTAATGACGTTGTTTGTTTTAACAACGACGGTGATTTAGCGTCGTGGTTTGACACCCAAATAGATGTCGGTCGATTCCACGACGGTTTGAAAACCGAATACACGACGGTGAATTCCCGTCCTCTTTATCCTTTTTTGTAGTAGTGATGGCTTGACATTAATGAATCTATCTCATCATCTATTGCCTTTTTTCCGAAAGGCAGCATCTCTTGAAGCCATTGCTTCGCTTAGACTTTTAGGATCATCTTCTATATTCAATACAATGGGTATCTTATTTAGAACTTGATTTATGTCTCCTACTAAAAATAGAATAGATTAAGATGAAATAAAATATGGACCTGGAGTCTTTTCTTTTCTTATTCTTTGAGTTTTTCTAGGTTCAGTAACAGTTTGAGGCTGTTTTCTTTTCTCTCTTTGAGAAGAACTAGTATCCATAGAAGACAAAGGTGCTTGATCATTTCCTTGTACAAACCTTGAATCATTATAGAATTTATTTTCTATAAATTCAACATGTCTAGGTGTCTTATTTAAGACTGCATGCATTTACTTTCTTTTTCTTACAAATCAATATTTGGCTATTTTATTTCAAAAAAATATAGAAGAATAAAACGAGAATGCAACATTTGCTGATAAATACTCTATTAAGAATTATGCTCTTGTCAAAGCACTTAGCCGAGAGCGTCAAGAGGAATTGGGTTTGGCCTGAGATATATGGGCATGTCTGCCACTAATCTTGCTTCTAAATAATCGCTCTTGATTTGGGTTTCTTTGGGATGTGAAATTGGATGAGTTGGTGCTGAAGTGAAATGGGTTCTGATCACTTGTTCTTGTCTTTAAGATACTAAAGCAAGCTGCAAGCAGAAGCACTGAGATTGAGAGAGAATATCGAGAGTTTCGGAAATATCGATGGTCAAAAAACACGGATATATCAATGGAAATATCGAGGAAATATCGATATCGATAAAAATTGAATAAAAATCACGGAAATTGTGAGAAAAAATTGGAAATTTTTATTGTAACTTTAGAGGATGTTTATTTAGTCAATTGTCTATTATTTTATCACAAAAAATTGGAATAAAATGCATGGCATGGTGGGTTTGAGTGATTTAAGTTGATTATGTAGCGACCTGACAAACACTGTGCCTTTAGAAAATATGTAGTAATTAATAAAAGAAAATTAAACACACCATAATTTTTTAGTTATAATAATTTACTACAATATATTACATATGATAAGATATATGAGCTTGGAAAAAAAATATATATATATATATATGAGTAACTTAGTACCACATAGAAAGAATTCGTTAAAACTTAGTACCACATAGAAAGAATTCATTAAAACTTAGTATCACATATAATGAACAATATTAAAACTCAATAGTGAAAAATAATACAACTCCATAATATATAACCAAAAACAAAAAAAATACAACTCCATAATAAAATAATAAATAACATTAAACATATGCCTAAATTTATCATTAGGGATTTTTTTTAATGGAAATTTATCCTAGATAATATTAGCTTGCAGAAATTTTAAAAACCATATAAATATTACACGTCGTAGCTTTATTAACAAACTCGTCCACAACATGTTGGATAAGGCTCAGTAGGAGGATTAGAGAGAGAGGGGTTCGAGTCCCCTTAGGCGCAAAACCGCCATTTCTCAACAATTTTCATTTATTTTTCAGTTTCATATCACGATATTTAAATGGATATGTGCTATAATATTGCCCATTCAAAAAAATGATATTATATTTAAGACTCTGGAATGAACTAATGATGAAGTGAATTGGGTTATATATTTTGATGTAACCTATTATTGTCAATACAACAAAACCCTTCAACCAAATGTTCTTTACATGGTATCAGAGCACCTTCCTAGTGCCTGATTACTTGACCCTCTTAGAACCCTAGCAAACTTTCCAGCACCATGGCAGGAGGAGATTCAACACCCCCAGAAACCAAAAATTCCAAATCCAACAATTCAAACAACATCAATAGTAATCCCGATATGGATTCATCAAACCCATACTATGTTCATCATTCAGATCATCCTGGTCATATGCTTGTTCCAACAAAATTGAACGGCACCAATTACCCATCTTGGAGTAAATCCATGGTGCATGCTCTCACAGCCAAAAACAAAATTGGCTTTGTCAATGGCTCCATTCTGCCCCATCAAAAACAGAACACCCGACACAATATGCTCTCTGGAATTAGTGCAATAGTATGATTTTATCATGGCTTGCTCACTCAGTGGAGCTTGATCTAGCCCAAGGGGTTGTTCATGCCAAAACTGCCCAACAAGTTTGGGACGATTTCATAGATCAATTTTCACAAAAGAATGCACCAACAATCTATCATATCCAGAAGTCTATCGCCTCTCTCTCATAAGGCACCATGATAGTCGTGACCTATTTCACAAAACTCAAAGGCCTTTGGGACGAATTAGAGACATACAGAACTCCTCTCACCTGCAATGAGACAAAAGCACACAACGAACAAAGAGAAAAAGATAAGATGATGCAATTTCTCATGGGCCTCAATGACACATTTAGTGGCGTTCGCAGCAACATCCTCATGATAACACCATTGCCCGAAGTCCATCAAGCTTATTCACTCGTCATTCAAGAGGAAAAACAACGACATATGACATAGGGAACAACCGAGAACTTTTCTATTGCTACAGCTATCCAAAGCCGTCCAAACAGCTCCAGAAATAAACATTGTGATCATTGTGATCGCAATGGTCGCATAATTGCATATTGCAGGAAATTAAAATTCCATTACAATTTTTGTAATCGAAACGGACATACAGAAGAAACTTGCCGATTCAAGGACGAAACCTACACCTCAAGCGGTCAAGGAAATCTTGCCAGGAATGAAAACCAAGGGTCCAATCGAGGTGCAAACTCATGCCGAAATTCCGGTTTCTCCGGTAGTAACACACGCACCTTCACGTAGCAGTCACGTGGGTTTGTTCCACAAGTGGGCTCATCTTTCCCATCCGCACATGCATCCCAGCAAGCCAACTCTTCAAGTGTCGCACAGCCTTCACAAAACCCAATTCAAGCTCCAGACTTTTCAACCCAGAGTCTCTTGAGTGGACTTACTACTAAACAATACAAACAATTGGCCACAGCCATGTCACTAGTCAACGCCAATGGATCATCCTCTGGTAATAACCACGCATTTGCGAATGCAAGAGGTCTATCCACCTTTACTGTCCCTATTCTGTTTCTAGCAAACCTTGGATTATGGATAGTGGGGCTACATATCATATTACATTTGATTCTACACTTTTCACAAAAATTCAACCATCTCACACTCCCATTGTTAACTTTCCCATTGGTTCTGATCCAGGAGGATCTACCAACAAAAATAAACATAATATAATATAATTATAATTTATTATATTATATTATATTATTAAATTATTTAAAACCACAAAAACTAATGGTTTATAACAAATTGTTATAAACCATAAAAAGTTAATAGTTTCAAAATGAGTAAGATTTTAGGCCATTCATTATTTATGGCTTAAAATCATTTATTATTTTAGTTTAGTTAATTTTAGCAACCGAACCTTGTATAAATACGTAAGTTATTTATTGAAATGAATCAAGCAATTCTGATTGTCTTAAAATTTCTCTTGTTCCCTTATTCATATAAACTTGGAATTCATAGTTCTATTGACTAGAAGTTTTGGATCAAGTGGTATTAGAGCAACAAATTCGTGAGGGTGATGGCGGTTTATGGTCTCAACTCGCAACCAACGCAAAGCTTCTGGAGAAGAACTTTTAGGTCCTTTGCTCGCACACCGAAAGCTAAGGTCCAAGAGAGACATTATGACTGGAGAAAACAAACAGGATACATCTAGTGATGGCGATCGCATCACTAAGCTTGAGCAACAAGTTGAAAACTTGTCTGTGTCAATCCTTAAACTCGTGGAGAGTTTGAAGACTAGAAAACCTTCACATCCATCAACTTCATATGAGCCTAATCAAAAGCTCAAGAAAAAGGTTGTTGAGGATAGCGAAGATGAAGACAACACACAAGCTGATCCAACGAAAAAGGAAGCTGAATCAGGTGACAATAAAAATTCTATTGATACCTTAAAGATTGATTTTAAGGTTGACATCCCTATATATAAAGGAGATGTTGATCCTGAAAAGCTAGATAACTGGATAGACACATTAGAAACTTATTTCACAGTTTATAAGTATTCTAATGTGCAAAAGATAAAATTTGCGAGTTTGAAACTTTCAATCCATGCCCTTACATGGCGGAAGTCCTATCAGAGACGGTATGATGTCTCAGAATTAACTTGGAAGAACTTCAAGATACTTTTGAGACAGCTATTCTATCCAGTTGGCTATGAAGATGAAAGATAGTATAAGTGGCAACATTTCAAACAAAGATTTGGGCAGCCTGTACAAGAGTATACAACAGAGTTCCATAACCAAGCTATGGTTTTGGACATTGACGTCGACAACTACAATGTTTTCATGAAGTATACCGGAGGTCAGGAAAGAACTAAAATTGTTCACCGTAGATACTATTGAAGAAGCTACTGTAAAGGCCATTGCCATTGAGGCAAGAAATAAAAGAACTGACAAGAAGGATGACAGATCAAAACTTATCAACAAAACTGACTGGCAGAAAAAGGGGAAGCAGAACAAGGAAGGTTAGACAAAGAAGGTCTATTGTGATCACTGTTAAACCAGCAGACATGCCAAAGACAAGTGCTGGATACTCCATATGAGTTGTGGCCAAAGCGCGAGAAAAACAACCAGGGCAGAAATGACAGAAAAGCCACCTTAGTTGCACAACAGGCAGAAGAGCTTCCAGAGTTGAAGCAACCTGATGTTACACTTACCCTTATGATAAGACCAGCAAATGCTGAAGACATGTACAACCGTGAAGAGTTATTTAATGTGAACATTCAGGTGAAGCAAAGTGTTGTACAAGCTATCATTGACCCTGGAAGTCAGAAAAACTTGATTTCAAAGGCTTTGGTAAGAAAATGGATTTAGACACCACACCACATCCTAAGCCGTACCCACTAGGATGGATTCAGAAGGACATTGACTTACATATCACGAAGCAATGTACCTTCAAATTTGCTATCACCAATTGATATATCGATGAGGTGACATGTGAGGTGGTTCCTTTGGACATTTGCCAAGTCATATTAGGCAGTCCATATTTATGGGACCGAGATGTCATTCACTATCGGAGGCTTCGCAAGTATCGACTTGTGAAAGATGGAAATGAGTTCCACAGCAACGCTTGCAAGCCTCAAGCTACAGATAATTTGCTTACAGATAACTTACTAACAGCTAACCAAGCCACAAGAGGTTAGTCAATTCATGTGGGCGATTTGTTTTGTTGATGATTCAACCGCAAGGTCAGAATTATGGAGTTGTAACATTGTCTACTTTGTCTTTATCTCCTACGCAATGATAAACATAAGGAAATTGCAGGAGAAGTTTAAGGACTTATTTCAGGATGTGCATGGTTTGCGACCACGGAGAGCTGTGGAGCATGAGATCCAGTTGGTAGGAGATTCACCTCTACTAAACTTGGGTTTGTATCGCACTTCTGTGACGGAATCTGACGAGATCAAGAAGCAAATTCAGGGACTTCTTGAACAAGGAGTCATCAAACCTAGCTACTCACCATGTGGTTCACCAGTGTTACTCGTGCCTAATAAAAACAGAGGCTGGCGTATGTGTGTAGATTATAAGGCACTCAACAAAATAACCATCAAGAATCGGTATCCATTGTCGAGGATTGATGACCTGCTAGATCAACTACATGGTGCAAGCTACTTCACTAAGCTTGATCTCAAATCTGGCTATCATCAAGTCTGCATCCATGAAGAAGATACTTGTAAGACTGCATTCAAAATAGAGCAGGGACTGTTTGAGTGGTTAGTCATGCCATTTGGGTTATGTAATGCTCCAGCTACCTTCATGCGATTGATGAATGAGGTACTCCGCCCTTTGATTGACGACTTCGTCATTGTATATTTGGATGACATTGATATTCAATGGTACATGGGAGGACCATTTTCGTCATATTACTCAAGTTTTGGAGGTTCTTCGAACAAATCAACTATAGTTAAATAGTAAGAAGTGTGAGTTTGGGAAACAACACCTTGTATACCTGGGATTCATTGTTGGTGCAGGAGAACTGAAAGTGGACCTAGAGAAAGTGTAGGTGATTTCTCAATGGCCTACTCCCCAAACAGTGATTGAAGTTCGGAGCTTTATAGGTGCATGTCAATATTTGTGAAAGTTTGTTCAACACTTGTCACAAATTGCAGCACCCTTACATTCTCTTACAAAGGCCAATCAAAGGTTTGAATGGTTGAGAAACCATGAGGAATCTTTCCAGTTGTTGAAACAGAAGATTACAAAGGCCCAAGTTTTAGCATTACTGAATTTGCAGAGACCATTTGAAGTGGAAGTAGATGCATCAAACTATGCTATGGGAGCCGTATTATTTCAAGATGGAAAACTAGTTGCATACCATTCTGAGATGTTTAGTGGACCGGTATTAAACTATCTGACTTATGATAAGGAGTTGTATGCAATGCATCAAGCAGTGAAGCATTGGAGAGCTTACTTGTTGGGAAAAGATGGAAACTTCTTCTGTTTTTAACTACACAGTCTAAGTTGCAGTAAGCTCGCCATATGAAATGGATGTCTTACCTACAACAATTCAATATTGTGATAAAGTACAAGAAAGGAACAACTAATAAGTTGGCAGATATGTTATCTAGACCACCTACACTAGTTAGTTCCGCATTGCTGGTTGCTATGCAAATCCAACTCATTGTTCCTTCTGAATATGCTAAAGGGTATGACACAGATACTGGTTTCAACTTAGCCTATGCCAAGCTACAACAAGGAAAGACTAGTGAGTTCCAATTGAAGGATGGACCAATGTACAAAGGAACATAATTGTGCATTCCAGAAGATGGTGACAGATTGCAGTGGATTCGTGAGGCTCATACTTCCAAAGTAATAGGACATTTTGGAGTTGAGAAGACTTTATTGAAAATTCGTCATTATGTGTATTGGCCAAAGATGCATCTCGATGTTTCACGATACATTCGAGGTTGTGTTCTATGCAACACGTCGAAGCCTTTCAATAGAAAGTTAGGACTGTATCTTCCATTGCTAGTACCTAGCCAAGCTTGGGAGAGTATCTCGATAAATTTCTTAGGTGGATTGCCTAAAACCAAGTCTGGAAATGACTACTTGTTTGTGGTGGTAGATCGTTTCAGTAAGATGGTGATTCTCATTCCATGCAAGAAGACCGTTATTGGAGAAGGAGTTGCTAAGTTATTTTTCCAACATGTTTGGAAGCATTTTGGCTTACCTACATATATTATTTCTAATAGAGACAGTCGATTCTTAGTCCATTTCTAGAGGTCGTTATGGGGAACGATGGATACCAGATTGAAAAGAAGCACTGCATTTCTCCACAAACGGATGGGCAAACGGAGGTCGTAAACCAGACTATGGTACACTTGTTGAGGGGTTATAATTCCAAGCATCTGAAGACTTGGGATGAAAGTCTCCCTTACTTACAGTTTGCTTTCAACTGAGCAATTCGTGGCTCCACACTCAAATCTCCATTTGAGGTTTGTTTGGGTTATTTACCCCAGAGTCCTTTCGATTTAGCATTCACTATGAGTGACCAACCATTAAGTGGGAAAGAAGAAGAACATATTCGAGCACAAAAATTTCTCGAACTTGTCAGAAAGATTCATATTGAACTGGAGGCACAATTGGAACGTTCTCAGCAACGATATGAAGCTCGCCATGATAAGCATCATGTGCCATGTAACTTCAAAGAAGGTGACCTAGTATGGTTACACCTTGGAAAGGAGCGGCTAACTGATGAAGGCAAGAAACTGAAGCCTATTCGTTATGGACCTTTCAAGATCATCAAAGAAATTGGTGATAATGCCTTTCAACTTGAATTAGCACCATACATGCATATGTACTCGATCATCAATGCTGAGAATCTTAAGCTTTTTGAGCCATCTCTACTTGATGATGATCTCGACAAAGACACTTGTCTTCCATCAGTTGATGACTTGCAGATTGAACGAGAAGACCCTTTGCAGGAGGATTGTTTATTGGAACAGAAGGTTCGTGAGACTCGACATGGAAAGTATGAGTATTTCCGTATTGGTAGAAAAGGTCAACATCCTAGCAAGTCGAAATGGTATATTTGAGACAAGGCAATAATAGAGTTTCCTCATCTCAATTTAGCTTGACCAGGAGGTCAAGCATCTTAAATGGGGGAGCCATGATCCAGGAGGATCTACCAACAAAAATAAACATAATATAATATAATTATAATTTATTATATTATATTATATTATATTATAAAATTATTTCAAACCATAAAAACTAATGGTTTATAAAAAATTGTTATAAACCATAAAAAGTTAATGGTTTCAAAATGAGTAAGATTTTAGGCCATTCATTCTTTATGGCTTAAAATAATTTACTATTTTAGTTTAGTTAATTTTAGCAACCAAACCTTGTATAAATACGTAAGTTATTCATTGAAATGAATCAAGCAATTCTGAAAGCAGAAGTCAAAGCAGTTCCTTAGCTTCTTCCTTTTATTTCTCTAATTGTCTTAAAATTCCTCTCGTTCCTTTATTCTTATAAACTAGGAATTCATAGTTTTATCGACTAGAAGTTTTGGATCAGGTTCTTCTGCACCAATTACTTCAATTGGCACAATTCCTTTCAATAACGTTTTGTGTGTTCCTTCCTTTCATTTGAATTTAATGTCAACCAGTAAAATTACACACTCACTCAATTGTTGTGCTATCTTGTTTCCCACGTTTTGTGTCTTGCAGGACTTGGCTACCGGGAAGATGATTGGTATGGGTAAACAACGTGGTAGTCTACATTACATGTCGCCTTTGCCAAGGACACCTGTTTCCTATCAAGTTTCACAACCCTCCAATTTATGGCACCTTCAACTTGGACACCCTTCACCTACTCGTTTTCATTTACTTTCTTCATTGCTTCCTTCAAAAATTGTTTCTGTTGACAATAATTATGGCATTTGTCCTATGGCCAAACAAACAAGAATTCCTTTTCCATTAAGTTCTATTTCATCGCGTTCAACATTTGACTTATTGCATTGTCACATTTGGGGTCTGCATAAAATAGCCTTTCATTATGGAGCTCATTTTTTTCTTACAATTGTTGATGACTTTACTCGATGCACTTGGATTTTCTTGATGGTTCACAAATCTGAAGCACAAACTGTTCTAAAATATTTTTTTTACTTTTGTCAAAACTGAATTCCATTTCAATGTTAAAGCCATTTGCACTGACAATGGTTCAGAATTTTTATCCATGAGAGAGCTTTTACAAACCAATGGGATTGAACATCAACGATCATGCACTCACACTCCACAACAAAATGGATTCGTTGAGTGCAAACATCGCCGCATTCTCAATGTTGCCGTGCTCTATGTTTCCAAGCCAATTTACCTCTCAATTTCTAGGGAGAGTGTGTTTTAAACCGTTGTCTATCTCATAAATCATTTGCCCACTTCATTATTGTCCAATTAGTCACCTTTTGAGTTGCTCTATCACCGGCCACCAACCCTTGACCATCTTAGAGTTTTTGGGTGCCTTTGTTATGCTACTGTGACTCATCCCCTACAAAAATTCGATGCTTGTGATTTTTGTTAGATATCCCAAGGGACAAAAGGGCTACAAACTTTTTGATTTGCATACCTCCAAATTTTTGTCAATCGAGATGTTCAATTCCATGAACATATTTTTCCGTACTCCACTATCCCACCTAATCTTGCTTTCTCCACTCATGTTCTTCCTAACCCAATTTTCGACATTCCTCAACCATTTTCTCTAAATCCAACCATCTGCTGTCTCCAACCATTTCACCCCCAACCCCAACTAGCCCTAACACACCTACCCAGGACCCATGCGTCCACCTCCTAACGCATCCCATGTAGAACCTAGTAGCCCCACTCATTCATCTCCACAACCCCACCCTGCCAACACCACTTTTCGGACTATGACCACCAATCCCGCGGTCCCCCCACACTTCACCTATCCCCCTTTCATCTGAAAACACCTTGTCTCTCATTCCCTTTCAATCAGAACTGACCCTACCTAATCCACAACATTCATCTCCCACAGCTCCAATACGTCATTCCAATTGTCCAAGGCAGGCTCCAGTATGGCACCAGTATTACCACTTGTCCAACCATGCCTCATCATCTGCCCGGTTGCCATTTGCTGTTACAAGTACAAAATACCCACTCTCTCATTTCTTGTCTTATTCTCGCAATTCATCACCGCATTTTGCCTTTTTAGCTAACATTTCAAGCAACACCGAACCCACCAGTTACGCTCAAGCTATCCTTGATCCCAATTGGCAGCAAGCCATGCAAACAGAATTGGATGCTTTGGAACAAAATCATACCTGGACTCTTGTCCCGCTGTGACTTGGACACAAACCCATTGGTTGTAAATGGGTTTTCAAACTCAAATATAACTCCAATGGCACCATTGATCGTTACAAAACTTGGCTTGTGGCCAAGGGCTACACACAGGTGGAAGGCATTGATTACCAGGAAACATTCTCTCCCACTGCCAAACTCACCACATTGCATTGTCTTCTCACTATTTCCATTGCTCGTAATTGGTTCATTCATCAATTAGATGTTCAGAATGCCTTCCTCCATGGCGACTTGCACGAAGTCGTGTACATGGAACCTCCCTCCGCACTTCTCCGACAGGGGGAGAATACCGTATGTCGGCTCAATAAGTCCCTTTATGGACTTAAACAGGCTTCCAGGAATTGGTTTTCCAAATTTTCTGGTGTTATTCAACAGGCATGCTTTCATCAGTCAAAATCCGATTACTCATTGTTCACCAAGGTTCAAAATAATACTTTTACTGCAGTTCTTATTTATGTGGATGACATACTTCTGACAAGGAATGATTTGCAAGAAATGGAGCATCTTAAATCTTTTCTCCTCAAGCATTTTCACATCAAGGACCTTGGTGATTTGAAATGCTTCTTGGGTATTGAGTTCTCTCGTTCCAAGAAATGTATTTTCGTGTCTCAAAGAAGATATGCATTGGACATATTACAGGATGCAGGTCTCTTAGGCGCTCACCTAGATAGTTTCCAATGGAGCAAAATCTCAAGCTCACACCCATAGATGGAGCTTTACTCAATGATCCTATGAAATACCGATTGTTAGTGGGATGCTTGATCTACCTCACTGTAACAAGGCTTGACATAGTATATTCAGTTAAGACATTGAGTCAATTCATGCATGAGCCTAGAAAACCACATTGGGATGCAACACTCTGTGTTCTCAGCTTCATCAAACATTCTCCAGGTCAAGGATTATTATTTCTTGCATCTAACAATCTTGCTTTGACAGATTATTGTGATTCAAACCATGCTGGTTGTCGTACCACAAGACAATCTGTCACAAATTTTTGTATTTTTCTGGGAAATTCTCCCATATCATGGAAATCCAAAAAGCAACAACAACTTTCTCGTTCATCTGCAGAAGTAGAGTATCGAGCCATGGCTAATGCTTGTTTGGAACTAACTTGGCTACGATACATACTACATGATCTGAGAGTCCCTCAGGTTAACCCAGCTCCATTATATTGCGACAGTCAGGCTGCTTTATATATTGTTGTGAACCCTGTATTCCATGAGCGCACCAAACATATTGAGATAGATTGTCACATCATTCGAGAAAAGCTACTTGCCGGACTGATCACTCCTTCATATGTTCCTTCCCATGCTCAGATAGCAGACATTTTTACGAAGCCTTTGGGAAAGAACGACTACACTAGATTAAGCAATAAGTTGGGACTTCATGACATTCACTCTCCAACTTGAGGGGAGTATTAGAATAATATATTGTAATTGATATGTAATTGCTGTAATATGTTAATTATAGTATAAATAGAGTAGTTTACTTGATATAGGCAGACAAATCCAAATCAATCCCTAGGATTGAGGATCATAGCTATGATGACTTTGTAATACTGGTAGTGTATATTTTGATGTACCCTATTATTGTCAATACAACAAAACCCTTCAACCAAACGTTCTTTACACACTACATGACATGACTAGTACCAAGTAGCAAAGCAAAGATACGATTAATCCGATTAGATACGACCCTGAAAGTATAATCATATTCAGATAAAAAGGCAACTAGGTTCGCACCTAGCAATAAGCCAAACGAAATATCATTCCCCTGTCTAGTATTTTCTCCCCCATGACCAGACTGAAGAGAGCGAAATTCAATCTAAGAATCCTGTTATCCCAAGTCAACCTCCCATCACCATGACCTGACTGAAGAAACTAATTAGAAGAGAGAAGAAAAAATTCACCCTATGACAAGAGGAAAAATAAAATTGGGGGAGAGAGTAGAAGAAAGAAAGAAAGAGAAAGAGAAGAGAGAAGGGAAGAGAAAAGTGAAGAAATAGATACAACCCATTCAAATGTGGGACAACGTAGTGGAGAAGTCAATGATGCAAACAGCACTGTAAATTGATCAAAAATTCTACAGTGGACCTGGCGCCAAGTCCCATTGACTGTTAGATTTCGTTAAAATTTCTTAGGTAAATCTACACCATTGAATAGAATAACCTGAAAACCTACTCAACAGGTTGAAAAAAAATTCCCAACCCGTCAAAATCTAAGTCCCTCTTCACTTCATCTTTCTCTCGCTCTCTTTGACCCCAAACCCTCACTCTCTCTCTCTCTCTCTCTCATCCAAATCCCTTTTCCTCTTTGTTTTCAGACTTAACGTCCGCAATTCTCTCTCTTTCTCTCATCTCAGCCTCCTCCTCTCATGTAGGGCATCAAGGATTTGGCCAAAATGACGTTGTTCATGAATGAGAGCTATGCAGACCGAAGGCTTCCTCATCATTGCAACCCCAAAGAGTTTGTTCCATTGGACCATTTGGCAAGTCAATTTTATGTCTCTCTCTTCCATCAAGATTACTCTCTTTAATTTGCCCTTAATATGGATTATTATAATTGATATTGTATTTAACAAGTTGGTGGGTGCTGGTGTTGCAGATCTTTGGGAGATGGAGAATCTAGGTCAAAGTTTTCAAGCCTGGTCACTAAATCTAATAGCCAGGATGCATCACTCATTGCTTTCAGCTCCTACCCTCAATGCTCCATTGCTCATGCGACACTACTTCTCTGCCCCTAGTTTCCTTGTCTCTAACGCTCCCAACAACAAGGAATTGGTGGAGCAGTTGATGCCAGACTACGACGAGGAGAGAGTCGAGCAATGTTGACTACTCATGGCGGTTGAACTTCGACAGTGTCCAGGTGTCCTTAGAGAGCACAAGGAGAAAAGACTTCCCCGTGGCCTCCATGACTGCCTGGGGTTTTTAGGTAATTTCGTATCTTCACCTTCATTGTTAAAGTGTTAGGATTTTGGCTCGTCAAATATGTCCTAGTTGGTTTAGGATTGTTTTAGGAAAATTAGAGGTTTACCAATTCTTGTCCTAGAGGGATTAGGAAAGAATTTCAGTTTTCCTTATTCAATTTAGGTTTGGATTTCTAGAAGTCTATTAGGATTTGGATAAGTGTAATTTCCTAATCCACTTAGGAATAGGAATTCAATCAGCCTTGGGACATGTAAGCCAACTCTATATCTATAAATAGGGTGCGGTAGGGCTTATTTTTACAGCAGGAAAAACAGCCAGAGACAGCCAAGAGTTTTGAGATTAGTTCTAGGGTTGCAAAAGTTCTGTAATCTCTATTATCAATCAAAGGAGTGGTGATTTCTCTACCTAGAGAAATCACAACTGGACGTAGGCAAAAGTTTTGCCAAACCAGTATAATTCTTGTGTGTTTCTAAGTTTTCTAATATTTGCTAGTTTAGTCTACTGCCGTCGGTTACATCAAAGAACAAGATCTAGTGTGCGGGTAATTTAACATAAAGGAATGATATATTTGTTGTGATGATCTTTCTTTTTTCCTTTTTATGGTCTCAACTCAAATGCCAATATTCTGTTGTGTGCTTTGGTATCCCAGAATTTTTCTTGTTTTGGTAGCTCACTTTTTTGTTTTTTTTTGTTAATGAATTAAACAAGTTGGATTCATTTTTGTGGTGAGATTTTAATTTTCCTACTTACATATGAATATATTTGCAATTCCAAAGGGTGTGGAGGATATAATTTGCCATATAAAAAAATGTAATCGAAAAAGCTTAAAGTGGAGGTGAATTGGAAACATTTGTGGGAGAGTGCTGGAGATGAGCGGTTTATAGTTTATGGGTTTTTTAATGTGCTCTGTGTTATGCAAAGTGTCTTTAGGATTGTTGGGTTCCTTACTTGTGCTGCCCCTTGTATGGAATGATCTTCAGGTTTTGTGTGATTAGAATGGTTAAAAGCACTAAATTTTATTATTTTTATTTTTAGGTACTTCAATCATGGAAGAGAAGGAAAATTAAATACAATGGTCGTTTGGCAATTACCATTCAAACCACCGGCTTTCGCAAATTAGAATGACAATTACATATTTATTTCTTTTCAGAAAAAAGAAAAAAAGAAAAAAAAAGAATGGCAACTACATAGTGCATGTTTGTCAATTGCCAACATGAAGTGGCTGTGTTGTAGTAAAATAAAGGAGTTTTATATGAGCTTTGTGATGTAAGGCATATGGGCTAACACTATGCCAAATTTTACTTTCCGCAACTCTACATAGGCATCGGTGAAATGAAATACCGATGTTGTTAGTATATTAGGCATCGGTTTTATAAATAATAAGGCTAAAAGTATATAAAGGCATCATCACAAATATTTGGTTTTTCCTACCGATGCCATTGATTATACTTAGCATCTATGATAGAAATATACTGATGCGTAAAATTATTATGCGAAAAATAAATTTAAGCGCCACATTTAACACCGATGCCAAAAGCCTAGTTGACCGCTACAGTGATTTTCCCCTAAAAGCCTAGTCACTATGAGCTCTCATCCTTCTCACCTTCAAACTCCCTCTCTTCTCTCTCGCGATACCCCAGTCCCCCTAAACCCTATCTCGCGCTATACCCACAGTCACAGTACTCTCTCATCACTCTCTCATCCAGTCACAGACAGTCACTCTGCCTACCTCTTCTTCTTTTTCAGATCTGTGCTCTTCGGTCGTCTCCTTCCTCCCTCTCGAGGCTTCTTCTTTAGCTAGGGTTCGTAACTCTGATCCTTTACCGGCACGTGCAATTGCTTTTACGAGTCCGAGACTGTCGTTTTGTGCACTTTATGTTGATTTTACCTTTGTTTTTACTTCGGCTGGGTGTTGTTTGGGTGATGAGAAATAGCGAGAAAAGGCAGAGGGCGAAAATGGATTTTTCGCTTATCAGTTTATCTTTTTTATATTTGTTTTTTGGGTTATCGAATCTACAAAGACGAAAGCTAAAAATCAAATAGCTTCAATTAAGAAATTTAGGAATTGGGTTTAGGGTGGATTTAATTTCTGGGGTTTTTCTTGCAGAAAATCTAGGATTTTGTAGGAATATCAATAATGATTTATGTTGATGCTTTTTCGGAGAGAGTCAATTTAGAGAAAAAAGGTTTTGTCTTCAGCAGTGGAGAAGGTGAGGACCTTCTGTAAGAGACTAGCCTGTAGAAGACAAAGTAGGAGAAGCAATCGTTAAGCTTCGAACACCGGTGTGGTGCCGGCCGAAGGCTCTCCGATGCTTAAGTCGGCTAAGAGTAGTAACTTTAGCAGACTAACAGCAAAAGGTAAGAAAGTAGTTACCCTTTTTACTAGGGTACTGTTCCCTATTTGTAGGGAAGTGAAAATGGGAGGTTTGTGTAGATTTCCGATGTGGGACTTTGTGTAAGTTGCTGTGGTGGTGACACGTGTCATGGAGATTAGGTTTGGCAGTTTGAGAGCTTTGGCAGTCAGGAGCTTCGGCAGGTGTCTGGCACCTTGGAAGAGTGTCTTCCTTCGGCAGGAGAGAAGGCGTGTCTGCCTTTGGTGCTAGTCGTTTTGATGCTAGACATGCTTGATTGATTATGGTGTAAACAATAGTCCCTCAAGTTCGCGGTCAAGAAGTAACTTCTAGGTTGGGAACTTGTTAGATTTTATGTAATCATGACCGAGCATTCCAGATTTAGTGGGAGCCGTAGGGCATTCCCTAGTCCCCCAAGTTGACAAGCTAGAAGTTGCGTGAACACTTGGAAGGTGTGATAAAAAACTATGTGAGCTTTTGGAATTATTTGGTAGCTGGGTACCTGAGTGTTTGGTAGGGAGCCCGAGGGTGGGCTCTGTGGAGCTGGGTTTCGGCAGAAGTCGGGGAATTGGAGGGCTTGAGCATGTGTTGGGAAAAAGCATGCGTGAGACTTTTGCCATGGGAACCCCTGCCAATTTGGTGCAAATTGTGGTAGAAAAATCTTGTTTGAAGAGACCCCCCTCCAATCCGATGCCGGCATCATGCAGGACTTTTTTTTTTTTTTTTTTTTTTTTTTTTTTTTTTTTTTTTTGGTTGGCCCTTGGGCTTGTGTAAGTGTAAATGGCTAAGTTGTATCTGACCTTTGGTGCAGGTTCAATGAAGTGGGGGCCGATCTCCAAGGAGCAAGAAGAGGAAGTTGAGAAGGTGAGATCACTGTTGTCGGGGACCGAGCGCGAGTGCAAAAACCGAGTCACCCAGAAGAATTTGTTTGAGTTCGGCCTTTTGCAAGGGAGTAAGTACTTGGGTCACCTGGATGACTAACTTAGCGTTTGATGTGCAGAGGCAGGTATCATAAAGGGAAGCACGAAAGTGGTTGTGGACCTGGATGACGCTGAGATGTAGAAACGGTTTAAGGAGTCTCGGGCGCAGATGGTTGGGAAGGGGGTGCCCATGCAAGCGGTTGGGAAGCATCCTAGAGATAATGATGAAGGCTTGGTTGCCAATGTGCTGGTAAAGAAGAAAGCGCTAGAGGAAGCTCACCGGAGTGTGATGGGAACAGGGCCGAGGCTTCCTCCCTTTGACCTGCAGGTGCCGCCAAAGCTCCCCTTTGGTATGGAGGACGTTTATGCCAAGGGGGTGGAGAAGATGGACTTCTCCAGGCTGCGTCGGCAGAAGTTGGACTTCACCAAAACTCCCCTGGTGAACGTCTTCCTGGAAGGCGTGAAGTGTGACCCAGAGGTTCTAACGAGGACGCCGGCCACTTCCTATGCAGATCGGGCCCAGAAGACGTTTCTTACCCATGCCTATGTAAGTTGTCTTGCTTTATGAATTTGTTCTTATCATTCTAGTTTGTCTTTTATTGATGATGCCTTGTGTTGCAGGCCTAGGGCGAGATGTACATAAACATGGCCAAGGCAGATAAGGAGATCTAGAGGTTGAAGAGGCACAACGAGATGGCCAAGGACAAGATAGCGGAGGCGCAGGATGCCATCCGAGAAAAGAACGCCCTGCTATTGCAGAAGGCAGTACTAGCCAGAGAGGTGGAGGAGCTGAAGCGGTTGAAGGCCGAAGAGGTGGCTGCTGCCCGGGCCGAAGTGGAGCAGAAGAAGGCCAAAGATATAGCTGCTGCCTGAGCCGAAGCGATCGAGTCGTTTCGGGGTTCAGAGGAGTTGAGGAGCTACATCATGGATCAGATGGTGGCTATGCAGCTATGTTGGGAGCAGAGGTTGGCGAGGTTCAACCCTTCGGTGGAGATTAACTTTGATAAGAGTGGCGAGCCTCCTTCACCTAGTCCTAGCATGGATGCCACTCCAGAGCCAGAGCCAGCCACTACGGATGCCCTTCCACCGAGTCTTGAAGGCGTTGCCTTCTTTATGTACTGCAGTTATTTATTTAAAACACTTGATGTTTATTTATGTTATGTATGAACATTTTGCCTTGCCTGGGCCAAGGTTATTTTGATTTGCTATGATATTAGACTTGTTGTCATTTGATATCAATTGTGCTAGCAAAATGATAATCATGTGATTGATGAGAAGTAGCCAGAGTCAGGCGTTTCATTAAGTAGGTGCCAAAGGGCAGAAGGTACAGAGTAATGGCTCAAAACCAAAGTATAAGAAAACATAATGTCCTAGGGTCTAGGTATGTTTACTTATAGAAGTACTTGAGATGATCAGCGTTTCAAAGATGTGGCAAGGTTTTGCCCTTGGGATCGCGAAGATGATACGCGCCGGGTCGGCAGACTTTGGTAACCTCATAAGGACCTTCCCACGTAGGGCCTAAGGTACCTTCAGTCGGATTCTTGGTGGCCAAGGAAACCTTGCGCATGACCCAGTCCCCAACATAAACCTCCATGGTGTTGCCAATTAGTGGAGTGAAGATGCTGTTCACCAGACGCTGATACGTAACCCTGGCATTCTTGAGGCCGAATGACATGACTTTGTAGCAGTAAAGGCCACGATCAGTGATGAAGGATGTATGGCCTTGGTCCTCAGGGTGCATGAAGATCTGATTGTACCCTGAGTGAGCATCTATGAAGCTGAGGAGGGTGTGGCCAGCTGTGGCGTCAACTAGCTGGTCAATGCGGGGTAGGGGGAAACTATCCTTCGGGCAGGCCCGATTGAGATTGGTGTAGTCCACGCACATGCGCCAACCCTTCCTTGGTTTATGTACCATTACCACATTGGCTAGCCAGGTGGGATAGTCCACATCCTTGATGAATCTAATGGTGCTCAGCTTATCCACCTCCTCCTTCATGGCCTCATACCGCTCTAGGTCATAAGTACGTCGCTTTTGCCGAAAATGGGAAATTGGACTAGGTACCGGAAATTGGACTCGCGAAGGCCACTTTTGAAGGCACCGAAGGCAGCGCGGTCGTCAGTCTCTGGGTAGTGGGAGTATTCGTGGCTGAACCGGGCTGCATACTCCCGGAGTGGCTCGTCTTCACTCTGCCGAAGCATGTACAGGTCATCTGGGGAGTAGAGGCGATCAGTCTGGATCATGAAATGGTCTAGGATGCCTGGTTCAGACTGTCAAATGAGTTGATGGTGCGGGGGTTCAGCCTGTAGAACCAATTCAGGGCTGCACCACTGGGAGTGGAAGGGAAGAGGAGGCACATGCCCTCGTCAGTGAGGCCCTTGCACCCTAGGGAAGACTGGAAAGAATGTATGTGGGTGACAGGATCCTCAATGCCGATGTAGAAGGCGATGCGGAGTGGCTAGATGTCCTTCTCCTGGTGGTAATTAAGGATGCGTTCGGTAAAGGGCCCAAGTCGTCGCTTTGCCCAGAGGGGTTGGTGGTTGCATTGTTGTTCGCTCTCCAGATGTTGTACCTTCTCGAAGAGGAGCTTCATGGCCGGGTCGGTATGAGGGAGGGGTTCGGGTCTTGGAGATTAACGGGGATAGGAATAGGGTCTGGCTGATGGTCCAAGATATGGTCCCTGCAATCCCTGTAGACCTTCTCTGGTTCATGAGGCCGGTCCCTTGGTGAGGAGATGCGAAAGAGCCGCGACTTGGTCGTCTCTGGATGGAGGAGACCTTTACCCTTGCTGGGCCTAGGCTGGATTGGGGCACTGTGGTGAGAGGGCACTGGCTGGTTTGGCTGGGTACGCTCAGGTTCCTGGGTAAGGCCACGTTGGGAGCCCTGGACCTGATTCATCTCCCAGTTACGCTTCAGTGTGTGGTAGTCATGCTCAAGCTCAACGTTCTTGGCATGAAGATGGTCATATTTCTCGGACATCTTGGTGACAGCGGAGGCTCTCCAGCTTTGCCTAGAGATTGGCATCAGCTAAAGGTTTCCTCTAGGAGGTACCCCCATGGGGGGTATGGTGCTGAGTACCATGGCTATGTGGAGTGAAGAAGAGGCAACAAGGCCGGATAGGAGAAGGAGCTAGCTGGGCTGGTAGAGAAAAATGGGATTCAAGTATCGTTTCCCACAGATGGCGCCAAACTGTTGATGCACTTTTTCGGAGAGGGTCAACTTAGAGAAAAAGGGGTTTATCTTCAGCAGTGGAGAAGGTGAGGACCTTCTGTAAGAAACTAGCCTGCAGAAGACAAAGTAGGAGAAGCAATCGTTAAGCTTCGGACACCGGTGTGGTGCCGGCCGAAGGCTCTCCAATGCTTAAGTCAGCTAAGAGTAGTAACTTTAGCAGAGTAACAATAAAAGGTAAGAAAGTAGTTACCCTTTTTACTAGGGTACTATTCCTTATTTATAGGGAAGTGAAAGTGGGAGGTTTGTATATATTTCTGATGTGGGACTTTGTGCAAGTTGCTGTGGTGGTGACATGTGTCATGGAGATTAGGTTTGGCAATTTGAGAGCTTCGGCAGTCGGGAGCTTCGGCAAGTGTCTGGCACCTTGGAAGAGTGTCTTCCTTCGGCAGGAGAGAAGGCGTGTCTGCCTTTGGTGCTAGTCGTTTTGATGCTGGACATGCTTGGTTGATTATGGTGTAAACAATTTACTGACCCTTTTTCTTATTTGGTTTTTCCCCTTTCCAATCTTTTCTTTGTGTCATGAAGGGGATGAAAAGGTTTTGTATTTTCGGTTTGGATTGGATAAGTTATTAGTATATGTACATATTTACATATGTGTTTGTGTCTCTGGTATATGCAATGCATAAACATGGTACATGTTTACACCATAATCAACCGAGCATATCCATCCTCAAAACAACTAACACAAAGGCAGACACGCCTCCTCCCCTGCCAAAGGAAGACACCTTTCCAAGGTGTCAGACACCTGCCGAAGCTCCCGTCTGCTAAAGTTCCCAATTGCCAAACCTAATCTCCATGACACGTGTCACCACTACGACGACTTGCACAAAGTCCCACATCGGAAATCTACACAAACCTCCCACTTTCACTTCCCTATAAATAGGGAACAGTACCCTAGTAAAAAGGGTAACTACTTTCTTACCTTTTACTATTACTCTACTAAAGTTACTACTCTTAGCTGACTTAAGCATCGAAGAGCCTTCAGCTGGTACCACACCAGTGTCTGAAGCTTAATGACTGCTTCTCCTACTTTATCTTCTATAGGCTAGCCCCTTACTGAAGGTCCACACCTTCTCCACTGCTGAAGACAAACCCCTTTTCTCTAAGTTTACCCTCTCCGAAAAAGGGCATCAACAGTTTGGCGCCTTCTGTGGGAAACGACAAAAGGCTTTTGTCGTTCTTCCTTTTCTTCAGTGCCCTTCAGCACCCATACAATCAACATCACCCAAGTGGCTGTTCTGCAATACCTTGCTAAAGCAACTACGAATGCTAAGGCAACAAATTACATAAGATGATATTTTAAAGAAAAGCCAATCAGGATGTAGCTATCATTTTGCATGGCTTGCATGGCCAAACCAACATCTCAATTCAAAGTGTCGTTCAGCACTTCTTTGAAGAGCAAAAATTTGGGGACTTGAGCTTGTTCTACAAGCTTCATCATTTGGCACCCCTCCATAATTCGGAGCAAGAGATGCCTTCAACACTTCACCTCTCTGACGCACGTGGTGCCTTGGGCACCCCGTCATCGTTCGGCACTTGCCATTGGTTAGATGAAAGCAACTAGTTCCTACAACTACCGTTCAGTACCTGATGAATATTGGAGAGAGAGTCACACATGATGATGCCTTCTCTTGAACGTTACTTTTTCTAAGACATAAGTGGAATATCCTTGTCTTTTTCCATTTCATTATTCTATTGGAAACTGCATGTTTAATTGATTAACATTGAGCAAGTAAAAGCCTTATTTGTGGCCCAGGTGCTGTTGGGCATTATTGCCTAATTGTCATCAACTTTAGTCAAAAGCACATGTGCTTGTAAGGGAGGTGGCATTTACACAATTCAACAACAGACCCACCATGTCTCAAGCAATTGCTCAAGATATGCATGATGTACAAGTAAAGACAACAGAGGCCACATCTAATTACATCACCCAACTACTGAATTTATCAAGGCACCCACTTTGTCAAAGTCTTACAGAAGACCCAATTAGAGCCCAGCACCGATGCACACAAAACGCCAAATGTTGATGCTCTTTTTCGGAGAGGGTCAACTTAGAGAAAATGAGGTTTGCCTTTAGCAGGAAAAGGGTCTAGACCTTCAATAAAGGCTAGCCTACAGAAGCAAAAATCGGGAAAGCAGTCGTTAAGCTTCGGACACCGGTGTGGTGCCGGCCGAAGGCTCTCCGATGCTTAAGTCAGCTAAGAAGGGTAACCTTTGTAGAGTAACAGTAAAAAGTAGAAAAGTAGTTATCCCTTTTACTAGGGTACTGTTCCCTTCTTATAGGGAAGTGAAAGTGGGAGGTTCTCTCGGTCTGTGTTTGTGTCCCACATCGGAAATCTACACAATCCTCCCACTTTCACTTCCCTATAAAAAGGGAACAATACCCTAGTAAAATGGGCAAAATGAATCCACGTGCATCATCTGCAAGAGATAAGAAACTCCATCTTTATTTATTTTTCATTATTTAATGGGCAAGGTGCAGACCTTCCTGGTGCATTGTCAATATATTATTCATAAATTGTGCAGCTTCGTATCACTTGTTTGTACCTTATCTGACCACCCATCCACGTCATGACATGTGGAACACACTTAAAGCCGAGAGCAGCTCAAGTAGGCCATGCCGAATGTTCCTTCGGCATTCTTTACCGATTCTAGGATCAACTACAGTCCATCATCTACCCACGCCAACTTTCGGCATGGTGTGCAAAGCGACCTACAGTCACATCAATCCAACCCTGACAGGTCGTCTCAAAACTCCTGCCAGATTTAGCGTGAGCAGATTTAGCCTAAATTCTTATATGCTCAGATTTAGCGCGAACAGATTGGCGCCGTCTGTGGGAAACCGATTGACAATCAGCCCATATCTCCCTTTTACTTCTAAACTATGAACCCGCCTTCGCCCCTTGCGGCCAACGGTCCCATCCTCAGCCTCGCCAACCGAGAGAACCCTGTTGTGCCGCCCAGCACACCCCGAGTGGAAACGCCTGGTCGGCAAAGTACCCTAGAAGATAGGATGGAAGCCCTGCAGAGGGAAATGACCAGGATGCAGGAGCACAACAATATCCTCTCCTCCAAACTGGACGACACCCAGAAACAGCTTCACGAGCAACAATCACATTTGGCCCAACTGCAGGACGGTTTGGAACAAACCACGCAACTTTGGCGAGAACGATCACTGAAGAGCATACCAAGGCCTAGCTCAGGGCGAACCGTCCGCCTCCCGAAAACTGTTCGTGCCAACTTTAGCAGAGCAGTACCGGGAATACCAAGTTTACTCCGACTACCGCGATAGAATCAACGACCGATGACGGGAATGGCAGACATCACCGATTCCCGTCCAAGCAAAACTCAACGATTGGCATCTGGACATACTCGGACCAAAATCTCCCCTTCGACGGAGGTATGATGTGGTCAGCCTAGAGGAGACAGACAAATCCGACTACATTCCAACCTCCCTACACGACACTCTCACGCTAGTCGACAACATCTGGATCGGCCAGAAGGAACGATTAGCGGCAAGAACGTCCGACGGCGGGCTACGAGGCACAAGGACTCGATCTCATCGGCCCCTTGCCGCAAGGCACGGGTCAGCTTAAGTTCGCAGTCGTGGCCGTCGATTACTTCACCAAATGGACTGAGGCTGAAGCCCTCGCAACAATAACGGCAGCCAAGATCGAACACTTTGTATGGAAAAACATCCTATGCCGATTCGGCCTACCAAACGCCATCATAACGAACAACGGCAAGCAATTCGACAGCTCACGGTTTTAGCATCTCTGCTCCCGATTCAACATCAACATCTTCTTTGCCTCTCCGGCACATCCATAGTCCAATGGATAGGTAGAAGCTATCAACAAGATCATCAAGAAAACACTGAAGAAGAAGCTGGGAGCCGCCAAGGGCAATTGGCCTGCCATACTATCGGAAGCACTATGGGCCATCAATACCTCCTACCACAGGTCAATTGGCGAGACACCGTTCTCCCTAGCCTTCGGTACCGAAGCTGTCGTACCGGTGGAAGTACATGCGCCCACATGCCGAACGGCATCTTACTACCCTCAGCAAAATGAACAACAACTCGCCCTCAACCTGGATCTCATTGACGAACACCGATCGCAAGCACAGCTCCGGAACGCCACTTACAAACAACGAATGGGTTGGTATTATGACTCGCGCGTAAAACACCGATCGTTCAAAGTGGGGGACTGGGTTCTGCGTAAAGTGTCTCCCGCAATGAGAAATCCTACTGAAGGCACTCTAGGCCCCTCGTGGGAAGGACCCTATGAAATTGTCAACATCTGCCGACTCGGCACCTACCGATTGCGTGGCTCTGATGGTCGAACCCTCTGCCACCCTTGGAATGTTGAACATTTAAAATTATATTATAAGTGACTGGACCTTCAGCCACTACACTTTTGTACAACTTTTCTTTCAACAGCAGTATCGTTTTCCTATTTCTACACAAATCAGCATACATGCTTATATTCGGAAACAAGGACAAACACCGAAGCTGATCCAAATTAGACTTGGACATAAATTAAAGCCTCAGGCTGCGCAATGGTCTTTACAAAATTGGCCGAATGGCCTACATATCCAAACGCTAAATTTACATGTTACAAAAACAAGAGAAGTACGGCAGGAGTCAAGGAGTGGGAGGATCGGCCTCGGTAGCAGGAACAGGCAGTGCCGACCCCTCATCATCCTGGGCGGCAGGGGGAGTAGATTCTTCCTCCTCACTATCCGATTTTGAGCCACTCGAGGAATCAACTTCGGCATCCTCCATGAGGTACGCCTCGACCATCTCCTCAGTTACCCTCTCGGGCAACGGTGGCGGATGAGATCCTCATTAAAGCGCTTGAACCGGTAGATGAGATCCTCGCATTTCTCCATCACCTCCTTGTCCATGAGGGCAATGAACTCTGGCGAGCTTCGATACTCAGCTATGGCCTTTTTCTTGGCCTCCTCCACCTCCCTAGCCCGGGACCGAAGCTCCTCCTCCTTCGCCGCCTCAGCCCCCGCCCTCGCCTCCTTGGCCTCTACCACTGCCCTCTTAGCCTCTGCCAGCCTACAAGATAGCTCGGCAATCTTGGCAGCGTTCTCCTCCGCATGCCGATCCGCATCCTGGAGTAGCTTCCCAGCCTCGGCAATTTTGGCTTGGCCTTCCTCATACTTCTTCTGGACGCGCTCGGCCGTATTCATAGCCCGCTTCATGCTGAGCCACATCTCCATGTTAGCCTGCAAACATACACAGTTAGCACATACCGATCGCATACACACCACACCTCACAAATGAGCAGTATACACTTACGGCAGCTTGGAGGCGGAAGGCATGTCCGGCCTGTTCGCGCACCGACTTCTTCGGCAGCTGCTCCAGCTCTGAGAGCTCCATCTGAGCACTGTCGATGAAGCAGTTCACGAATGGTACCACCTTCCGGGGGCAAGCGATGTTCACCGGCTCCACTTCGGTATCCTCCTCGTCCGACACGAGAACGGCTGCTTCCTCATTCGACCCCCTCGGCTTCTTCGACAGAGGGGTCACATCGAGGGCACCCTCGATCACCCTATTTTCGGTCGCCTGGAGATGGGCCTCCCGGATCAGCTCGGCCTCCGCCACCCTTCTCTCCAGCTGCCGATCGACCGGCGTACCCTCTTGTGCCGAAGTACCCTCGTCCTGGCGGGGTGGCTTCGTCTTCGGCCTCGAGGAACCGGTTTTCATCTTCTAAGGGGACCGCGACTCCAGCCTCCTCCTCATTGCGTCTAACATTGCTCTCCCTTCTGCCACTACAAAACAAAAAAAACACAGGAGGAGACGAGGACGTTAGGACAGATTCGCAGCAAACAAAAAAAAAAAAAAAAAAAAAAAAAAAATAAGGATGCCGAACGGCATTACTTACTTTGCCTCTGCCTCTCTTCCTCTTCTTCCTCCCTCCTTTGGAGGTACTCCGTCTCGCTTATCAGACCAGATTTGTACAGGTTCTTGTAGTCTAGCAGACCCTTGTGCACATGACCCTCCTTCGGTTTTCTTGACCGAATACGCTCGATCACTTCTATCTCCCTCTTCGTAGTGATAGGCCGTTTCAAGAGACACTGAAACACAACACCAATACCACCTTCCAGTTCGACCAAAACCAAAAAAAAAAAAATAAAAAAAAAAAAAAAAAAAGCGCTATTGCTACCGAACGGCACCCCATGGGCCTACCGACTGTCTAGAAGGAAGTGGGGATATGCCTCTCCATGGGCCTACCTTCTCTCCCCGACACCAACACTAGGTTTTTTGCGAGGTCGGCACCCCGACTACGAAGTGCCCCCTCTGCCCCGCTGACAAACAGTTAGACTGCACCCACCCCCCCTGATCGGAGCTCTTCACCCTCGTCACACTGTACAGGTGGGCAAATTGCTCATAGCTCGGCTGCCCCTCACCAGCTATGCTGAAGGCCGTGACCGTCCCCAAGAGTGTTATCCAAAAATTTGGATTAAACTGCCCAGGGGCGTAGTCGATCGCCGCCAAGATCTTCTGCACGGAATGCCTCAGTGGCAGCCGAAGCCCGTGCTTGAAGACATCCGTGAAGAAGACCACCTCCCCTTCGGATTACTCAGCGACTCTAACGGCCCTAGGATCCGCATCTTTATCGATTCTGGTATGTTGTATAGGGCCCGGATCTTCGCCACCTCTGCCTCGGTCAAGACGTTCGGCTTTAGGTGGTCCACCCCGAACACAAGGTCCTTTGGCTTCGCTATCATTATCCTTTGTCGGCCGGTGACCATCGTCAGCACGCCTTCCCTAGGATCGGCGACTGACACATCGGCCTCGGCCTCTCCCATTCGACGACCAGATGTCGATAGGTGGGCGTTTTCAGTCCCCACTACTTCCACACTCGAAGTGCTCACCGTATCGGTAGACACCTCTGGCACTTCCCCTCCCTCGGTTTCCTCGAAATCGGCACTATCAAGCCTTGCGATCGAGCTCTCCGATGTCGATTCTCCATCAAACGCTCTTGGGCTACCACTATAGTCTGATTCGGTGTCTGACATCTACAAACAATAGCAAAACGGAACTAAACGACTTGCTCGAATCAAACCCTTATCCTAGAGCCCAAGAGCTGATGTTCATCTACGAACATCTACGTTCTTACATGTTCATACAACATTCGAGACTTTGATTCATTTCAAATACAAAAAACCCCAACATACCTTGTTTTCGACGGTGGTGGAAGTCGCCAGAAATCGCTCCGCCTTTGCAAAAACCGCCTGAAATCGCCTACAATGCCGCAATGCACTTGCCGAAAATCGCCTCTCACAAGCTCCGTTTGCTCTCAAAAACTCAAGTACCTCCTCCTACTGCCTCTTCCTTCGATTTATAGGTCGAGCCTCGCATCGGGAACCGAAACATCTGGCGTGAGAAATAACTAACGCACAAATTAAACCCTATAAATCATGCAATCGTAGTACGAGTAAGTAGGGATCGTTCTATTCCGGGGATTAGGAGGGATGCTAATCAACACAAATTAAACTTATTAAACTGGAAACTAAGTTAAGGGAACAATGATTGGGGGGAATTCTGACGATTTAGACTAAAGTAAGACTGACAGCAGCAAACAACTAAGTTGTGAATGAAATATGGATTAAGGGATAGCTATAAAGTATGAATGACAAAGCCCCAAGTTAATTGTGAATGCACTAATTAACTTTCAGATTTTCCTAAGTTCATTGAATTGGACTCAGCGACGCAATCAAATTATCCTTATCAAGTTCCATATATGAACAGCATGATAGAGATACATATCAAAGATCATTAAGTTCTATGAAAATCATAAGCTCAATGATGTTTAGAGGCGTGAGGAAATGTATTAGAAGTAGAGGGCGAAAACCAAGTGGCTCAAAGAAGGAGATGCAAATACAGCCTTTTTCCACAATAGTACGGTTCAGAAAAGGAGGAGAAATCGGATTGCTCGGATAAAAAACCAAAATGGACACTGGCAGTGTAACGATGCTCAGGTTCGTAACACTATTGAGACATACTTCCAAAACTTGTTTACTTCTGAAGGTTAGAGAGACTGGGGTGACATCTTAGCCTTTGTCTCTCCAATCATCATTGAGGATATTAATTCAAGCTTGATGGCCCCTATAAATGATGAGGAGATTAGACATGCTATTTTTCAAATGGGGGCCCTAAAATCCCCAGGGCCTGACGGTTTCTCTGGTATCTTTTACCAAAAGTATTGGAGCATTATTGGGGAGGATATGTGTGGGCTGGTTAAAAGATTTTTATCAGAGAACGAAAACATTTCTACTATGAATGTAATAGAGATTGCTCTTGTACCAAAGGTTCTGAGCCCGGAGTTGGTCACTCAATTCTGCCCTATTGCCCTGTGCAACTATTCTTACAAGGTAATCTCGAAGATTCTCGCTAATAACCTTCAGCCCCACTTAAATGCAATCATTTCTCCCCAACAATGTGCGTTTATTCCTGGAAGGCAAGTTCAAGATAATATTTTTATTGCACATGAGGCCTTCCACTCTCTGAAGCTGGATATAAATAAAGCTTACGATAGAATTGAGTGGTCTAGGCAGTGTTATTGAAAATGGGTTTTGTAGAGACTTGGGTGCAAAAGGTGATGAACTGTGTTTCTTCAGTGAACTTCTCTATGATAATAAATTGATAGACAGGGGGTGGTTTCAAGCCATCGAGGGAAATTCGCCAGGAGGACCCTATATCTCCATATCTATTCATAATTTTCAGTGATGTCTTATCTTCTATGCTTAACCATGAAGCAGTGAGAAGCTTCCTTAAAGGTTTAAATTTTTTGGCAAGAGGGGGCCGACTTTAACTCACCTATTTTTTTACAGATGACTCCCTCCTATTTCTCAAAGCTACGAGTCAAAATTGTAGAGTGGTGAGCCAAATTCTCAAGTCTTACTACAAGGCCTTGGGTCAAGTTGTCAATTTGGAAAAATCAAATTTGTTTTTCAGTCCAAATACTTTGGCTGAAGTGAAGGAAGAGATGAGAGCAGCTCTTAACATAAATATCACAGATGACCCTGGAAAATATCTTGGCCTTCCAACAATATATGGGAGATCAAAAAAGGAGGCCTTGGCCTTTGTAAAGGAGAAAATCTTGCATAAGGTGCAAGGATGGAAGCAAAGTTTACTCACGCAAGCAGGTCGCTCAGGCTGTTCCCTCTTATCCCATGTCAGTGTTCTCCTTTCCCATCGGCTACTGCAAAGAGATTGATAGCATTCTTGCCAACTTTTGGTGGGGACATAACCAGGAAGCAAATAAAATTCATTGGATTAGTTGGAAGGATTTGGGGCTGCCAAAGAAGGAAGGAGGGATGGGTTTTGGGAGCGTAAGAGTTTGCAATACTGCCTTATTAGCCAAGCAATGCTAGAGATTGATGATGGAGCCAAATGCTTTTTGGGCTCAATAAATTAAGAGTCGATACTTTCTGAACAATGACTTCCTTGAAGCAAAAAAAGGGGCTAGGTCTTCATGGGCTTGGTCGAGCTTGTTGGCAGGCAGGGACGTCATTGTCAACGGTGCGCGGTGGCAAGTGTTAGATAGAAGTGGGACTAAATTGTGGACAGAAAAGTGGATTCCTTCCTCCCCTGGTCGCCTTTTATTGCCAAAGACAGGTGTGGAGGTAAATGAGGAGGAAAAGGTTGAAACAATTATAAACCCTTCAACCTGTGTATGGAATGTGAATGCTACTGAAAAGGACATAATGGGAATTTTAAAATTTGTTACTGTAGCAACAGTGCCGCTACAGTACCGAGTGCTACAATACTCAGGTTCTATTTATTTTCCTCCCCCCTCTGGTTTGTGGGGAGCACCTCCCCTTCCCCCTATTACTATTCATCAGCTTGGTTTTTTGGCCACCACCGTCGCATCTAGCCACTGTTTTGGGTGGCACGGGTCCCAAACGAACCAACCCAACGCCCTCCTCCTACCCCACCCCTCTTCCAGCATTAACAACATCACGAGTCGCCGGAAAATAGCCAAAACAGCCCGGTTTTTGTCAAAAATTCCCACCGTTCGTTCTCTCTCCTCCCACCACCAAATTGGACAATTTAAGGTATGGATTTCCACCTATTTTTCATGATTTAGCTGATGGTTGAGTAGGATTTGAGAAATTTCTAGCTTATGTGGGTTAAACGTCAACCCGAAGTTTCGCCAGTTTTGCAAGCTCGATTATGGCCACTTTCGGCCTTTTGCCACGGTAGGTCCAAGAATAAAAGTGGCTCCAATGGATGTCCTGAACCTAGGGTAGGAACCTTGGCCCTTGATCTTGAGATTTCCCAGTGAGCGGTATCGCTTTGGATACTCAAGTGCTGCCGGTGCATGGGCAGAGTGGGTGAGTTACATTCTGTCCTAAAATGATCTCCTAGTTGTCATGAGTGTGTTTGTGCCTAATAAAACACGGTCATAAACTGATTGAAGGGACTTCCCTTCGGCCCTGGCGTCTACCGTTTCATCAAGCATTTCGCCCTCCTAAGAGCAAAAGAAAAGCTGCAACGGCAGAATCCCCTCGGCCTCGCGACCGCAGTTTTGAAAGCCGAGGCCGAAGGCCGCAAAAGACACGGTCTGAAAAGCTGTGGTTGAATCGCCACGTGACCTCAGGGCCCCACACTCCATTTAATGAAGTAATGCCTCTAACTTAGCAGCAAAACCCACTAGTCACAAGAAGCATTCAATGCACGAGGGAAGTGACTGAAGTCAGGATTTGGTGATGGGAATCAGGGTGGTTAGGCGCAGACATTTTCACAAGCAATCTTACGACTTAGGGTCAAATCATCAACCACCAGTCCAGGGCATTAAATGCGTTCCCACGGCCAAGGGGGCAGAACCCACAATCAGGGCGATGGCCGAGATTTGTCGAGATTTATGGGGGTCACACCACCATGCTTCTCAACCCTAGACCACCCTAGACCACCATGCTTCACGATCCCAAATGCCGATTTGACTACCCACTTGCCCGGTCAGGCTCCACCACGCAGGTCTTGTCAGCCTCGAATGTCCCTCCAGGACTCCTATAAATACTAAGCTCAGGACTACATTCAAAAGGTTCAAACACCAAAACCAAAAGCCTCCCACAGAGCAAATTATATTTTCCTGTAATGCAATTTCAATACCTTTATTTGCTTTCTTAGGAGTAGTGGTAGACTGTAAGGAAAATCCATTCATCAATATATCATACGACCCTTGATTTTCAAGGCGCCGGAGCACCATCTCTGTTATCGCCTCACTCACCCCTTATATCATACGACCGTCGCTCTCTGAGCAACGCCTAAAACCCACCACCAACACCACCACTAAATGGCCTTGTAGCTCAAGCCATGAACCTGACGGCCGAGATTCGTTCCTCCCTCGGCCACAATCGTTTGATTAGGAGTCGAACGCAAAACAGGCGCAACATTTAAACCATCTTCTACCCGAACCTCATCATCATCTCGACGCACGGTAGACCATGCTGGCATGCCCGCGCATAATCGCACCGCATCCAAAAGGAGGACGTCACGTGTTGACGCGCATCCCCTCGGCCCGGAGCACCAGGCCGCGAGATTTACGACGGACCAACACTTTTGGCACACCCGGTGGGACTCGTTAAAAACTTATGGTGGAAACTAGGGCACAGGCAAAGCTCAAAAACAAAACAGTCGAAATGACTTCCGAGGCTCCTAAGTCCACCTCACCAATCACTGTCACCGAGACCGAACACGCGGTCAGAACCTCGACCAACGGTCCAATAACGACGGATCGCACGGCCGAGTCCATGGGAGTAGGCCTCATCATTTGGCCCGCGGGCTCATGGGCCGATGGGGGCCCGCCCGGCCCATTGGAAAAAAGCTCGGCCCAGCCCGTTATGGGCTTTGAGATGGCCCGGTCCGCCTTGGGCCAGGCTAGGCTTGGGCTTGGGTGTCTGAAGCCCGACCCGACCCATAGGCCCGGCCCGATTAAGCCCAAGAAAGCCCAGCCCGGCCCATTAGGCCCACATACATATATAATTATGTATAAATAAGAGTTTAGGATTAAGATTATATCACTAAATCACATATATAATTTGTTTCATTTTATTTACTTTTCTTTACTCATTCCTAGTTTATAATTGGATGATTAGCACATTAATTTGTGTCAATTATTAATACAACAATTTTATATATATATATATATAAATAAGATGAACAATATATCATATCACTAAATATAATCATATCACGAAGTATAATCGTACCACCAAATATAATCATGTTTTTCTTGAACACATCACCAAACATTTACATATTTATTTATACCATCCTTTAAAAAAATATCTTTTTGATACTTATTATTTTTTAAAATTATTTCTTAAAACGTATTACGGTCTAATTATGTAATAACCTCAAAAATAATACTTTGTTTTATTATTTTTGTGAAAAATCTTATTAAGTTGTGTGACTTTATTGGGTATTTTATGAATTTGGTTTGATGTGAAAATATTGGAATTAAGTGAGTTTAATCTCAAATTTAGACTAAAATGCCCTTATGATTAAGTTTATGATTTTTTTCGAATGAAGTAGGCCCGTTTCGGCCCGACCCGGCCCAATGGGCTTTCTCAAGCCCGACCTATAGGTCGGGCTTAGGCTTTGAATTTTCTAAAAAAACCCGGCCCGGCCCGGCCCGATATTTTCTCTCTCTTCTTTAAAGCCCGGCCTGGCTCGGCCCAATGGGAGAGCAAGCCGTTGTCGAAGATCTGATGGCGAAGCAGGCCTACAGGATCGAAACATCATTCATGGCCGCGATGGACAGATTATCCTCGGAGCTACAAACGCTTTTTCAGGAGAGGATGCCGGTGACATCGTCTGCGATGCCTCCCAGAGCCGGGCAGAGAGGCCAAGAGTGCGAGAGGTTCGAGCCCTATGGCGAAAGCAGCAGCCTCGGCGTCTCTGGCCGCACCCAAGCGCCAAATTACGGCAAGCATTCACAGCCGCCGGCAAACAGCTGGGGGCAGTCCCAGTCAACATGGGTAAATCCCGGACCGACCTACCCGGCATAGACGACGTACGACCCACTCCATGCTTTGGCCGTGTCACTGGAGCAAAGCAGCCCCGCACAGTCCGCAGTCCAACAACTCGGCCCAGTCCACACTGTTGCCGTCCAGACCCATCCCAGCCCAAGCAACTCGACAACTGCTTCGTCACAGCAATATGGTCAGAGCAATCCGACCGTTTCACCATTACACATGTCGTTATTGCCGTCAGGATCCCATCTTCAGTACGGTTCGGCCATTCCAACTACGAGCCATACGAACCCCGGTCAAACCTACAGAGCATATCTGGTACCACCCAGCTCGGTCGAAACGACCGAACCCCTCGTTCAAGTGGCCCAGCAGGTAAGGCCGCAGAACGAGGGGCAACAGGTCCCACGACTACTCGCGGCCCAGCAAGAGGCACCCCCTCAGGGGCTCCGATTCGAAGACGTCCAGCGAATGATCGAGGACGGCCTGGCTTAGAGGCGCCCAGAAGCGCCCAGGTATACCAAACCATACCCGCCAGAAATTGATCGAACCCCTCTTCCCCGGAACTACCGGTTGCCAGAATTCATTCTATTCTCTAGGGAGGGGCAGACCTCCTCCATCGAACACATAGGCCGATTCGGACGCCCAGAAGCTCCGTTTATTCGTTCACTCTCTGACCGGCGCGGCCTTCTCGTGGTTCATAAACCTTCCGCCGAATTCGGTGAGGGATTGGTCTGACATGGAAAGGATATTCCCCGAACATTTTTACCAGACCAATCAAGAAATAACGGTCGCCGAGCTAGCAAGGATGAGCCAGGCGTCGGATGAATCACCTCGCGACTACCTGCAGCGGTTCAAAACGTGTAGGAATTGGTGCCGCACAAACCTACTGGAGAGGGAATTTGTCAAGATGGCTGAAGAAGGGTTGGAATTCGAATACCAGAAGAAATTCCAGGGGATTGAATTCTGGGACATGCACGACTTGATCAACAAGGTGGACCGATACGCATCCTGTTTGAAAGAAGAAGTGCAGAAGAAAACGGCTTCAAAAGGGACTTACTATCGGAATCCTGTTGTCAGCTATGCCGAAGCAAACAATCCCGCAGAGGCCGAGGGCGATGAAGTTGAGATGAGCTCAGCCGAAGTCAACATAGACAAGCCATTTGTCTGCAAAGGACTTGTCAAGGCCGACAATAGCGGCAAAAAGATTCCCGACGCCAAGTTCGCAACTCGAGAGACAAAGGCCTACACCTTTGATTTGACCAGGGCCGAAGCTATCTTTGACCTACTGTTAACCGAGAAAAAGGTCAAATTGCCCTTCGGCCATAAAATTCCGAAACCAGAAGAGCTCAAAGGAAAGACGTTCTGCAAATACCACAGTTCTTGGTCTCACACACCAATAATTACGTTCTTCTGCGAGATGTCATCCAGAAATTGATAGACGAAAGAAGCTTCAATTCCCGGAAAAGGCGGCCATGCAAGTCGACTTTAAGCCATTCCCCCCGCCTGTCATCAACATGGTCAACGCTCAGTTCCGGGCCGAATACAGGGAAGTTCGTCGGCCTGCAAAAGGAAAGGAGCCGTTGGCCGAACCAAAGCCGGTACCATGCAGTCAGTGCAATTCTGAGATCGGTCAGCCCAGACCATCGAAAAACAAGAGGAAGGCCATCGAGCCGTCTCGACCGGCTATGAAGAAATTCGACGGCCAGTACAACCGTCGACCAGCGAGAAGAGCTGTTTTCGACCGACTAGGGGCATGAGGCCCCAGTACCTCGATAGGCCACAAAGACGGAGCCGTTCCTAGGCCGATGAAGACTTTCAAACCACCAGTCGTACGGGATGACCGTTGGTATCATGCTCGACCTGGGGGCAGCGCCAAACCGTTGACAAAGACCCAGCTGAGAAGGATGCAGAGGCAAGCTCAGCAGGCCAGGGTACAGACGTCCCAGGTCGAGGGGTTGAAACGCCAAAAGAAGATGGCAGCTGTAGACGAAACACCATCCGCGCCAATCGTTCCCCCTGCAGCAAAGGTCGCCAACGCCAAGCCTCCAAGGGCGTGGCGCCCTAGGCAAGACAGTGATCCCCGCGGAATAGCGGCCGTTTTGGTCGAGCCAAAGGCCGCAGCCCTAGAGGGAGCAGATGAAGGCATCATCGATGTCTACCACGGAAGGAACTCCCCTTTCTTGGCCAACGGTTTGTCCTTTCTCATGGAATTCCGCAAGGATCACTCGGCCATCGACCTATACGGCATGACCACTGAAAACCGTGAAATCGTGGAATTGGCCCTCAGAAACGCCAAGGCAAAAAGGTTCCTCATTACCAACGAATCCGACTCGGCCATTAAGGCCGTATACCAGGCGAATAGAGAGGCCAGGGCAAGAGGGATGCCAGGTTACAGACTCGAGCAGGGAAAATTGGAGGCCATGGCCCCCTTCGGCAGAAACGATTTGGAATACCTCTGCCAATATTTTACTGTGACCCCAGCCGACACCATCTTCGGTCTGACAACCGAAGAAAGGGCCCGGGTAAGCTGGCTGGATGATTACTTAGCTGCCAGGGATACGTTAGCTAAGGCGAGGCAAGCCCTCGAGGAGGGAGTCGGGACCTCGGACCCCCCTGAGACCAAAGCAGCCACAGACGATACCCCTGGGACTGCAAGGCCTATGGCCGAGGGCCCCGGCGACCTTCTCTTTGTTCACGAGGCTGAGGATGACCCCGCGTTGGGAATCTCCGATGACGACTACGATGGGATCCTCGGAATGATTGAGGGAAAAACCCTCGCTAGTGGCAGCCGCGAGGTCAAGAAAGAGGTTGGTAGGGGAAACCAATGGAAGCCAAAGAAGGTCAGCATGAACGTGGTTTTGGTACTACCGGCCGAGTTTTCGGCTCCAAGAGGCCAGAACAATGGCCTGGATAATGACATGGCCGAGGAACAGCTTGATCAAAGGCCAAAGACAAAGGAAGAATTGTTGGCCGTGGCTTTTAACGAGGTAATACCCAAAGACGGGCCGAACAAATACAGACATCTCAAACCGTTATGCATCTCGGCTTATGTGGAGGGTGTGCCCGTGTCCAAGGTCTTCATTGACTGTGGGGCAACGGTCAACATCCTTCCCTATTCCCTGATGAAGAAGCTGGATAAGTCAAAGGAAGATCTCATCCCCAGCGATGTGGTCATGAGCAGCTTTGTCGGCGATAAATCTAAGACTATCGGGGTATTGCCGTTAAAAATCACCGTGGCCGACCAGACGAGAGTCGCGGCCTTCTACGTGGTCGAATCCAGCATGGACTACAATATATTGCTCGGTCGTGACTGGATCCATCAGTCAGGATGCATACCGTCCTCCCTCTTCCAACTGTTGTTCTTCTGGGACGGCTAAAGAGTGTACATACACCCAGCCGACAAGAAGCCCTTTGAAACCAACGCCGTGCAAGAACGGATTTACGACGACGACGTTGGATGGGTTGTCCTCACCGACCATGATGAAAGCGGCCGGCCAACCAGGACAACGGCCCAGAAAGTGCTGGAGTTAGGCGCCGAGAATGTTCGACAGGATTCGACGCACGAAGTATTGATCGACCTCACTGACCTATAGATGACAGACAAAGCCACTAGAGAGGAGGGAGCGGTGACCGTGGCCGACCAACTGGAAAGACTACTGGAACATTGGACAGAAGAATCCTTACAGCCAAACTCACCAATAAACCTAATCGAATTCCTCCACGAGTCAGGTGAGGCGGACACTTTGGCCTTTGACGACTTGGGAATGGCGCCCGCCTAGATGGAGGATGACTACCTCGAGGTCCAAGACCCGTTATTAGAAATAAATGTGGGAACCGAGCCTGAACCACGACCTCTTTTTCTAAGCCAGTTTTTGAGCCCTGAATTAGCCGCCGAGATCATCGGCCTGCTTCATGAATACAAGTATTGTTTTGCTTGGGATTATCATGAGATGCCTGGATTACCAAGAAGTTTGGTCGAGCACGAACTAAAAATTAGGGAGGGGTTTAAGCCTTTCCAACAGCCGCCAAGGCGATTCTCGACTGAAGTACAGCTTAAGGTCAAACAGGAAATTGAACGGCTCCTTGAAGGCGGCTTCATCCGCACGACTCGGTACGTTGAGTGGCTAGCCAACATTGTACCGGTGTTGAGGAAGATTGGGGCTTTGAGGGTCTGACCACGCGACCCCCAAGGACGAGTATCCCATGCCTGTGTCCGAACTCCTGGTGGACGGAGCCGCGAAGCACGAGCTCTTATCTTTCATGGACGGCCACGCTGGCTACAACCAAATCTTCATAGCCGAGGAAGATGTCCACAAGATGGCGTTTAGATGTCCAGGTGCAATCGGCCTAAAGAATGGGTAGTCATGCCATTCGGCCTAAAGAACGCCGGCGCAACGTACCAACGAGCTATGAACCTTATTTTTCACGACCTAATTGGCCGAACGGTCGAAGTCTACATCGACGACGTTGTTGTAAAGTCCTCATCCAAAGCCGACCATGTGGGGCATCTCCGACAGGCTTTCAATCGCATGCGGGCACACGGCTAAAGATGAACCCTAAGAAATGTGCTTTCGGCGTCACCGCCGGGAACTTTCTCGGCTTCTTGGTCCACCAACGGGGGATCGAGGTAGATAAGAGTAAAGCCACGACCATCATGACGGCACCCCCGCCAAGGACCAAAAAGGAACTCCAGTCTTTCCTCGGTAAGGTCAACTTTTTAAGGCGGTTCATATCCAATTTGGCGGGAAAGATCCGCCCATTGACTCCTTTGCTCAAACTAAAAGACACGGAGCGGTTCGTGTGGGGGGCAGAAAATCAAGCGACCCTCGACGACATCAAGCAGTATTTATCTCAACCACCAGTCCTTATGCCGCCGAAAAGAGGTTGAGGCTTTACATTTCGGCTTCAGAGGGCTCTATCGGTTGTCTGCTGGTCCAGAACAACAAATCTGAGCGAGAGCAAGCAGTGCATTATCTGAGCTGCACCCTCAACATGGCTGAGCTCAACTATTCACCAATCGAGAAATTATGCTTGGCGCTTTATTTCGCGGCCACCAAGTTGCGCCATTATATGCTTCCTTCGGTCGTTCAGATCATCTCCAAGACCAACCTCATCAAATACATGCTTACTCGGCCGATCATACGCGGCCGGATCGGGAAATGGACGATGCCATTGTCCGAATTCACCTTCCAATATGTAGCCCAGAAGTCGGTCAAAGGCCAGGCATTGGTCGATTTCTTGGCCCACCACTCGGTTCAGGGGTAAGAGGGGGAGCTGGAGGTTGAGATCGGCATGACCCACATGGAAAAAAACTACTGGACCATGTAAATCGATGGCTCCAGTACCGAGACCAGGTCGAGGGCCGGGGTTGTGATCGAATCCCCTCAAGGACAAAGGTGGCAATTTACGTTCCAGCTTGATTTCAAATGCACCAATAATCAGGCAAAATATGAAGCACTCATCATCGGTCTTGAAATTCTAAAAGAAATGAAGGCGACCCGTGTCCTGGTCTACGATGATTCTCAGCTAGTAATTAACCAATTGACCGGGGAATATCAGTGTACGAGAAAAAATTTAACTATGTAACGGCCCTCAATACGGCCGACGAATTTTCCAGGATCTCCTTCGTTTACGTACCACGCGCCGAAAACCATGAGGCCAATGAGATGGCCCAGGTAGCGTCAGGTGTGAATATTCTGGACAGTGACCGCGACCGCGTAATAAGAATCGAGAAGCGTACCCTGCCGGCTTTGGCCGAGCGGGGAATGACGGCGCAGGTATCATCGGCTGAGATTACCAACGAGGTCGGAGCGGCCGAAACCAACTAGCGCTACCCCATAGTGAAGTATCTGGGCGAGCCCTCCGGCAACCACGAAAGGACTACTCGCTTCCGAGCTCGATGTTATTTAATTTATCAGAATGAGCTGTACCGAAAAGGATCGGACAGTTTATTGCTCCTATGCCCCAGCGCCGAAGATATCAAGGTCATCATGGCCGAATCCCACAAAGGGATTTGCAGAGCTCACCGGTCCGACGTTAAGATGAGATGGTTGGTCCGGAGGCACGGGTATTAAAGAACTGCATAGAATATGCGAAGGGGTGCATCAAGTGTCAAATCTATGGCCTCATACAAAGGGTACCGGCCGACACCCTCCACCCAATTACTAAACCTTGGCCGTTTAGAGGATGGGCCGTGGATATCATCGGCGAAATCCACCCGGCCGCGTCCAACCAAGACGCCTTGGTTTTGGTAGCAATTGACTATTTCACCAAATGGGTCGAGGCGGAGTCCTATCGGTCCATTTCTAGCACGCAGGTGGTCAGATTCTTCGAAAATCACATCGTCCACAGATTCGGTATACCCGAAACCATCACGGCCGATAATGGCCTGGTATTCGCATCAGCTGAGACTCGAGAATACGCCGAAAGGATGGGGATCAAATTGGTCCACTCGACGCCCTACTACCCACAGGCTAACGGACAGGCCGAGGCAAGCAACAAGGTAATCAAGGGTATCGTCGAGAAGATGATTGAGGAAAAACCTAGGGCATGGCACGACTTACTCCCTGAGGCCCTCTGGGCTTACTGAGTCTCGAAACGATCGGCTACTGGCACATCCCCCTATTCCTTAACCTATGGTCATGACGCCATCGTTCCGATGGAGCTAAAGGTTCGGTCTCTCCGTGTGACCGAAAGACCTGGGCAGGAAGAGAAGGACTATGCGCAGGCCATGGCTCAAGAGTCAGAAGATTTGGAGCAATCCAGGCTCGACACCTATAACCTGATGCAGGCACAAAAGCAGGTCGCAGCGAGGTCCTACAACAAGAAGGTGAAGCAAAGGACTTTCGCCGAAGGCGACTTAGTATGGCGTGCCGTACTTCCTATCGGAACTAAGGACCTTCGGTTCGGCGAATTCTCACCTAATTGGGAAGGGCCGTTTATTATCGATCGAATCCTTGGCCGAGGCGCATTTCAGTTAAGAGATAGGGATGGGGAACGGCACAACTTGCCAATAAACGGCCAATATTTGAAGAAATATGCCCCGTCATTATGGGAGATGGCCGAGAATGGGTTATGAGGTTTTGCAATCGGCAAAGATAAACCATACATTCGGTCAGAAGAAAAAGGGGTTATACTTCATTTATATTAAAAGAACGGAGGCACGGTTACAAAAAGAACGGCCGGTCATGGCCGAATGGAACATATAAGCATACATATGCAAAAAGTAGAATACATCCTAGATCTATGAACGGCCGCTTCTTGATCCCCTTGCTCGAACAGGTAGATGATTCTTCCCTAGGTGGTCCCTCCACCGCCCACGGTTGCACTAGCTGCGATCGAAGGCAGGGCCATCACTCTAGACATGGGTAAGACCGGGTCGCAATCAAGGCCGTCATTCACGACATGGCTAGGGCCGCCACTCAGTACATAGGTGCAGCCGGCTAAAATCCGGGTCGTCTTTCCAACCATGGGTGCGGACGCCACTCTGGCCATGGGTGGGACCAGGTCGTAATCAAGGCTGTCGCTCTGGACATGGCCAAGGCCGTCACTCGGGACACGGGTGCAGCCAGCTAAAATAAGGGTCGTCATTCCAACCATGGGTGCGGACGTCACTCTCGCCACGGGTGAGACCAGGTCGCGATCAAGGCCATCGCTCTAGCCATGGCCAGGGCCGTCATTCTGGACACAACTGTGGCTGGGTGAAACCAAGGCCGTCACCCCGGTCATAGATGCAACCAAGATGCTAGGCCAAGCGGACATGGCCAAGTTGGAATCGTCATACCAGGCCCTTCCATCTTCATCGATCGCATTGTTGTCTCTCTGCGGCCTCATATGAAGGAAGGTCATTCTCCCCCAGGGCCGGGAAGGAATCTCGGCCACACCATGGCTTTGGCCCACGTCGACGTTCCAGAACGAAGGATAGTTGTTGGACAGCAGGAGGGAGAAAACCATCTGGATCAGGCCACGACGCAGGGGTCCGTGGATATGGCTCAACCTTGGTTCTGGAGAATCTACAAGGGGGACACCACTGGAGCAGGTTGGAATGAAGGAGAAGGAGTGAAGAGAAATGAAGAAGGCTAGGCTTTTATATTGACACGAGTATGAAACGAAAGGGCATGGCTCTCTCGAGAGACGGAGCGATCTGACTGCACGTTCGCACGCGCGATGACGTGGCGAAAGCTTGGAAACCGTCATTCCATTTAATGAGACAAACGGCGGTTTGCGCGATGATGGCATGCGAGACGTGCTTGCGCATTTAATACGCCGATTGACCTACGTATTTAAAGCACCAATTGTCAATCACTTCAAGGGGAATGCAAAGGGTCCATCCCTTGGAATCCTTTCGACCTCTGCCCGGGCGGCCACCGAAGAATCCAGGGATGTGGGGGCAATGTTTGTGCCTAATAAAACACGGTCATAAACTGATTGAAGGGACTTCCCTAGAGCCCTGGCGCCTACCGTTTCGTCAAGCATTTCGCCCTCCTAAGAGCAAAAGAAAAGCTACAAAGGCAGAATCCCCTCGGTCTCGCGACCGCAGTTTTGAAAGCCGAGGCCGAAGGCCGCAAAAGACACGGTCTGAAAAGCTGTGGTTGAATCACCACGTGACCTCAGGGCCTCATGCTCCATTTAATGAAGTAATGCCTCTAACTTCGCAGCAAAACCCACTAGTCACAAGAAGCATTCAATGCACGAGGGAAGTGACTGAAGTCAGGATTTGGTGATGGGAATCAGGGTGGTTAGGCACAGACATTCTCACAAGCAATCTTACGACTTAGGGTCAGATCATCAACCACCAGTCCAGGGCATTAAATGCGTTCCCACAGCCAAGGGGGCAGAACCCACGATCAGGGCGGTGGCCGAGATTTGCCGAGATTTATGGGGGTCACACCACCATGCTTCTCAACCCTAGACCACCATGCTTCACGATCCCAAATGCCGATTTGACTACCCACTTGCCCGGCCAGGCTCCACCATGCAGGTCTTGTCAGCCTCGAATGTCCCTATAGGACTCCTATAAATACTAAGCTTAGGACTACATTCAAAGGGTTCAAACACCAAAACCAAAAGCCTCCCACGGAGCAAATTATATTTTCCTGTAATGCACTTTCAATACCTTTATTTGCTTTCTTAGGAGTAGTGGTAGACTGTAAGGAAAATCCATTCATCAATATATCATACGACCCTTGATTTTCAAGGCGCCGGAGCACCATCTCTGTTATCGCCTCACTCACCCCATATATCATACGACCGTGGCTCTCTGAGCAACGCCTAAAACCCACAACCAACACCACCACTAAATGGCCTTGTAGCTCAGGCCGTGAACCAGACGGCCGAGATTCGTTCCTCACTCGGCCACAATCGTTTGATTAGGAGTCGAACGCAAAACAGGGGCAACATTTAAATCATCTTCTACCTGAACCTCATCATCATCTCGACGCACGGTAGACCGTGCTGGCATGCCCGCGCACAACCGCACTACATCCAAAAGGAGGACGTCACGTGTTGACGCACATCCCCTCAGCCCGGAGCACCAGGCCGCGAGATTTGAGACGGACCAACAGAGCGCGTAGGTGTGCTCGGATTCCATTTTGGATACCGTTTGAGCATCGAACGGATTTCGCCTATTGTGCGATTTCCGGGTTTCATATTTCAGACCGTTGGATCGAACTCAAATTCATACATGTTGATATAAGTAATCCCAGGATCGAATAGGATTCAACGGATCGTAAAACGGAGTCCCGGATACTCCGAAAATGCCAACCCTAGGGCTAGGTTTACAGTAATTGTCCGATCATACGATCGTGGGTAATCCAACCGTCCGATCAAGACCAAACTCTTGGGACACGTGTCCTAGGCATATTGGAACCTCTAGGAACTCTCAGATCGGAAATTTTGAGGTCGTGGACCCCACGTGGTCCTGGGTCGACTTTTGGGACTTTTATCGCTTTTTGAGTCCCAAGGCACTTCTGGACCGTTCCAAAGATGAGAAAAGTTTTTGTGGGCAAAGTTGTGATAATTCTTGAAGATGAGTTTCAAACCCACCGTAGGAGTACCCCTAGTGGCCTTGAAACAATTTGGTTATTTCTGATAATGCCCCACGAGTTTCGGGGACGCCTGGACCATGGGGTGTGAGTATTGCGGCTCAGGTTGACTTGGTGTCTCTGAGGGCTGGGAGGAATGTAGCTAAGGCTTGCGAGGATTGTGGCTCAAGTTGACTTGGTGTCTCTAAGGCTTGCGAGGAATACGGTTGAGGCCTGCAAAGATTGTGGCTCAGGTTGACTTGGTGTCTCTGAGGCCTGCGAGGAATGTGGTTGATGCATGCGAGGATTGCGGCTTAGATAGAAGTGGTATATCTGAGGCCTGCGAGGATGGAATTGACGGATCAGGAATCGGGGTATGCCTAGGTGGAGAGAATTTCAGTTTTGAGATGTTCTTAAACCAAAATAGAGGGAGTTCAATGTATGGCTTATCTGTAATCATTATATGACTATTACGAGTATTGGGAAGTTGCAAAGTATTGTTTAGAATTGTGAATATGATTGAGTACATCACGTACTTGAGGATTCAGTTTGATTTACAAAACACATGGCAATATGATAAATGAATGAGATAGGTACATTATTAAAGGGAAAGAACTACGTGTGGCTTGATCCCTCAATAAGGGTACGTAGGTAGCCTAGTGTCACAAGGTGCAGCCACAAGTTGGAGTGTTTGAGATTGTTCATGTACTATTGATGATCTGAAAGTTGATATGAATTTTATTAGCAAGATAATTTATTTGATTTGTTAAGGCATGTGGCCAGAGTGATATGGTGCTTGATTTTCTTGGATATAATTTACTGCATGCTGGCAGTTGGATTATATATGAACATATATGCTTGTTTTACAGGTGAAAATTTTTGGGAAATGTTCAATTTACAAGGGAGATTCTGCCGAATTTTCAGTAGAAGTCGCACTTGAATTTCATGGAATTTTAGTTAGAAGGGCAATTTGGTCAATTGTTTCCGACAACCGCCAGGTGTCAGACATGCACAGGGTTCGACTCGGATTCCAAAGTGGAATTTGGGTTGGGTCTTGTCATTGCTGGAGTATTTTGAAAAGTCGATGCGCTGTTGCCTTTGAGGGTGTACGGGTGTGCCCGCAGAAGACTTTGTGTGCTGCCCAGTCTATGGTTAACGAATTCATGCAAGTGCAAACTGAGTCTGTGATGAATATGAATGATACTACTGTTGAGGTTGGGGCGGCAGAGGCAAGATGGTCTACCCCTCCCCGTGCATATTGTAAAGTAAATGTTGATGCTTCTTGGGAGAGAGGTTCGAAGTTAGCAGGTTTGGGACTCAAATGCTGTGTGTTTGGGTGGCAACTATAAAACCAGACTGGCAACATCAGCTATTGAGGCGGAGGCTCACGTAGCTTTGAGTGGAGTACATTTAGCTGCTCAAATGGGGATATCACATGTGGTTTTTGAATCTGACTCAAAGGAGTTGGTCCAATCTGCCAAAGGCCATATTCAAAGGAGTAGATGGACTATCTTCCCCATTCTAACGGCAATTCGAAGAGCTTGCAGTGGTTTCAGTTCGTACTCTTGGAACTGGGTGCACCGTGGTGCAAACAAAGCAGCAGATGCTGCAGCTTCTAGAGCTAAAAGCAGGATGTGTGATGAGGTTTGGGAATCTAGCCTCCCATCCTCTTTGGTCTTTGTGTTGCAAGCTGATGGGCTCCTATATCCCACTACGATGTGAGTATTGGCTGTTAGAGGTGGACACCCTCCCTATTTGGGAGGTGTCATAGGTTTGGCCTCTAACAAAATTTGCTTTTGTTTGCTGTAGCTTGGTTTTCGTCTATTTTTTGTTGTGGCTACTTTAGTTTAGCCGTAGCTTGTTTTTCTCCTTCTTTTACTGGCTGTTGGTAGTTTTGTTTCTCTGTTTGTGGCTGTGGGTAACCTAGTTCTATGTTTGTACTTCTCTTTTGTTTGGAATGAAAGTACTCTTGACCCCCCCAAAAAAAAAGAAAAAAAAAAAAGGGAAGAGCAAACATGCTTGAAATGGATGCAAACATGACTTCACCGCAAATTGAGAAGTCGGCAAACAACAACCACACAACGCTAATTATTGATATTGAAACCCCTTAATACTTGGACGACCCCTTTTTGGGCCCACAAGGAGAGGACTTGACCTACTTAATTGGAAAGCTTCAGAGACTATTCAAAGTTGTTGACGTGATATATGAGGATATTTTTTCATGGAAATTTGGAAGATATATGGTGTTATTTTTCTTGCCAGACAGCCTGAGAGTGACAGGGCCTGAGATATATATATATACACACGGGCATATCTGCCACATTATTTTATTTTTTTAAATCATTTCGTGTTCTAATATTGCCCCTCATGACTTGAATCAGGTAATAGTCATTTATGTCATATTGCCTATTGCCTATTGCCTATTGCATAGGGATATATATGTTTTTTCATTTTTCCAACAATGTAGTAATTTATGTATTTTTTTTTTTTTTTTTTTTTTTTTTTTTTTTTTGGTCTATTTTTGTATTTGATCTCATAGGTAGTCTTTTAATTTATGTTCCTAACTTATAGGTAATACGACTTATCACTAAGTATTTTTCGTTGCTAATAATAATTTCAGGTACATAGTTTAATGTGGGTGCTTGTCTGATCAATTGGTATAATATGCGGGTCTTTACTTTTTATTGATTAAATTGTCCACATATTATCAAGGAAAGAATTCAAAATATAAATTCGGGAATTCAATCACAAAAAAAAATAATAATAACACATTGAATTTAGATTTTCAATGTGTTTTCCATATTTACCTCAAATGTTAAATCAACACAACAAAAAAAGTAATAAATGTCAAAGGACCTACATCTAAAACCAAAAACGCAAGGACTAAATCCAATGACAGCTAACTGTTTTGGACCAAAAACTAAGAAGCCCCAAAAAAAGAGAGGAGGAAAAGCAAACTAAAAATACAATATTAAATTTGAGTCCATTGCTTCCAGAGGTACCATCCCATTGTGTCCTACATTGTTGATTATCGCATCTAAATTTCATTTTCCAACCTATATCCCATCAAACGGAACCAACTCGTGTAATTTGGACCCTTGGAAGGACACATAGGCACTGGGAGAGAAGTGCATTTCTTTCAGCTGTTGAGCAAGATGTGATGAAGTTATCCTGATTGGACACACCTTCCTTTTCTGCTAAACTTCTGAGCTCCTCCAAGTACTCAACATTTTCTTTCAAGAGCTTATCGAATCCACCTAAAACATTGGACATGTAATGAATTTATCACTCCCGTATGTGGAGAAGTTATGCACTTCTACCAATCAAATATGGAATGGTAGTAGGTTAACATATCAATGTCACATTAATGTCAACTAATAAGGCATTGAAATAGCATTGGTTCCCTTTGTCGCGTGTCGGGTGTTGTTGAAATAATTGCAAGTGCACAATCTGCACAAGTAATATAGAGATAAGTGATTAATGAGACTGTAATTTCCTTTTAAGTACTAATTATGATTAATTTAGAAGTTTATTTGAATAATTGATTAATGAGAGTGATTGATTTATTAAACTAAATTAAAACAAACATGAAAAGTAGCAATTTAATTAACGGTGGAAAATCAAGTTGATGAGACACTAGAGCATCCGATTTCACCATAACGAATTCCACTTAATTCTTATAGCCAATTAACCTAATTACTATCCATGTTGACAGTTGGTTTCTCCTAATTCATTCAATATATCTCATCTCGGGCTCAACCAAAAGTATTCTTAATTAACAACTCATTCTCTCTCGAGTAACAGATTTATAAAATCAAGAACCCATTAAGTTATATGAGAGCCTGCAAGAAAACTACATGAGTCATGTTAGTCTCTCTCGGGCACTCATTCAAGACATGGTATTTGTTACGAGAAGCAAACACCAAACATCTCCTCTCGATCCTTGCTTGGATCATCAAATCAATTAAATATTGGCAAGATATTCAAAGCATTAAAAACATTAACATATACTCAATATGGAATAGTCATCAGAAATTGATATAACTATAAAAATTAAGTATTCACGGTTAGGCTACATCGTAGCCCTAGAAAGGGAAATTTGTTCATGACAAAAGAAAAGATAAACAAGAGAATTGTTGTCATAAAACCAATATGGCAGATGGATTTGATCTTCGAATTCTCCACAGCAACACCTTCGAAAGCTCCTCAAGTAATGCAGCAGCAAATTCTTGGCTCTCTCTGATATTTCTTTGGGTGTATGAAAGTTGTATATGAGAAAATATGGTGGAAAAGATGATCGACAGTATCATTGAGCCCATCTACCTTTTATACAGTCCACCCTCCATGTCTCTCTCCCTCTCCCTCATCAGCTACCACTTTATTTTATAGTTAGTTTTAAATTCACATCCCAAAAGAACTTCTTAGGGTCTTTACTTCAATTTGCTTTTCTGTAGAGTTTTTCCCTCCTCATGGTAATCCTCAGAGTGTGATGGTTAGAATACAAAGCAATAAGAAATTGCAACATGAGGTTTTGAGGCGAGGAAGATGACTCCATGGAGAAACTGAAGGATTGGGAGATGAAAGAAGTTGAGAAACAATACACATACGAAGAGTTGGGTGTCTTGATGGTGTCAGAATCCTAGATTCAACGGTGGAGTTGCTGTAGAGAAGCAGCACGTCTGAGGAGTTGAAGCCATTGAACACAAAGTCCACAGCCAAAGCTGATTGGAGAGATAGAATTGCAAGTAGTGAAATTAGCAGGAGGAGAGGTTTGGGATGTGGGTTTGTTTCTTGCATTGTAGAAAAGCAGAGGAAGCTAAAAAGGAAAATGGAGGAATAGATGGAGACGGGGGATGGAGGAGGACTCCTAGTTGAAGGATTTTTAATTTTTAATTTTCTTCTTTGTATAAATAGTTTTAATTTTCTTTTAAATATGACACATGGCAAATTTTGAATAGGTGTATCATATGCTGACGTGGTAGTACCGTCCTAGTCTATAATCTCTCCAAAAACAGGTCGTGATCTTTCTCAGTTCTCAACTTCTTGCACAGAAGAATCTAAAGAAGATCTAAGAGAAGAGAAGAAATGAGTGGAGAAGAATTAGCGGGCCCCCCAACCCCAAAGCTCCTCCGTCTACTTTATGTTGGTTGCGTTATTGACTTTAGGCAATCGAGTTAAATTGCAAATGTTACAACTTGTTTATTGAAGAGTTGTTATAAGCTGTATAGGATGTGTCATGATTTTTTTTTTTAACACTAAGTCAATGCGTTTTCTGATTTGGTTCTTCTCTTTTAGTTTGTAAACAATTTTATTGTATTTTCACTTGTTTGCATGAGTTTGGGGTTTCTTTTCCCCCATAACTTTATGAACCGAACAACATATATCCTTTAAATTTGAGTCCAGTTACTTTGAAATGAAGAATAAAGAACCACACACTCCCCAAAATCCTACTATGAACCCCAACATTACGAAAATATAAAACCACGAAAGTTGATGATGCCCATTGCCCTCGCCTTTGTTGTTTTTGTTATCTACATCCATGTCCTTATTTGGTCCGCACTTATTTGGAAGTGGGGCACCACAAAGTTTTGGATTCCCCTCAAAGGTAGAAGCATTGAAGCTTTGGAGCTGGGTGCTTGTTGGTATTGGTCCTTCAAGATTATTGTAAGAGACATTAAATTCTCTCAAGAAATTAAGGCTCGCCAATGACGATGGGATTATTCCAGACAAATGATTTGAGGAGAACTCTAAAACCTCTAGATTTTTTAGGTTAGATATTTGGTTTGGAATGATGCCGGAGAAGTTGTTGGAGCCAAGAAAAAGCTGGTGGAGAAGCTGCAATTGGCCGATCTCAGTAGGTATATGACCACTAATATTATTGTTAGATAAGTCTATCTTTCGTGGAAAATAAGACAATTTTTGTTGTAGATAACTTTGATTTGCGATTATCTCGCTAATGAAGGTAGGCAATTCAAATTCATATTGGTCTTCTGCTTTAGGTTCATAAAGCAACCTTGGTAATCCACAAAGTTGCTTTGGAAATTCACCTGAAATTTGGTTGTCTGACAAGTCTATATAAAACAGTCTAGGAAAAGTCCCCAACCAACTTGGAATTGGCCCTGTGATTTGATTAGCACCCATTTCCAAGATCTGTAAATTCTTGAGCTTTGATAACCATACAGGTATTTGACCCGTGTAGTTAGAACTAGCCAAACTCAAAAGCTTTAGATTTTGGAATCCATCAAAATCTACCATGTCATCATCAGATGGCATTCCCTCGCCTACAAAGGAACCATCAAGCATGAGTGTGTGAAGACTTTTGCAACTCATCAATATCTTCATTGCCCCTGTCAGGTTGGTGAATCGGTTAAATGCAAGTGAGAGGAAAGACAAGAATTTCAATGAAAGAATCTCAGCTTTTATTTGTCCCTCTAGATGATTTTTACTCAATGCAATGGCTTTTAGGGACCAACATGAGTAAAGGCTTACTGGAACCATACCAGTGAAGTTATTGTTCCTTAGATCCAATTTAGTAAGTTGACTAAGTCTGGAAAAATCAAGGATGGAGATATCTCCTTCCAAGCTGTTGGATCCCAAATGCAGTTCTACAAGGTTTGTGCAATTCATCAGAGATGGGGGCAAAGCACCTTCTAAATTGTTGAAATCAAAAGTCACAAATTTCAACTTGGAGAGCTTCCCCAAATTGAGAGGAAGCTCGCCGCCAAAATGATTATAGGAAAGGTCAAGGATGGCAAGGTTGGTGAGGTTGACAATTTTATCACTAATGGCTCCATGTAGTGAATTGAGAGGTAATGCAATTTCTTCAAGTTTGGTAGCATTATAGATATCTTCTGGAAATAATCCTAAGAGGTTATTGTGACCGGCACGAAAAACCTGCAGTTTGGAACACTTCCCTAGCCCAGGAGCAAGGTTGCCACTGAATGCATTGGAAGAAAAATCCAATAGCCTAAGGGAGGGAGAAGAACGGACACAAAGGGAGGATGGAACATACCCAGTGAAGGTGTTGTTGCTGACATTGAAACTAGTCAAGTTGTTTCCTTGTCGGAAGAATGAAGATGGAATTGCACCAAAGAAGTGATTGCTGGACAAATCCACTGTCCGGATATTGCTGGATGGTAGAGAAAGTGGTAGCTCTCCAGAAAGACGGTTATAGCTCAAATCAAGGATCTCAAGTCGATTCAAAGACAAGAAGAACTGAGTTTCAAGTGAACCATATAGTGAATTGTGGGAAAGGTTCAAGTGAGTGAGATGCGTGAGATTTGCAATTGAAGAGGGAGAGATACCTCCTTTGAGCCCTTTGGAAGGCAAGAGCAAACGGGTTACCCAACCATCACTACTACAAAAAAGGAAAAACACGACGGTAAATCACCGTCGTGTATTATGTTTTCAAATGGTCGTGGAATCCACCGACATCTTTTCCATAACCAAACCACGACGGTGAATAACCGTCGTTGTTAAAACAAAAAACGTCATCAAAAAATAAAACCGACGTCTTTGTGCTGCAAAAAGACATAAAAAAAAGGGTCGAGGATGAGAATAGACGACCAACTCCAACAAAAAAACGTCGTTAAAAAGGAAACAGATGACATATATTAACAGAACATGGCCGCAAGATAAACATACAACGACGAGAACTTAAACTTGACGCCGTTAAACAATATTTAACGACAAATATAAATACGACGTCTTTACAATAATAATAGACGACGTTATTGACACCTACTACGTCACAACATTTCCCACAACCGTCGTAAAATAAATTTTCCACTTCGATTTTTCTATGAATTATGACGTGGAAATAGATCTCAGGGTCATTACTTACGACGCATGTATTTACAGAGACGACGTTGAATTGATAAATAACGTCGGTTTCAAATAAATGAGAGCCGTATTACAGAATTTATACGTCATATTTTGAAAATAAACGACGTGGAAAAATGATGGGGTCATTAATTACGACACAGTAATTTATAAGGACGACGTTGTCGTCTATATACAACGTCGGTACCATGAAAAAGACCGTCGTGTTTAATAATTTATACGTCTTCATTTAAAAAATTGACGTCGTCTAATGCATATATCTTAACGTCGACAAGTTTAATGGACTTCAAATACCGTCGTAAAATAAATTTTCCACTTCGATTTTTCTACGAATTATGACGTGGAAATAGATGTCAGGGTCATTAATTACGACGTATGTATTTACAGAGACGACGTTGAAATGATAAACAACGTCGGTTCCAAATAAATGAGAGCCGTATTACAGAATTTATACGTCATATTTTGAAAATAAACGACGTGGAAAAAATGATGGGGTCATTAATTACGACACAGTAATTTATAAGGACGACGTTGTCGTCTATATACAACGTCGGTACCATGAAAAAGACCGTCGTGTTTAATAATTTATACGTCTTCATTAAAAAATTAACGTCGTCTAATTCATAAATCTTAACGTCGACAAATTTAATGGACTTCAAATACCGTCGTGAATTCATCCTTTTCCACTTCGTTTATGAAAGAACATGCGACGTGGTAAATTCATGACGACGTCGTCTTTTGTAACGTTCAGGTTAAAGTTCTCGTCTTTTAGACGTCGGTGTTATGGGATTGGAGTCGTGTTATTTGAATTACATGGCGGTTCTTTATGCTTGTCCGACGTGTTATCCTGGATAACTGTTTCACAATAGCGTCGTGGTTCTTCATTGTTACTTTGCTTTAAGACGTCGGTAAATATATTGCGGTCGTTGAATGCTCCAAAACGTCGTTATTTATTAGAACAGACGTTTGTTTTTCACATTTTTATCAAAACCGTCGTGTTTTGTAATCTGGAACCAGTAATTTTTGTACTGATTGTTTTGTGGCCAAAACCTGTATAATGAAAGTGAAGAAATCACATTACAATATATTACAAAATTAATGTCATACACTGCCAATTACATAAAGCATCATTCAACCCATATATCTTCACACCCATCTCGAATATTTTGACTCCCTAACTCAACCACCACTTCATCAAATGTGTCAACATTTGGCATCCCCCTAGTAAATGGCTCACACTCAATTCTCACATCACCTAAGACATCATCACCAATAACATCATTATATTCTCTATTAGGCATTGATAACACTACCGACCAACCACGATGCATCGGGTCGTCAACAAAAAATACTTGTTTGACTTGAGAAGCCAAAACAAATTGGTCATTCCTATGTCCAATTTTACTCAAATCTACAAGGGTAAATCCAAGTTCGTCCACTACAAGACCAGAAGTATTATCAATCCAATCACACCTAAAGACTGGGATTGTAAACTTTTGGTAGTCAAGGTCCCAAATTTCTTGAATGACACCATAGAAACCCATATTTGAGAGAATTGGGTTTTTATCCTTGGCACTAGCAACTTGCATAGTATGTGCAAGTAAATAAACTCCACTATTTTGAGTTGTCCGCACATCATCTTGTGCCTTGATGTTGAATTTAATACCTTTAATGAGATAGCTCCTATATAATGGCACTGCCATGTTTGGACCAGCTGCTAGCCACCTTAAATTTTCTGATACGCCATGATTGTCTTCCTCATTAAGTTCACTTTGAACCTGCAAATTAATCATAACTTAATTCAATCTAACACAGGAAGAAGAAAATTAAAAGTCCAATATGTTATTCAATAACATATACCTTGAAGCGTAGCCATTGAATGAAAGTGCTATTGTGCTTATCCTGCAGCCACTTTGTTCTCTTTCTAAATTTTGGATAAGCGGTCTGGATGTGGATCATATGTTGCCTACATGACACACAAAATTCAAGTATTACGATCCCAAACATATAAGATAAACATAAGAAATAATTTAAAATGGAAACTTAAAGAATAAAACTCATACGTACTCGATATAAGGTAGGACTTCCTCCGTATTCTCCAAGACATATAGATGTGCTTGGTTCAACAGGTCCCGATCAACTACGCTCACTGTGCAACCTGATAATGGCTTTGAAACTCCCATCTTTTGGCTTGAAGGCACTCCAACTGTACTAACATCAGATAAATGCTCGGTACAAAACTCTACAGCTTCTTCAGCTATATACCGCTCAGCAATGCAACCTTCGGGACGAGTACGATTCTGAACATACCCCTTTAGCACTTTCATATATCTTTCAAACGGATACATCCATCTAAAATATACTGGCCCACACAGACGAACTTCTCTGACAAGATGTACTACTAGATGAACCATGATATCAAAGAATGAAGGGGGAAAGTACTTCTCAAGCAAACACAAAGTAACTACTACATCTTCTTCCAACTTATCTAGCTTGGAAACATCAACAGTCTTTGCACATATAGCATTGAAGAAGAAGCACAAACGAGTTATTGCATACCTTGCAGGCTTTCTCCAAAACAGAACGAATTGCCACAGGGAGCAATTGTTGCATTAAGGTATGACAATCATGTGATTTAAGGCCAAGAAGTCTTGAATCTTGTAAAGATACAAGATTTTTTATATTTGAAGAATAACCTTCAGGGACCTTCATACCATAGAAAGAATTGCAAACCTCTCTCTTCTCTGCTCTTGACAAATTCCAAGGCCCGGGAGGCAAACGAGTACGTCTTTCTCCATACTCGGGTTGCAAATCAGTTTTGACCCCCATGTTCAATAAATCTAATCGAGCAGCAATCCCATCTTTATTTTTTCCAGGGATCTCCAGCAATGTACCAATGATACTATCGCAAACGTTCTTCTCAATGTGCATAACATCTAGGACATGCCTCACAGGAAGGTATTTCCAATACTCGAGATCAAAGAATATTGATTTCTTCTTCCAACAAACTCTGTCACCATCTTCAACCATATGCAGCACTTCTTCTCCGGTTAATGGCTCAGGAGGCGTGCCATATTCAGGTTTCCCATTAAAAGCTGCACGTTGCCTCCTATATGGATGATTGATCGGTAACCATTTTCTATGCCCAATGTAACAAATTTTGTGGCCATTTTTCAACCTGTGACTAGGTGTATCATCGCCGCATATTGGACAAGCTTTATATCCTTTAACAACACAACCAGATAAGTTTCCATAGGCGGGGAAATCATTAATTGTCCACATTAATGCAGCTCTGAGTGTAAAGTATTCTCCATTATGTGCATCATACACTCCTCCAATCCCATCCCACAAAGATTTTAAATCATCAATCAAAGGCTCCAAGTAGACGTCTATATCATTTCCGGGCTGTTTAGGACCGGAAATCAATAAGGTCAACATCATGAACTTTCGTTTCATGCACAGCCATGGAGGGAGATTATATGTAACTAAGATAACTGGCCAGCAACTATATCTGCTACTTAGAGAACTGTGGGGATTGAATCCATCAGATGAAAGAGCCAATCTCAAGTTTCTCGGCTCATTACCAAACTCGGGCCATTTATCATCAAGAAGTTTCCAAGACGGGGAATCCGCTGGATGAGACATATAACCGTCAATTGATTTTCTAGCAGCATGCCAAGTCAAACTCTTAGCGGTCTCATGTGATCGAAACATCCTTTTAAACCTTGGAATTGGAGGAAAATACCACACCACCTTCGCTGGCACACCCTCTTTCAAGATTGAATCTTTGCCTTCCTTCCACCTTGAGATACCACAATTAGGACAATGAGTTAAATCCTCATACTCCTTCCTATACAAGATGCAATCATTGGGGCATGCGTGCATTTTCTCATAACTCAGCCCCAATGCACACAAAGTCTTTTTTGCCTCATACATAGAGGCCGGTATTGTATTTCCGTCTGGAAGCAAATCGCCTTGAAGTATCAATAATTCTGTAAAACAGACATCACTCATCCCATATTTTGCCTTCAAATTATACAACTTCACTAATGCCGATAACTTCGTGTACTTTCTACAACCAGGGTACAATGGTTGATCTCCATCCCCAATCACATTGGCAAACTCATAAGGATCAGATCCAAAATCACCAAAATCATTATCATCCATCTCTATTTCTTCAGACACAAAACTGTACCTACTATGGTCATCATCTTCTTCAACATTTCTACTAGCATTAGTAGCTGCTTCCCAAGGTTCTCCGTGAAATGTCCAATTCTTATAGCTTTGGTCAACTCCATTAAAGTATAAGTGATCCCTTATAATTCCAACCCCAAACAATTTCAAATTAACACATTTAACACATGGACAACGGATATGTGTGGTAGTTAGAAGATTTTCTACAGAAAAGTTCAAAAATGCTTCCACCCCTAACTCATATGCCTTCGATCTTCTATCCGAGTGCATCCATGACTTATCCATCTCCGACACTATACCCTATTATATATAATAAAGTGAAAAGACAAGCAATGACCATCACTATAGCAGATTACATAAAGTCTAATAGCAAGTAATATACAACAGAGACGACGGTTTTTAAACAAAAACAGACGTATTTGACATATATAGACGACGGATTTTACGTCGTCTAATTGTAACCACGACGGTAGTTAAATAACACCGTCGTGTATAAGTAATAAAAACGACGGTTTAAAGTAAAAACCGTCGTCGTATGCCTGAAAACGCGTCGATATCCAGTTTATTTTCAAGATCCCAAAACCCTATTAAGAACACAACATAGACATGAAACCAAGCAAGAAACCAACATATACATGAAACCAACATATACTAAGCATGAAAACAATAAATCCATTCCCAATTCAACATAACAGAGAGTGATTAAAAGATCCGACAAAATGAAATCCATTCCATATTCAACATAACAGAGAGTGATCAAGAAAACATTAAACAGAAAATCCATGAACCCATACCTCCAACAACATTATTAACAGATCGCAAAACATATACCTAAAACCCTTTAACAAAACAACGTAATATATCATTCAATGAATTTACAAGGGGAAGAGAGGGTTTGTACTTACAGGTTGGCAGAGCTCACAGATTATGACCAAATTGGATTTGACACAGCCTGGCCCAACTTTGAATTAGAGATGAAGTGAGAGAGCGAAATGTTATGTTGCGCGAAATCAGAAAATTTTAGGGTTCAGGGTTAGAAGTATAAAAATAAGAGCCAAATCTGAAAATTTTAGGTCCCGCGAATATTTTAAGAAAGCGCGCTTTTTAAAAACATCGACCGAAAATACAAGCGTCGTTAAAATTTAACATTAAAGATGACGCTTATTACATTAAGGACGTCGTGGTAAAACTATGTACCACGCAAAATCAAAAAAGGCGTTAAAACTATGAAAAACCACGGCGGGGTTAAGTAACTAACGACGTTGTAAAAAAAAAAAAAAAAAAAAAAAAAAAAAAAAAAAAAAAAAAAAAAAAAAAAAAAAAAAAAAAAAAAAAAAAAAAAAAAAAAAAAAAAAAAAAAAAAAAAAAAAAAAAAAAAAAAAAAAAAAAAAAAAAAAAAAAAAAAAAAAAAAAAAAAAAAAAAAAAAAAAAAAAAAAAAAAAAAAAAAAAAAAAAAAAAAAAAAAAAAAAAAAAAAAAAAAAAAAAAAAAAAAAAAAAAAAAAAAAAAAAAAAAAAAAAAAAAAAAAAAAAAAAAAAAAAAAAAAAAAAAAAAAAAAAAAAAAAAAAAAAAAAAAAAAAAAAAAAAAAAAAAAAAAAAAAAAAAAAAAAAAAAAAAAAAAAAAAAAAAAAAAAAAAAAAAAAAAAAAAAAAAAAAAAAAACAAGTACAGAACCGACCATCATAAGCCAGTACTACCTTCACCTTCCCCATTGATAGCTTGGAACTCGAGCCATCTTTGGCATCTAAGTGCAATATCGGATGAGGAGGGTCTGAGTTGAGAGTTGGAAGAGGGGGGATACTCTGCTCGTTCCTGAAGAAATTTGCTGGATCAACAGCAGTCTTCACCTTACCAACCTTTCAAAATTGTCATTGAAGTACTTCAAGCCATACACCTTCCCCTGTTCATAGCTTCTATTACCAAATTTATTGACACCGATGTCAAGGTCCCTGTAATTCAAGAAAGCACTCCTTGGGTTCTTGGACACAAATGGGGTCATGAACCTGAAAAGTCTCCTGGTGTCTCTGGTATAATTCTTCTCTGCTTCAGCCCCTGCTTTCCCCCCAGCTCACTGAGTACTGAACTTTGAACAAGTTCCCAGCACGGTGTGGAAAAGGGGTGGCAGAGGCCGGAATCCGACTCATCATCCCACCATATGGATTGAAAACCAAACCTATTTTGCCTATTTCAATCATCTTCTTCCACACTAACTCCAACCTGTTTTTGGAAATTGGGGTTTGAACATAATCAGACTTTCTTTTCAGAAAATTTGCGTGATCAGGATTTCTATCAAGCAACACATCAGGGGAAGTCCCATTATCATAGTTAGCCCACCAAAGCACAGACTCAATCCAGCTCATCTCCTTACAGTCATCCTTCTTCAAACCTAACTCAGGAAACTGCTTCCCTAACAATGACACAAGTTGGTCAGCATTGCCTAGAAACTCAGCCATAATTGTGGCCTTAACAGTATCGCTCCCTGGCTGCAACAGCAGCCTCATAAACAGACCATCATCTGTGGTTGGCGCCACCTCTTGCCACCTCGAAACAACGTCGGTTGCATTCTCTTCCAATGTTCTCGCAGCCTGGAAAACTGTGACAGTTTCTGGGACAGAAACCAGCTTCAATTTGTATGCAACAATGACACCAAAGCTTCCTCCACCCCCTCCTTTAATGGCCCAAAACAGGTCTTCTCCCATGGCTTGTCTATCAAGAAGTCTCCCCTTAGCATCAACAATCTGAGCATCAAGGACATTGTCAACAGCAAGGCCAAACTTCCTCAACATGTTTCCATAGCCACCACCACTTATGTGCCCACCAATACCAACTGTGGGACAAACACCAGCAGGAAAGCCATGAACTTTGCTCTTCTCTGAAATCCTATAGTACAATTCTCCAAGAGTGGCTCCAGCCTGAACCCAAACCGAGCTGTCCTCAATGTCTACAGTCACAGTCCTGAGGTTGAACATATCAAGGACAATAAGGTCTGATCAGACCAGTAAGAAAGGCCCTCATAATCGTGCCCGCCACTTCGGATTCTCAGCTGTATGGCAAGCTGTTTGGCACAGACAACCAAAGCTTGAACATGAGATGAAGCTGAGGGTGTGACGATGAGGACTGGTTTTGGGGTTGAAGTGGTGTTGAACCTTGAGTTTCTGATGTAGGCTCTTAGAACAGATGAGTATGAAGGGTTGTTTTCGGCATAGATTATGTTGGACAATTGGGTTGATGATGGGTTTGTGTTGGTGTTTAGGCATTGAAGAAAGTTGTCATAGACAGAAGCTGAGGCTGCCCATGAAGCAGAAACATGAAAAACTAGGAGAAGAACAAGTGAAAGCATCATCATCCTAGGCATTGCTTCTCTCATTATCTTTGTCAATTTGTTGTATTTTGTATGTTGTAAGGTTTTGGTCCTCCTATATATATAAATACATAGAGACCTGTTTGTTAAGGGGAATTGTCAACTATAGAAATTTAAAGTCATTCCTTGGCACAATGGGAAACTCAATTCCTTGGCACAATGGGAAAGTTTTGTTTCCTTTTTCCCATCAACACTTTTTTTAGTACCTTTCCTAATGAAGAGGGCGATAACAGAATCAATCCATCTTTATTATGTCTAGTGTTGATAGGAAACCAAAAAATATATTTTCCCTCGCGTACTTTAGGTGCCTCTCTCTCTCTCTCTCTCTCTCTCTCTCTCTCTCTCTCTCTCTCTACCATGTCGCAGAGCCCTCTTTTTCCTTCACTCCTATATTATATCACTGATTTACTCTGAAACTTGTTAGTAAAGGGTTCTTTTTCCACTTCAATCAGTTTTTAATTAGCCGGTCAGTTCTGGGTTCTGTGCCAATGTAGTGATTTTGGATTCTAACCCTCTATTTATTTTATTTTGATTTCTATTCACGAAGAGGAAAAGAAAATCCGATGAGGAAATCTTTGTCAAACCCATTAGAGAGATGGAAGAGGAAATTACTTAATTCCTTCTTTCAATTCTGCAAATTTGGAGCAGTAGATGATTACTGCGTTTCTAACTTGTTTCCTAAATTTTCTTTACTTTCTGGATTTCTTATTTGATTACCTTATTTCTTTCCTAGAGTAAGTTTAATTTTCTCTTCACTCTAGGGTTAGATTGTTATAAATACACCCCCCCTCCCCCTCCTCCTATGTAATAGAGATTGGAGATTTGAGTTATTGAGTAAAGTTTATTTTTGCAGAGATTGGAGAATTCTTGGTGTGAAGCCATTGCATCTTTACCCATCTATACCACTGAACTACCTAAACCCTATCCTACATCAAAATCCACAGCTTCAGCCACCCAATGGGTCCTTTTATAACAGATGTTCCAAAGTCTGTCCTTCAAGATGTTATAATAAAGCTGCCAACAAAGAGCATTATCATGTGCAAAAGCGTCTGCAAGACTTGGTGTTCTCTAATTTCGGACCCTGCATTTGCTAGGCTGCATTTCGCACAAGCAGAGGCCTATCCTATGGTCCGGCCCGTGGATCGAACAAGCGTGTCAAGAAACCTTTACTTGGTTGAGCCTGAAGATAGCTCTGGTTTTGATTTGAAGGACCATGATTGTAACCGGTCCCGTGTCCACATGAATCTTTCCAAATATAAATTCCCATTGTGTCATGCTGAGGAGTTACTCAATCACCATAGGAATGGCAATGTGATGCCTAGTCATGAAACTGAAAGAGAGGTTCACATGAAGATAACGAAAATTGATGACAACAACAACGAGGTGGATTGGGGTGAAGGTATCGCTTTCATGATGCAATATGATCACAACAACTACAACTTGGTAAATTCTTGTAACGGTTTGCTTTGCCTGTCTGATTTTTTCGTGAATTACCCTGCTGCTGTGTGCAATCCAATAACCGGCGAATTTATAAACCTTCCCCATGGTCCTAAACATGAGAAGGCAATGACTTTAATCGGTAGTGGATTAGGTTTCGGTCCGAGGACTAACGAATATAAGGTGGTGAGAATTCTTAAGGAACGGACACCTGATCCCAATAAGGTGGCTGAGATACACACCCTGGGAACAGGTTCATGGAAATCTGTTGGCACTGCTCCCTGCTCAGACTCTCAGCTATCATTCCCCACTTGTGTGAAAGGAATGCTTTATTGGTTTTGCGATGAGTGGACAGGTTGTAGTGTGATTTCATTTGACTTGGATACTGAAGAGTTCCAATCGGTTCCATCACTGCCTTTTCGGGAGGACGGTCGTGATGTGAGCATGGGAGATTTGGGAGGTAGCCTTTGTCTGTGTAAAACTGAGAGTTTTGAAATCAATGTGTGGGTAATGAATGATTCTGGTCCACAAAAACTTTGGATGAAGAATATATCGATTCGTACTGGTTTTCGTCGAAGGTGGCCAGATGGCGTATACATACCCATGAAATACTTTGAGAATGATGGTCTGTTGATGTTTAATTCTCGTCTCAATGCCTTCTTTTACTATCACCCAGGAAACCACAGTCCATTCATTTATCTTAAGCTTCGAGAGATGAAGAAGTATTCATCTTCTGAGGCAATTAGTCATGTTCCGAGCTTTATTTCGCTCAAGGATATTCTGGTGGGGAAGGATGTAGAAATACTGAATATAAATTCAAGGTAAGGATATTTGAACTGTCGTCTATGTTTTGATTCAGTCTTTGATTGTACATGGTTGACTTGTTATCTTTTGAGTAGATGAACAGCATGTTTGAATTTATTTTTCTAAGTTGGTTTCACTTGCTAGATAGATATTTTGTTTTAATGTCACAACTGTTGTTGATGCAGGTGTGCAGTGCTGAAGCTGCCCGGAGAGACCGAAGCCCTATCTCTGGTGGAAGAAAATGCCGGTTCGATACGCTTCTGACAGTTGAGAACAGTGAAACAAGCACACAATGGTGGATGGGATGCAGCCTAAGACTGAGCTAAAAGACCATTTCGTTACCTTAATGCGCTTCTAACTTAAGAGGCCGTGAAGTGTTTTGTTGATGTTACTTTAAATCGTTTTGGATTAGAGGTTAAACTACTTGTCATGTTTGTGGAAGTACATTGCTAATTACAGGCTTTACTTATCATCATTGCTTTGGTTAATTTGGCGAGTGAAAGATTTAACTTCATGTCTGCCCTGAACACAGAACTATGACTGCAAAACTAAATATCATAGTTTTTGTTGGCACACCAAAATCACCCAAACCAACTGAATTCACCCTTTTATCCGTTTGTAAATCAAATTACATTCCCAAATGTACGCTTTCATAAGGAGAGACCTTTCTTCATCCGAAGTTACTTTAAATATTTTTGGATCAGAAATCAATGAAGCCCAAGTTTAAGAACATAAAAAGAACACTTGCAGTAGCGGGGGAATAATAGAGGAAGGGATTGAAAACAAGCAATAATTTGGATACTAAATTGAAATTAACCAAATTGAAAATGCCATAACTATGTAACTTTTGGAAAATGCCTGCCTCCTTCCCTGGAAGTAAGAACTCCTACTTTCCTGTCAATCACAATTTGACATGTATGTAGAGATTTTTTGTGTGTTTTTGATGAATTATTTTCACAATGTGTCAAACTGTTGATTGCAGGAAGTAGGAATGCCTACTAATAAGTGTATCCGTAACTTCTTCCCTTTTTGTTTTTGTTTTTTGTTTTTTCTCAAATCTCCTGCGCTTAACAATTTAGGTTGCACTTCTGCCCTTATGTTATTTTTCTTAAGTAGTTTGTAGGCATGGTTTATTGTTCCATGTTTCAACCAAATCACTGCTAGAGAAGACGGGGGGCTAGTTCTAGGCCATTGGCCAAAAGGGTGTTGAGATCATGGGAAATTTGAGAAAGAGTGAATTGGTTGAATGGTAATGCGATGGGTTCTCTGCATAATTTGTTTGCACTGTTATCAGTCATATGCAGGAATCTCTCTATTAGATACACACTTGCACACACAGACATAAGTTGATGCTTCCCGTAGTGTATCTGGCTTCATATTCATTAGTTGGACTTTTTTTTTTTGGGGGGTCTAACTTGATTGGACTTTTATGATGACAAAACTACAATATCACAATTTTGAAAAGTATAAGTGTTTGTATTGTGTTTGGGCTTAAATTTCACGCGTCAGCCCAATTGATTTTTGGCCTATGTCAAAAATAGGAGTTTGGGCTTTATTTTGTTAAAGTCAGAAGTCAACCCAGATGGGTTTAGAGGCCCAGACCTTTGTGAACCAATTTGCAAGGAATAAATTTACAGATTAAAGATTAATTGCCATTTATGGTGATTTAATCTGGATAAATCAGTTTCTAAATTGGTTTAAAACTAAGCCCAACTTTTAATCTCTCCAAAGGCTCAAAACTTGATCATCACCTTTGATCACAATTTCAGAAATCATGTCAGCAGATTCCTAGGAAGATCTCTCTCTCTACAAAAGCTCACGTGACTCTAAGGTCAAGATTTCAATAGGCCAGAGGGCGTGATGGGGAGTTGGTAGAAGGTTTAATAGGAAAACCACTCCCCATACCCATTTAATGCCAGAAAAGAGGGCCAAGTTTCTTTCCTATGCTCATGAGGGCTTTGCATCAAGTGGGGTTTATGAGAGATAGACAAGAGATAAGAGAGTTGGTTGACAGAAGATCAAAACCGATCATCTTAAAAACTGACTTTTAATGGGGGTTTTCTTTTGTTAGAACAAGGAATCCTTTTAACAGATCTGTCTTCCAGATATTAAGGAATAAACCCTCATTCAAATTCTCTATAAATCAAGTCAGCAGATTCCCTGGAAGATCTCTCTCTCTGTCTACAAAAGCTCACGGGACTCTAAAGTCAAGATTTCAACAGGGCAGAGGGTGTGATGGGGAGTTGGTAGAAGGTTTAATCGGAAAACCACTGCCCATACCCATTTAATGCCAGAAAAGAGAGCCAAGTTTCTTTCCTATGCTCATGAGGGCTTTGCATCAACTGGGGTTTATGAGAGATAGACAAGAGATAAGACAGTTGGTTGACAGAAGATCAAAACTGATCATCTTAAAAACTGACTTTTGATGGGGCTTTTCTTTTGTCAGACTAAACCACTATCCCTTTTTTGCGCTAAAACAAGGAATCCTTTCAACAAATCTGTCATCCAGATATTAAGGAATAAACCCTCATTCAGATTCTCTATAAATTGTTTGGGCAACAAATTGGCATACCCAGCCCAGCAAAATTTAGGCCCAGAATGAAGCTGCAAAAAAATCAAAGAGAGATGGAAGCCCAAAAGCCAGAGGAGACCAGCCCAAAACTCATCAAAGTAAACAAGGCTAATCTGGGTCTCACAGGCCCAATATAAAAGAAAGAAGAAAGCCCAGAAGTAGGAACAATCCCACGTGACCTCTCTGTAAAAAGAAAAGTCAGCAATGGCAACTGTCACAGGAGAAGTAATTGAAGGGTTCATAATATCAAGATTGATTCTGGAAAAGCTAAAGATCAAATCCCTCTTACACATATATGATATATATATATACATACTCAGAGATTTTTTCCCCTGTCTTTTCAGAGAAGGTAATTCTCCCAAGGAGATAAGCAAGTTACAATCTCAGGGAGGGATAAGCAGGAAAGTAGAAAGCTGTCCAGAAAAGGAGTCAAACTAACCATCACCGGCAAAACATCACAAGGGGCAGTTGAAATTGGGAAAGAGATTAGGTTCCTTTTCAAGAAAATCAGGGAAGTGATTGCCTATCTGTTGAGAGCCTATCTACCAAAAACTGAGGAAACTTTTTTCTTTCTTTTCTTTTCCATTTTTAAAAGAAGATCTTTTTTGAAAGGATTTGCCGCCCATTATTAAAAGAGTTACCCTACTCCAGAAGACATTTCTTATAAATACAAGAAGGAGTGAACAGGGCAAAGGACAATCAAATCTTACAACAAAAATTTCATCACTCAATCAAACAAAGATCCTACATAGGAAAACCCTCAAATAAACAAGCCCACTTGAATTTCAAGTGAAAAACCAGCTCCAGATCAGAATGCCCAGAATCCAGATTTAGGAAGCAAGTCATTCAAGACGAGATTTCTCTCGTTATAAATTTGGTTCAACAAAAAGCCAAAACAAGCAGAGTTTGAATCTTCTCCAAGCATGGAAAACCTCAGCAAAATTCACGGAATAGCCTCCAGCTCACCAACGTCCTCAAGAACAGCCACTTCTGCCTGTTCAAACTGAAGAAACCGCAGTTCTGCCCACTCAGAAGCTTCACAAAAGCTTAAGGTACATTAAAGCTCTGCCAGAATCAACCTTTGGTATCGATTTGTAGTCGAGGATCGGGCAATCAGAATTGTCAGCGGTCCAGTCCAGCCCAGACATTCCCAGTCCAGCCCCTCATAGAGCCTCCCATCCAGACAGAAATGGAGATCTAGCTATCTTTTTATCTTTTTGGCATCGACATGTATTTTTGTAGTCTTGTAAAAGGCACTTCCGCCCAAAAATAGCTTAAATTTCATCAGCCATTCTGGCCAGAACAGCCTCTTTATACTGAGATAAATTATTGAAGTCCTCACCAGTCTGAGGCAAGAAAAGAACTTACTTGGGAGATATTCCTCACCCAAATTCACAATCGTTTGTTTAGGAAATCAGTAACTTGGGGCGCAAGTTATCCATTCCAGACTAAGTCTGCTAGACTTCTCATTACTAGCAGTGGCACGCTCGCACACCAAAGAAAGCTGACTTGTTGACCAGTCTATGGTTCTCAAGGCAGTGGGGAACTTTGCCCTTCCATCATAGGAGTAAACACAAAACGGGTGAACAATTTGGCACGCCCAGTGGGACTTCTCAGTATACATATTCTCTTCGCCAGTTCATGAATACCGGAAGCTCTAGCCAGAACCCACACCACGACATGGAAATAAACCAAGTGGCCCTCAGGGAAGGACTGGAATCAGAAGAAAGTGATGCTCGGCATTCAGCACATGGCAGCACAGGGAGTAGGAGGTCCAGGACCGGTTCCAGAAGGATGAACCTGATACAGGAATCTGTGTTACGACAAGAGGTCACAACACAAAGAAGTCAAGATACTCTAAACAATATGACAGCCATGATGCAATGGCAGGTCAACAGGCAATTCAGGAAGGATCGAGAGGCTGCCATGGCCAGAATTCCCAATCCCGATGAGGTGGTCCAGCAACTAGACCTTCCCTATGGTCCCCCACCAGGGTTGGCGTGGCCATATCAAGAGAATCCTCTTGTTGCACAGATAGTTGGGATCCCGGAACGGGGAGGAATCCAGGCTGGACACAGGGAAGTGGCTTTTCCTATCCAAGAACGTCTGGCCCCAATACGGCCAGAAGGTCCTGCGCCAGGACAAGTTCCACAGAATCAGCAAGAGCCTCAGCCTGCTCCGCAACAAGCGGTCCCACAAGATCACCCTATGGAAATTCTGCCTGAACAGCCAGCAGTGGTACCCTACAGGCCCAGAAGGATGGACCCCAATCCATTCCCTCCACCTGCAAGAGGAAGGAGAGGAAGAGGGGGAAATTACCCTTATGTTAATAACGACAGGAACAGGCAGGGGCCAAACTGGAGGAACCACCCAGGCCCGGAGGAACCGGAGGAGCACAGGGAAGAGGTTCTGCCTAGACCATATAGGGCAGAACCACGTTTCGATCATGCCCAGCCAGAACAGGGACAAAACCTTCCCCCCGTTAATGCTCTAAATGACGTGGGGGCATTACAGAGGATGATCAGGGAAATGATGGAGCCTGAGGCCAGGAGGGGGGAAAGGCCCACCTATAGGAAGCCATATCCACCTTACATTGACCAGATACCCTTGTCCCCAGGCTTTAAAGTACCAAACTTCACTTTATTCAACGGAGAGGATCCCCATGCTTCATCAGTTGAGCACGTAGGCAGATTTTCTACCCAATGCATAGCCATAGAGAATAACCCATTGCTAAAGCTAAGGCTTTTTGGGAATTCTCTCTCTGGACAAGCTTTCACTTGGTACACTACTCTGCCAGCAAATTCCATTCAGACATGGGAGCAAATGGAGAGCGTCTTCCATGACTACTATTACAGGATTCAGCCAGAAGTCACCATCAGTGACCTTGCAGCTCTCAAACAGAGTGAAGATGAACCTGCCCAAGACTTTATAAACAGGTTCAGGAAGCTCAAAATGAAGTGCCGAATCCCCATCGAAGAAAGACACTTCAATCAAATGGCTCAGGCTGCCCTCAAAATCTCTCTGAGGAAAAGATTTGATGGGATGCTGTTTGGAGATCTGGCAGAACTGGCAGATAAAGCGGCCAAGTACGAGGAATTGCTCAGAGAGGAACAGCAGAAGAGAAACTCTTCCAAAGGCACGTATTATAAATCCCCTTCTTCCTCAATACATATGATTGAGGTAGAGTCAGAAGAAGATGCGGAGGAATCAAAGGAGAGAGAAGTTGCAGTTGCGGAAATGGCAAAATTAAAGCATCCCATCAGTTGTAAAACTCTTACAAAACCTCCAAGGGATCAGAAGCCGCCACCATTCACAGGAGGGTTTGTTCCAAATAAACCCATGCAGAACAAAGTGTATTCCTTCGATCTAACCAAAGTAGATGCCTTGTTCGATGAAATGTTGCTACAGAAAGCAATAGAGACACCTCACAGAATGCCCAAGCCAGAAGAACTCAAGGGCAGACTTGGAATCATTCTACCAATAGTTGTGTTGTTTTCAGAGATGTCATACAGGAAGGAATAACAGCAGGAAGGCTGAAGCTCGCAGAGAAACCTCCATCTGTCACCACAGATCCTTTTCCCCAGCCACAAGTTAACATGGTCAACCTAAATTGGCCAGAACGGAAGAAGGACAGACCAGCCATGCAGGCTGGCTCCAGTAGAAGCAGAATAGTTTCAAAGGAGACTATGGAAAGACCAAAAGCAACCATTTCAGCTGGAATAGTGCTCTGCAGCAGGTGCAATTGCGAGGCTGAGTTGGAAGTGGTCCCCAAAAAACAGGAGCTGCCCATTCCAAGTGTTTTTGACCGGATCGGAACCACGCCCCATGATAGGGCCAGACAGAGAAACTACCCTAGGCCTGTCCAAACCAACAGGAGAGTGACTAAGCAGCCCAAGGAGGAAATGTCAATAAAAGTGCCCGGAAGTAACAAACCTTTGGCGGCCATCATCGAAGGCAGGTGGTACTCTGTCGGGAAGAATGGCAGACCAACAATGGAGCTGACAAGAACCCAAAGGAGGAGGGTTCAGAGACAGTACTGCACATTCCTCAATAACGAGAAAAACGCACAGGTGCTTCCAAATGCCAATTCTGCCAGAAAAGGGAAAGAACCAGAAGTACTTCCCCAGACAGAACAAGCAATCTCTCAACTACAGAAGTTGACAAAAGCAGAATCCTCAGAGAAACCTTCTGTCCATCCTGCCCCCGCCTCAGGAGGTCTACTTGAAACTCCCCAACTAGAGGAAAGAATCGATCCTATTTCAGGAGGAGGACAAGGGGACTGGGTTGAGGAAGATGAAGAGGAGCAGCTGGATTATGAGCCATCCACAGATGACCAGAATACCCTCCTCGGGGCAGAAGAACTGGGAGAATGGACGGAGAAATATGATGGAGAACAGATGGATTATGACGGAGAATTGGATGCAGAAACTGAGGCCTTTGGTGCAGAACTGGAGGACTTGTTACGTGTTGACCTAGGCATCAATATGGTGTTCATTCTGCCAGAAAAGTTCTGGGCGGTAGAAGGACAGAAGAACACTCTGGACGGAGACGTATTTTCCCAAGAAAGTTTTGAATGCAGGTTGGCAGAAACGGAAGAAATGCCAGAACAGCAAACAGGCAATCCCAGGATAGAAGGAGCAACCCACAAGCTGACAACAGGTCCCCTTTGCTTCTCCAAACCAACCAAAGAAATGGCAAACCACCTCAGACCCTTGTTCATAACAGCAAACTTTGGGGGTGTTCCTATCCCCAAAACCATGGTAGATGGAGGTGCAGCCATCAACCTTCTGCCTCACAGAATGCTGAGCAAAATGGGCAGAACAGAGAAGGATCTAATCCCAACCCGCCTGACCGTCACCAACTTCGCAGGGGGCATCACCAAAACCCTTGGGATTCTGGATGTAGATGTCTTGGTAGGAAGCAAGAAGCTGAAGGTTGCATTCTTTGTGGTAGATACTACTTCCACCACTTACAATGCATTGCTTGGCAGAGATTGGATTCATCAGAGTCTGTGTGTTCCTTCCACTCTTCATCAACAGTTAGCTTTATGGAACGAAGATGGCTACATGGAGATAGTAGAGGCCGATCCACGGCCATTCCTACCTTCTGCCATGTGTTGTGAGGCAAGGTACTATCATGATGACCTTGGTCCTTTCACTTTCTTTGGAGTCAACCAGAACGGCCGCCCCCATGGTGTCACGGCCCAGAGACTCATTGAAGAAGGTCTAACCAATTCTTTGGAGGATTGGAACAGACCTTTTGTCCTAAATTTCCAAAGCACTGATGTTTAGTCCCAATCAACAAGAAAAGGATCGAGCTGCAACAATCCGGTCCATTACAAAAAGATTGTTGATATACTGGGAGGAAAGAAGGTTGTTTGCACAGAATCCAGCCATCAATATGGCAGAATTCACTCATGAAAGTACGGAAAGCCAGGAGGAAGAAGAACTACAGGAGGAAGTGCTAGATTTCGCACCAGCCGCATTGGATGACTCTCTGCCAGAAGTAGAAGATCCTTTGCAGGAAATAAATTTGGGAACAGAGGAGGATCCAAGGCCAACCTTCATCAGCGCACTATTGAAAGAACCACTTAAGAATGAACTCGTTGCACTTCTACAAGAGTTCAAAGACTGTTTTGCTTGGCATTATCACGAGATGCCAGGATTAGACAGGGAATTGGTAGAACACAAGCTACCAATCAAAGAGGGATACCTTCCAGTCAAACAGGCCAGAAGAAGAATGTCCATGGACACAGAACTGAAAGTCAAAGAAGAAATAGAAAGGCTGCTCAAAGCAGGATTCATCAGGCCTGCCATCTATGCTGATTGGCTAGCTAACATTGTACCAGTTCTAAAAAGGAAAACTGGGGCAGTCAGAATCTGCGTGGATTACAGAAACCTGAATGAAGCCTCTCCCAAGGATGAATACCCTATGCCAATGGCAGACATGCTAGTAGATGGAGCTGCCCACAACCAGATGCTATCTTTTATGGATGGCAACGCAGGTTACAATCAGATCATGATGGCAGAAGAAGACATCCACAAGACAGCCTTCATGTGTCCAGGGCATATAGGTGCTTTTGAATATATTGTAATGCCTTTTGGCTTGAGAAATGCAGGGGCTACCTATCAAAGGGCAATGAATTCTGTTTTCCACGATATGATAGGACATTCCTTGGAGGTGTATATTGATGATGTTGTGATCAAATCACCGGAGGAGGGAAACCACATGACAAACCTAAGAAGAGCATTCCTCAGAATGAGGCAACATAAACTGAAAATGAACCCAAAGAAGTGCGTTTTTGGAGTTCAAGCGGGAAATTTCCTAGGATTTCTGGTCCACCAAAGAGGCATAGAGATCGACAAGAACAAAGCAAAATCCATCATAGAAGCTTTACCGCCTAGGAACAAGAAAGAATTGCAAAGTCTCTTAGGAAAAATTAATTTTTTAAGTAGATTTATATCCAATTCTGCAGGAAAGATCCAGCCTTTCTCTTCTCTGTTAAAGTTGAAACAGGAACAAACCTTTAAGTGGGAAGAACAACACCAGCAAGCTTTTGAGGAAATCAAGCATTACCTCTCAAATCCACCAGTTCTGTCCCCGCCAAAGAGAGGCAGGCCACTCAAGCTCTATATATCCGCATCAGAAGTATCCATTGGAAGTTTATTGGTTCAGGATAACAAGGAAGGAAAGGAACAGGCGGTTTACTACCTAAGCAGAACTCTGACAGAAGTGGAAAGGAAATATTCTGCAATTGAGAGACTTTGCCTAGCCTTGTACTTCACTGCTGTAAAGCTCAGACATTACATGCTGCCATACACCATCTATATCATTGCCAAAACAGATCTGATCAAATACATGCTGACAAGACCAATGCTGAGAGGCAGAATTGGAAAATGGACCTTGGCCTTGACAGAATTTGCCTTCAGATATGTTCCTCAGAAAGCCGTCAAAGGACAAGCTGTGGCAGACTTCCTAGCAGATCATCCCGGAGAGGAGATTGAAAATATGGACTCTTTAGACATAGCAAATGCAGATCTATTAACCAGAGCTCACACCTGCCTCAACAATCCTATCTACTCAGTTCATCTTACACCTTGGAAGTTATACTTTGATGGGTCAAAAACTGATATAACTTCCGGGGCAGGAATTGTTTTGGAAGAGCCACTTGGAATCAGACACTGCTACTCTTTCCAATTAGATTTCCAATGCACCAACAATAGGGCAGAATATGAAGCCTTAATCATTGGCTTGGAAATGCTGGTAGAATTAGGAATCCAGTCTGTGGAAATCCTGGGAGACTCCATGCTGGTTCTAAAACAAATTGCTGGGGAATACAAGTGCCTAAGCCCTTCTCTGGCTGTCTACTTGGTGGCAGCTAGGAATCTTCTGACAGAATTCAGAGAGGCCACTTGGGAACATATCCCAAGAGAAGAGAATTTTGCAGCCAATGAATTGGCCCAGGTGGCAACAGGCATACAAATACCCAAAGATTGTGTACAAAGAATCATCAAGATAGGAAAGAAAAGCCTACCATCGGTTCTGGCCAGGGGGATGGAGATAGATGTCAACTCTGCCACAATCACTGAAGATGATTGGAGGAATCCTATCATGACCTATCTGCGATATCCAACTTTGCCCTCTGAGAAGAAAGTCAGAATCATGGCTTTAAACTACCTTATGTGGAATGAAGATTTGGTCCGAAAAGGTAAGGATGAGGTGCTTTTAAGGTGCCTCGGGAAGAAAGAATACATGAAAGTTATGGGGGAAACCCATGAAGGAATCTGTGGAGCACACCAAGGTGGAAGGAAAATGTGCTGGTTAATTAGGAGATATGGCTACTTCTGGCCAACCATGATGAAAGATTGCATTAACTATTCCAAGGGGTGCGAATCTTGTCAAAGGCACGGTCCAGTCCAGCAGGCTCCATCAGTTCCCATGAATCCAGTGGTAAAACCATGGCCCTTTAGAGGATGGGCAATGGATCTCATTGGTAAGATCTACCCAGCCAGCAGCCAGCAGCACTGCTTTATCATTGTTGCCACAGACTACTTCACCAAATGGGTGGAGGCCAAGGCTGTTAAATCCACTACATCTCAAGAGATCATCATTTTCATAGAAGAACAGATCATCCAAAGATTTGGCATCCCAGAATCAATCACAACTGATAGAGGGTCATCTTTCATATCTAGAGAAATGCTGGACATGGCAGAGGCATTCAAATTCAGACTGCTCCAATCCACTCCTTATTATGCCCAAGCCAATGGACAGGCGGAATCAAGCAACAAAGTAATCATCAACATTATCAGGAAAATGCTTGAAAAGAATCCAAAACAGTGGCATGAGAAGCTGTCAGAAACTCTGTGGGCATATAGAACTTCAAAGAGAGAAGCGACTGGCATGACTCCCTACGCGTTAACCTACGGTCATGATGCAATTCTGCCTATGGAGATAGCTGTTCAGTCCCTCAGAATTGCTCACCAACATGACTTAGTAGGAGAAGACTACTCCCAGGCCATGCTGCTGGAACTGGAAGGATTGGATACAGCCAGAATTGACACTCTCAACAAACTCCTGGCAGGAAAACAGGCTGTATCAAGGGCCTACAACAAAAGAGTCAGGAACAAGAGTTTTGAAGAAGGGGAGATAGTCTGGAAAGCAGTTCTTCCCCTTGGAACACATGTGGCTGGTTATGGAAAATGGTCACCTACATGGGAGGGTCCTTTCATAATCAGCCAGATCCTTGGAATGGGGGCATACAGGTTGCAGGATAGGGATGGAGAAGTTCATACGGCCCCGATCAATGGCAAATGGTTAAAAAAGTTTTATCCAACCATGTGGGATTCACAGGCTGTACAAACAGACCCGGGGATAGACACAGGATTTAACTAAAAATCTTTTGAAAATTACCCTTGTTTTTACTTTAAGTCTATCCCTTTGTTGTATTCCTACTTCTGTTTTCCGTTCGATCCATCAATAGAAATAAAATGAACTTTATTTAAAAATAAATAAACCATGGGGCCTTCCCCACGGCAAGCTGTTCAGAAAAGCGAAATAACGAAATCAAAATCCTAGTTTTCTAAGGGTCTCCTGCAGGTTAGTCTTCTTGGTAGAAAGTTCCTTTTGGAGCAGCACACCCTGATGAATTGAAGCTTCTGCAATCTCCAGGGCGGGTCTAGAAGCTGCAACCATGTTCTGCACAAGGAAAGTGGCCTTGGTCTTAGAACTCAATCCAGCCCCGAGCCTGTGCTGCACTTCCCGACGCTCTGCCAGCTGCTTTTGAAGTTCTGCAATCTCTTTTTCCAATTTATCCCCAGCGGCTTTGGCTTCTTTATACCCCGCAACCATCTGGTCCAGTTCTGCCTTCTGTTTTGCAAAATCAGCCAAGTTGGCTTCATGAGTGGCCTTGCAGAACTCAGAGGTTTCGAAGGTAGGCTTCAGGTCTTCATAACGGTCGTGAAGGTTAAGCACATCCCTTGCCAAGACAAGACTCATCTCAAGTATGGGTCTTGGGGCCATGTTCTGTCTATGCAGCAGATCCAGATCCTTCATCAGCTGATCAAAGGCCTCTCTGTCCTCATCCAGCTCCAATTCAGCAGACTGCCAGATCTTCAGCCTCTCCATTGCCTCTTCCACTGCCCTGGACTTTGTTTTACCAACAGGAGAGCTGAGCTTTTCCAACTTATCCAGCTGGGCATCTAGGTCCATGGCCTCAAATTCTGCCAGCTCCGGGTCAGCAAAAGAAGCCGTGGCAGATGAACCTGCAAGAGAATGAATAGGCATCTGCAGAAGGAAGCATAAGGTCAAGAACAGGGCAGAGACAAGAAGAAGAAGATAGAACTGCAAAAAACACTCACTGCAACAATCGGAGGCTGCAAGGGGGTGGTCCTCACCGCCAAGGTCCCAGCAGTTCTTTGTGCTTCCACCTGTAAAGATTCGAGGGTCAGAAGGGACCAAGGGACAGAACAAAATGGGAAACGACAGAATAAGGACAGAACTCACCATAAACCCAGGAACGGCAGCAGCCACTCCTGCTACGATTTCAGGAGCAGGAACCACTTGTTCTGCCTGATCCCCAGGCTCCGATCCGGATTGTTCCACTTGGTCCTCAGCTGCTGGAGCGGCAGTAGAATGTTCTGCCTCTGGATCATCAAAAAGGGCCACCTCTGAGTTGGTCAGCCCTGCCCCTATATCTTCCTGCTGCTTCCGAGCCAAGGCAATGCTCTCCGCTATCACCTCAGCAGGAATTTCCTCCTACAGAATGCACGGAAGTCAGAACAGAATAAATCAAGGTGCAGCAGGAACAAATACTCCCAGATATAAATACAGACTCACCTCCTCCTCCACTGACTTGGCCTTCTCCTGGGGCTCCTCTCCTACCTTTTCCAGCTCTTCCAGCTCCCTTTCTTGCTCCACAGCTTCGAAAGCCTCTCTCAGATCATCATCCGTGCCAGAGGTGGTGGTGGGAACTGCCCCAGTTCCCTCCGGGGCCACGTATTCTTCTGCAATCTTCTTTCTAAGTCTTTTTGACTTAGTAAGAGGAGGAGAGGGACCTCCAACTGCAAACAGACAGAATAAGTCTTAAAGATTAAGACAGAACAGGATTATGAAGAATTCAAAAAAGGAGAGAGAAATCATCAAAAAATACCTGGAGCCACAGACTGGGCAGTTTCTTTTCTTTTTCTTTTGACAGGAGAAGTGGCCTCAACAGGAGTCTGTTCTGCCTGATCTCCCTCCTCTTCTTCTTCTTCTTCCTCCTCTCCATCCCCGGAGGGCAACTCCAGATCCCCAGCAGCAATGACAGAATTGACTATGCAGAAGACAAAAGTCAAAGGTCAATCCAGTAGAGAGTAGCAAAAGACTGGACAAAAAAACACAACTTACCAAACACCTCTCCGCTTTGGGCTGGTTGGCTGCCTATATTCTTTGTCAGAGAGGGATCTGAGTACAGATAGAAAGGATTAGCATCATCACTAAAACACAGAATAGGCAACAACAGACAGAATAAAGAGATTACCTTCTATAATTTGCATGTTGATGTCTTTGATGGTCTGCACCATGAATCTGTGAGTCTCGTCGTCTGAATGGACATTCCAATTGTCCCAGCCCTTAAAAAGGACCTAAAGTGCGGTGCTAGAAGCAGGCAGATCACGGAATCTGGCTTTCCACCAAGCATCAAACTCCACAGAACTGCAGGAGTTCAATTCCCAGGAAGGATAAAGGGCATCTGCACTGTTGTTAATCTTGTTCACGGCACACCTGGCATCTTTGTGGACCTCCAAGTCATCTGCATCCCTCCAAGAAGAGCCCCGATTGCAGCTTCTGTATGACTTAAGGGGTATGAGCTGAGGACAGCCAAGCTGCCTTGCACAGAAGTTGGGATGGTAGACTTCCGCCCCCAAATGATAATTTGGAGGCTTTCCCCCTCCATGAGGCAGATCCCTGGGTAAAGTCACACTCAGGAACTTCTTCCTGAAATCAGTTCTGGCGAATTCTTCTTCTGGCTCTTTTTCAAACAGACGATGTCCAGGCTGAAACCAATGATAGGTCCTCCTAATCACCATCTGCCACTGTGCTGCAGACCTCTTGGTACAATGCCTAAACATCATCAGGTATTCACCAATTGACCGCTTGGGGACTTCTGCTGACAGCAACGGTTGAGCTAGAACCTGGTTCTCAGGCAGAACTATGTCTGGATACCTTAACTCAGGAAAATAGACCTGCAGCCAGATCTAAATCATCCAGAAGGCACCAGGAGCAGACAGATTCAGCGGATACTCCAGAGTAGCGGTATGCAGGTTCTTGAATAGATGGGCCAGAACTGTAGGTCCAAGGCCAACATCAGTGTGATTATGCAGAGCTTCTGCCAGATGCCTGTACTCAAGCAGAACTGCAGAAGAACGATTGGGCAGAATAAACCTGTTCAGCCAATACAGGAGAAACAACATATGCTGCTGATCTTTGTCCTTCTCAGCACTAAATTTTCTGAGATAGTTGGAGAAGGAGCAATTCTGGTTGATCAGGGCTGGGGAAATAGTGAATGGCTTGGCTAGCTTCTGCTGGTCCTTCTTCCTGTGATAATCACCAATGGCATCAACAGGCCTCCCATGGGGCCTAAAGCCAAAAATCTGAGCCATATCCAGCAGAGTTGGAGCCATGGGGCCTATACGAAAATCGAAGGTGTTACTGGCAGAATTCCAGAAACACAGAGCAGCAGCAAGCAGGTTCTCATCCCTGTTGATAGACTGCTTGGATAGGAGTATGGCGTCATAAATTCCAGCCCGCTTCCAGTGAGCCCCAAATCGAGGAAGAAGTCTGTCAATCCAATCAGCCCACTTGACTGGACTGTTTCTCACTTCACTGGATGGGAACGAACGACTCAAATTCTTACTAACCCAAGAATGAGAAGCCAGAGCGGAGAGGCTCTCAAAACATAGAGGGGCCTCAGCATCCTTCTTCATCAGCTCCGCCATCTCGGGAGGAACGGGGCCAAACCAGTGAGGCCCCAGCACCAAGGTGTTTTCAAACAGATGAAGGACGTTTTCATCTAGGTTTTTCTGGGCAAAAGGATGGAGCTTGCTCCTAACCTCTATCGCATGTTTATCAATCCCAGCCCCAGTAACGTAGTCGGGAAGAACTGGAATAGAGGAAGACTGAGCACGGGATTTCGGGGAAGACATTTCTTGGAAAGTTATTTTTTCTGAAAAAGGGGGTTCACAGGAAGGGCAAGGTAGGATCAAGCAAAAGGAAGTTTTTTCGAAAACACGAAAGGAATCAAGTTTGAAAATACTAGGTTTTCAGGTGAACAGGAACAGTGGTTTTCGAAAGACTTTTAAAGAAGCCAGAAAACGTGGGAAAGAGATGACAGCGACGTGGAGAAGACAAAGCGTCAATCTGATAGTGACTAAGCTAATAAAGGGCTAGTAACTGAAGAACTGCGCCACACGGGCACTAGCTTAGTGGGGAAGCGTGGCAGACGTGGGATAAATGAAGGAATTTACCACGCGCCAATTTAATGGCCATGTCATTTAAGTCTGAAAACCGTTTCAAAACGATTCAGACTTAAGGGGGCATTGTTTGGGCCACAAATTGGCATACCCAGCCCAGCAAAATTTAGGCCCAGAATGAAGCTGCAAAAAAATCAAAGAGAGATGGAAGCCCAAAAGCCAGAGGAGACCAGCCCAAAACTCATCAAAGTAAACAAGGCTAATCTGGGCCTCACAGGCCCAATATAAAAGAAAGAAGAAAGCCCAGAAGTAGGAACAATCCCACGTGACCTCTCTGGAAAAAGAAAAGTCAGCAATGGCAACTGTCACAGGAGAAGTAATTGAAGGGTTCATAATATCAAGATTGATTCTGGAAAAGCTAAAGATCAAATCCCTCTTACACATATATGATATATATATATACATACTCAGAGATTTTTTCCCCTGTCTTTTCAGAGAAGGTAATTCTCCCAAGGAGATAAGCAAGTTACAATCTCAGGGAGGGATAAGCAGGAAAGTAGGAAGCTGTCCAGAAAAGGAGTCAAACTAACCATCACCGGCAAAACATCACAAGGGGCAGTTGAAATTGGGAAAGAGATTAGGTTCCTTTTCAAGAAAATCAGGGAAGTGATTGCCTATCTGTTGAGAGCCTATCTACCAAAAACTGAGGAAACTTTTTTCTTTCTTTTCTTTTCCATTTTTAAAAGAAGATCTTTTTTGAAAGGATTTGCCGCCCATTATTAAAAGAGTTACCCTACTCCAGAAGACATTTCTTATAAATACAAGAAGGAGTGAACAGGGCAAAGGACAATCAAATCTTACAACAAAAATTTCATCACTCAATCAAACAAAGATCCTACATAGGAAAACCCTCAAATAAACAAGCCCACTTGAATTTCAAGTGAAAAACCAGCTCCAGATCAGAATGCCCAGAATCCAGATTTAGGAAGCAAGTCATTCAAGACGAGATTTCTCTCGTTATAAATTTGGTTCAACAAAAAGCCAAAACAAGCAGAGTTTGAATCTTCTCCAAGCATGGAAAACCTCAGCAAAATTCACGGAATAGCCTCCAGCTCACCAACGTCCTCAAGAACAGCCACTTCTGCCTGTTCAAACTGAAGAAACCGCAGTTCTGCCCACTCAGAAGCTTCACAAAAGCTTAAGGTACATTAAAGCTCTGCCAGAATCAACCTTTGGTATCGATTTGTAGTCGAGGATCGGGCAATCAGAATTGTCAGCGGTCCAGTCCAGCCCAGACATTCCCAGTCCAGCCCCTCATAGAGCCTCCCATCCAGACAGAAATGGAGATCTAGCTATCTTTTTATCTTTTTGGCATCGACATGTATTTTTGTAGTCTTGTAAAAGGCACTTCCGCCCAAAAATAGCTTAAATTTCATCAGCCATTCTGGCCAGAACAGCCTCTTTATACTGAGATAAATTATTGAAGTCCTCACCAGTCTGAGGCAAGAAAAGAACTTACTTTGGAGATATTCCTCACCCAAATTCACAATCGTTTGTTTAGGAAATCAGTAACTTGGGGCGCAAGTTATCCATTCCAGACTAAGTCTGCTAGACTTCTCATTACTAGCAGTGGCACGCTCGCACACCAAAGAAAGCTGACTTGTTGACCAGTCTATGGTTCTCAAGGCAGTGGGGAACTTTGCCCTTCCATCATAGGAGTAAACACAAAACGGGTGAACATAAATATGAGAGGAGGTGAACATGGTTGGAGACAGCCAAAAAATTCAATCAAGACAAAAACTCTCAAGTCATACTGACAAATTCAAAACAAGATCATACGATCTCAAAAGCCTTCAAACTATGAAGCAATCAAGCTCTTTGATTTACAAAAGACATCCAGTCTATGACAGAACAGGCAGAACTCAGACTTCTGACTTCAATTCAACCCAGGGAGGCAATTCACAAAGGAAACGAGATTTCTCTCGTTACAAATTTGGTTTAGCATAGGCCAATCAAGCAAAATTCAAGTTTTTCATAATATGAAAACCTCAACAAATTTACAGAGATGCCTTGATGTCTAAGAATTATCAGAACAGATTGCAAGTGATCCACAATTAAGCAGAACAGGTGCTGAAGTGTAGTTACAGACCAGAAATCGTCAATCCTACCACTTCCAATCCAATGCAGACTGGAGAAATCCCAGTTCTGCCCATCCAACAAGCCTCTCCATGGCTAAAATAGATTAAAGCTCTACCAATTTCAATATTGGTATCAATTTCCACCTTAACCTCATCAGTTGAAGGTGCTGACGTTTAAATCCAATACAGGTACATCCAGTCCAACCTGAATCACAGGCAACAATCCAAGCAGAAATTGAAGCCCAATGTTCTGTTGTCCTTTCAGACGTGGCAGTTCCCTTTTGTTTTAAATTGTGCAATATGTAGTCTCTCTTTAAAACAGTTTGATTTATTTTCAATATTCATTTTGGCTAGAACTACTAGTTTTTACTATGAGAAATTGTGAAGTCTTCACCAGTCTAAGGCAAGAAAAGAACTTACTTGGGAGATATTCCTCACCAAAATTCACAATCACTTGTTTAAAGTTAGTAACTTGGGGCGTAAGTTATCTATTTTTCATAAGCCTAGTAGGGTCATGATGGCTAATAGTAGCACGCTCGCACACCAAAGCAAGTTGACTTGTTGACCACTAATGGTTTTCAAGCAAATGGGAAATTTTACCCTACTATCACAGGAACTAAATCAAAACAAGTGAACAAATTGAAAAGACCGGTATTACCATGCTACTATGTTATTTAGTAAAAAATTCAGGATACTAAACTGAAATTAACCAATTTTTTTTTATTGGTTAGAAACTCAATTGTGATTATTGTTTAGAACTGAAACTGAGTTGTATTTTATGAACTTTGTAATACTTCATTACTATATATTTGTGATTGGCAAGGCTTAATAGAGAGCTAATAATGTGCATTATCTCACTATAACCTTTGATTTGATTAGAGGCATGTAGACAACAATTTTGGCTTTGTTTATGTGTACTTTTTCATTTTGTTTTTTGTTTTAGTACAAGTTAAATTCTAAATCACAAGGGAGGGGGTTTCTCTCACATACACAATCAAGATGTCATGGGGGTTAGAATCTAAGATTTATAGTATGCAAGTCAACGCATTTTTCCACTGTACTAGACCCCGTTGGATTTATGTATCCTTAGTTAAAATACTAAAAGACCAGAGGATTTATTTACATACACTGTCATTAATTGAACAATTTAGTACTGTAAAATAATATGTATTAGTAAAAACAAAATTGTAAAAAGTAACTACAATTGATTAAGCAGTGCATTGTTTTGCCATTACATTGCATCTACACTGAAATAGAATTTGGTTTGTTTTGGAATTTTGATGGTCTAGGATGGTTGAATGTGTTGGAAAATTTAAAAATATAGGAGCTTATGAATTTATTTATTCCAGCTTTGCTCTGCTATTGTTTCACCTTTTAAATCCTTAAGCCATTTGGAAATACCTTATAAAAGAACACGAACAAAGTAAACAATCACACAACACCAAGAATTTAACGATATTCAACAATGTGCCGACATTCTCAGTCATCACCAAGGTCTATAATATCAATGATTTCGGAAATGTCGGTAGTTCAAAAACACGAAAATTTCGATGGAAATATCGAGATGTTATCAATATCGATAAAAATTAAATACAAACCATGGAAATTGTAAGAAAAACTTGGAAATTTTTCTTGAAACTTTGGAGGATGTTTATTTAGTCAATTATCTATTACTTTATCACAAAAAATTAGAAGGAAATGCATTGCATGATGAGTTTAATTGATTTAAGTTGATTATATAGGAAGCTGACAAACACTGCGAGTGTAGAAAATTTGTAGTAATTAATGAAGAATATTAAACATACCATAATCATTAATTTATAATGATTTACTACAATATTTTACACTTTATACATTGCGTGGTAAGATATATGAGTGACTTAGTACCACATGGAGTTCCTATAAGGTTCAAATTTGAGTTATTTACACTAACACCTCCTGAGGTTTTCAACTTTTTCACAAAATTCCTTGAGATTTTAGAAATTACAAGAACACCCTCTCAGGTTTTAAATTGTTTTTACAAAACTCATTTTCATTGATTTTTCATCCAAAGATTGATGATTGTACACACAAAAAAATTATCCAAATCACAAAGTCGGCCCTTGATATTAGATTGTATATACTTCATTGAGGTTAATTTTTTCAATTGCGTAATATTTTTTTTCAATGAAATCATCAATTTTTGGACAAACAATCAACGAAAATGGGTTTTGTGAAAACAAATTGAAACATTAGGGGTTGTTCGTGTAATTTTTGAGACATGATGGGGTTTTATGAAAACACAAGAAACCACAGGGGGTGTTAGTGTAAATAACTTTTCAAAATTTTCATTGTCTTCTTCATCTTGATATTATCGATATTATAACAATATTTTGGCCAAATATTGCTGAAATGAGAGAAATAATTGATATCGATATTTTCCAATATTATCGATATTTATACGATATGTGTATGGATATGTTCTAAAATATCATTGACTCAAAAAAACGATAATATCCCCAATATTTCATCGATATTATCGATATTTTAGACCATAGTCATCACCTACATAAAATTCACTAGGATGAGCAAGAAGCAATTTCAATTACAAGAATA